CTATATAGTAGAATGTGACTATAACGGGAGTGACTATAGAGGGAGTTGACTGTATTTCAGAGGTGGTGTAAAATTTCGAAATATTACACTAAAAACGTAATATTACAAAAGTTTATGCTTTTAAATTTGAATAATTATAGTAATTTATAAATATCTTGCTATCTACTGATCCAATCATGATGATCTATAGCTCATTGGAATTAGCTCATTAAGACGATTCGAATGGTAGTAAAATCATATCTCTACGTTTGATAGATGACTTTCTATTAATTTAAAACTTTATTGCATACTATAAAGCGTTCTATCAACTGTAGAAATGCGATTTTACTACCATTCAAATCGTCTTGATGAGCTGATTCCAATGAGCTATAGATCGTCTTGATTGGATCAGTAGATAGTGAGATATTCTTAAATTACTATAATTATTTAAATTTAAAAGCGTAAACTTTTGTAATATTACGTTTTTAGTGTAATATTTCGAAATTTTACACCACCTCTGAAATATTACACTAAATTACGCCTAAACAAATTTCCTGATGTAAATAAACTAAAGCTTAACAATAAAAACTTCTAAGAAAAATAAGTTTATATATAGTAAACAGTATTATATATTATAAGACTATTATAAGCGTTACCAAGTTCTTTTATTGAGTCAATGCCAGTAAATAGGAAACCAATAAAATTCCTATTTGCCCATTCACAAAAAAAAATCCATTCGCAACTTTATACGATATTTTTTCAAAAAGTTTTTATTTAATAAAATTTTATTGTAAAATGTTATCCTTTTTATTCATATAAAATTTACCTCTTTGCGTTAAGTATTACAAAAGTTTATATTATACAAAAAATTTGTGTTTCGATTAGCCATACTGATCATATAAAATTATCACATAGTACGCTATATCTTTAATAATTACGATAATAACGTAAATAAATTTACACGCACTTCTTCTACTTAACTAGCTTAAAATGTCTACTTACCTTACCTCTAATATTATTGTACTTAATCAAAATAGTACTAAATATACTTATACAATTATTAAAGAAAGATATTATCCTCAAAATGATATACTTTATTACACTTCTGCTTGTTCATGTAATAACACACAGTTTAAGATTCTAAACGACTATTTAATACAAACAAATTGGGGCAGAAGTTCTTCTAAACATATAATACAATGCGAAATTATTTATATAGAGAAAATACCAGTTTTTAAAATTTTATTTGGAGAAAATTTTCAAGCAAGTGTAGAATCCATACATTTAGCAATAAAGGCAGCAAATGCTTATTTACAAGTTGTATTAAATTAAATATATTGATGCTATTTTATATTTAAATTAATGTTAACTTTTAAATAGATAAAGAAACCTAATACTCAAGCTTGTCTTTCTGGGATACATGTATTTTGTTTTAATAGTCAGAAGCTAGAAAGAGAGCGTGAAAGAAAATGTAAATCTTATATGCTTAAACCTTTTGATAAGTTGAGCAATTCTATAAAAACTAAAAGAGTATATATATTTAATGAACAATTGGCAGTTAACTTCACAAATACAGCAGCTAAATATTTTTATTCTGATGATTGTCCAATACTTCAAAAAATTTGCTTTACCGTTCAAGACAAAAACTTTTAAGCTAATTTTGAAAATCAAAATAAAGAAAAAGAAAATTAACGAAATGAGGTATTTACTAAAGTAATAGATCAGGGACCTATTGCACAAGATTCATATCGAAACTTAGCTGCATTATAGCCTGAATTACCATGTGAAACTACTATCTACAAAACAAAAAAAAAATTAATGAGGAAATGAATAATACAATTCCTATATCAATTTTAAATATATCAAACCAACCATCTCCTACTCCAATTAATGAAAATCCAGATATTAATGATCCAGAAATCGTAGAGAAAGTTTTGAAGTATACAGTCAACTCTGAATATAATAAACCTTCCGTTCCAGGAGGTTTAGTTCAGTATATAGTGAATTCGTTATATAATATACAGAACTAGTTTTCTTTATAGGTAATTTAGGCCAAATTTGTAATGCTGGCCAAAATTATAATTTCTTTTAACATAAATTTTCAAAAAAATTACTAGTAATTCTGGCCAGCACTATCTGGATTACTATATAATCATATGACTGTTCGTTATAGAAAGTATAAAGTTATTATATAGCTGATATATAGGGGCTGGTTAAGTTTAGTTCAGATGCGTTATATAGTGTTTTATTATAAAAGTTCGTTATATCCAGTGAAATTATTTATAAAAAATCAGTTCTGGAAATTATGATTCAGTATAACGAAGTTTCAGTACAAACAAGTTCATTATAACCAAAGTCGACTGTATTGGTAAAGCTGAATATCGCAAAATTACAGATATTTTACTTTTTATACTTCCAGATCTTATAAATCGACGTGTTATTAATTCTGATAATCCAATTATTAATTTACAAATATCTGATGATGGGAGAAACGTAGGACATAAAGTTAAACATGTGATTATTACATGTGTAATATTAAATGATATTGTGAACCTGCATAAATCTGATTATCATTATACAATTATTTTATATTCAGAAACTGAAAATTATGAATTACTACAAAGAATGATAGAACTAATATCTAATGAATTAAATGATTTGGTATTGAATGGATTAAGAGATTCAAATGATACAATATGGACAATCAATCCATATTTTAGTAGTGATTGGAAATTTATGGAATTGTACTTGGTTTTAATGCTTTCAATTCAAAACATTTTTGCCCTTGGTGCTTTTGTACAAAAGAGAATATTGGAAATAAATACAAAGTTTGTGTTATTGAAAAAACTATGGATCAAATTAAGTTAAAACTACCACCAGGACATATTAAATCTTTTTTACTTCAAATGATTCCTTTAAGTCACTATGTTCCGTACGAGTTACACATAATGTTGCAAATTTGGGATAGGTTATGGGATTTAGTACTACAAGAACTCAAAATACAAAATCAATTTAATAATTTAGCAAGAGCAAAAATTCTTGCCAAAATGCGTAGAATTTTAATTTCATTCAATTTTTGGTAGAAACAGAAAACGCAAAATTGGTCTTATACATCTCTAATGGAAGGAGATAAGGAAAAAGCTTTAATTTTTGAGTTGTTTTTACTAAAGAATATGCATTTTTAATCAACCAATTATGAAGAAATTTTTATGAACTTTATAATGATATGAAATCTCAAAATATTAATCCAAGTCACTTTGCAAACCAGGCAAAGTAATGGTTAGATTTGTTTTTTACTTTCTTTTAAGATAAGCCCAATACTATTACTTTCAAAATAGGTTTATATTGTCCAAAAGATGTAATACCTTACATGCATGTTTTAGTTTACCATTTACCTGAATTTATGGAATAACATCAGAAATTTGAATTAAATGCTTTTTCATGTGCTCCTATTGAAAAAAAAAAATCACGATCAAGTTTCTGTATTTTTTCAAAAAACAATAAAAGATGGTGGAAAGGGTATAGAAAGAAAATCAGCTATTTTTGAGATTTTACATTATCAGTGAAAATAGATTGTTGTATTTTGCTCAAAAAGGTACTATAGATAAATACTCTAAACCACAATATATTCACATTAAAAAATTAATTCGTGATCCAGATGTCGATCAGTGAAAATCCGTAGATAATCAATATACATTTGGGGATAATTGAGCTTATACAATATAGCGCGTTTCAGAATCTTTCACTTCTCTGTTATATTTCTCAACTTTATGCCTAAACATAAGGAATACGAAGTTACACTTATTTCTCCAGGTCTAATAGTGGACACTTTACATTATGGACCTTCTTGTAATAGTTGGTGGATTTCTAGACCTTCTGAAAAAAGAGAAAATCTGATATTTCTCCACCCTATTAGATTAAATATGAAAACTCTGGTTACTTTAAAAGGCCAAGATTTTATTATTGAGGTTGTTAAAATCTTTTCAAATTATGGTCAAATACCTGGATATATTTGCAAATGTGATGGTATTCAGGGTGAACTTTGTGAATCACTTACTGCTGCAGTTAATAGCGTATACAAAAAAATTTTTCACACAAATGCCAAATATTCAGGACCTGCAGTAATGGGTTTGATATACCAGTTATTTCTGAAGTACTGCTAAAAGATTTACCATTTCGTGCTTTTATATTTTCTTTAGGAAAATTAAATATATGGGTATTGGGAATTGGAAAATCTAATAAAAATGAATGGAATTTTGCTGGAACAGGATATAAAACTTCTTTTATATATATATATCAAAAACAAAGATGCGTTTTTGTCCAGGAATTAGAAGATGATTGTCAGGTTACTGATTGATGATAGTATTTGGCAAAAATGCCAATCAGTCACTAATTGGTTGCCTGATTTTTCACTTTTCGACTTGTGGAGATTAAAGCTAAATATTTAAGGATATATGAATACTTTGCAGTAAAAAAGGATGAAACTACTAAAAAAATTCAAATTTTCTTTTATATATCAAAAATATTCTAAATATTATAATTTGTTCAGATTTTATATTAACTCATTTTTTATTTGTTTTAGTAATTTCGTCTCTTTTTACTGCAAAGTGCCTATGTGTTAAATCAACTTTATGCTGTAATAATTGGTCATGACACATCATAATTCTTTTAATTCAATTTAGATGAATATTCAGATAAGCTTTTGCACTGTAATAATTAAGGTTGCTTGTCTAAACCTCTTTAAAATCTTACGATTAGTTTCATCAAAATTTTACTATAGATTTATTATAGTTTTGGCAGAGTTTTGGCAGTTTCAGCATTTATAATAAGTTTTGGCAGTTTCACCTTTCTCCAAAGTTTCGCCAGTTTTTTAATATAACTTTAATATAGTTTCAGCAAAATTTCACTTTTCGTCAAAACGCCATCTTGCCTAAACCCCTAGGTTTTGGCAAGCAACCTTAGTAATGATTGGTAAATTTAAATATGATACATTGATACATAACCTATCATATTTTTTTTATTATACACAATTAAATCAAAAATTATTTAGAAAGAGAAAATTTAATAATTCATTTATATTAACTGAAAGACTGATTTCATTTTAGTAGTAGGCTAGTTTTTCCAATATATGAACAAGAAATATTCAATACAGTAAATATTAAAATTCATGAAGAAAAATCATTTGTAATTAGTGTTCTGAATGGGTCAGATCAATTCAGGTGATCCGACCCGTTAACCTGTTTAACCTGACATAATATTTCTGGTCAGATGGATCAAATATGTAAAAAAAACTCTGAAAACGTTTTTTTATTGTATTATTAAGAAAAAATATTTTGGCATTTTTTCATATAAAATTATTAGAAAAAAAATGCTGAAACGTTTTTTTTTGTATTAATTATTATAGAAAAAACGTTTTGGCATTTTTCATATAAAATTATTAAAAAAAAATGCGAACCGTTTTTTTGCATTATTATTAAAAAAAATTTTTTAGCATTTTTTCATATAAAATTATTAGAAAAAAAATGCTGAAACGTTTTTTATTGCATTACTATTAAAAAATCGTTTTGGCATTTTTTCATACAATAATATTAGAAAAAAAACGCTGAAACATTTTTTTTGTATTAATTATTATAGAAAGAACGTTTCAGCGTTTTTTCATATAAAATTATTAAAAAAAAATGTAAAATGTTTTTTATTTGCATTATTATTAAGAAAAAACGTTTCAGCGTTTTTTTATATAAAATTTAAAAAAAAAATGCAAACCGTTTTTTTTATATTAATTATTAAGAAAAAACGTTTTGGTAAATTATATTAAAAAAAAAATGCTGAAAATATTTTTTTTGTATTAGTTGTTAAGAAAAAACATTTTGGCATTTTTTCATATAATAATATCAAAAAAAATGTCAAACCATTTTTTTTTTGTATTAATTATTAAGAAAAAATGTTTCAGCATTTTTTTATATTATTAAAAAAATGCTAAAACATTACTTTTTTAACAGAAAAATGTCAAGTTTGGCATTTTTTTATTTTTTTTTAACTAAAAAATGTCAGATTTAACATTTTTCATTAAAAAAAACTTTTCTTTAACTAAAAATGTTGGGTTTGATGTTTTCAATTAAAAAACCAGGTTTTTTTTTATTTTTTAGTCATTTTTGATACATGGGTCAAACAGGTCAAATGGGTCAAATCAGGTAAGATGGGTTACCTGACCCAATCTGACCTGATTTTTTTTGTCAGATCAGGTAAGACAGATTACCCGATCTAACCTGACCCGTTCAGAACACTATTTGTAATATATAGTCCATATCAAAGTAGAAAAAACGTCTTTCCTAATTGCATTTGAAAGATACTATGTGATCATCACTTAAATGTTATGCATTTGACATGATAAATATAAAAGGATATATACTTCAGTATAAAGCACGAGCTAAATTTTTCCATTATTTGTTACGTTATCTTTTTAAAGAAACTGTTGGCAAATTATATTTTAACAAATATTTGAATGAACTTAAAGATCATTTGTATTTTCTAGTAGATCAATTCCAATATATATTTGAATCTAAGGATTTTTACAATGCATCAAGTGATTTCTTCAGGTTAGTTACTCTATTTCAAAAATATAACTTATATTTATATAAGTATCTTTAAAATCGTAGATTTGTTGAATAATAATAATCCATTAGGTTTTTCTTATAACAAAACCACTTTCATCCCAATGCCATTCTTTACAACTGAAGAGTTGAATAAACTCTTCTATTTATACAGTAAATTTTTTAACGAAATCATTCAGATCGATATACAGTTAATCATTATGCACAAATTCTTTAAATATCCAGCATTCTTTATAATCTTATTAAAGTTCTATTATGATTATCAGATGAATTCACCAATTAAATAAAACTATTTATTAAAATTTGAAAAGTTATTTAAATAAATAGAATACATATTAAAATTATAAGGGTATTGCAAAAGATGAAATTAACAGATCTAGCATATATTCATAATCTTATAGCAATCAAAAATGAATCTTAAAAAGTAGATCTATCAAATTTCAATAAGATTGACAAATATCTACGTATTTTTGTATTATTAACAAAAGATAGGTCATCATCTTCTAAGAATAAATGGAATACTCAATAAATTTTTAAAAAGAGTAGTACAACTAAAACATTATAATAGCAAAAGATAAAGAAGTCTAAGTTTATATTAGAAAAACTATATTGACTATTATGATCAGATATATGTCAGGAAATATAACCAATATTTGCAAAATAGTTATTTATGATATTCCCTTTACCATATCACAACTTACAAACTTAAGGAAATAGGGGTTAAGTAATTGCATTTAAAATCAAAATATAAATAAAGTATTTAACTGTAACTATGTTTATTAACTTCAATAAGTGAGCTTTATTGAATTAGAATAATGGAGTCTAAATTGCTCTATTTGAAAGAATGTTTGTATGATAGTTCCCTGCATCTTGAACTTTGAAGTAGTGTAAAGAACGTGAGAGATTTCAAGCTGTTGTAATAAATATATCTAAATCTGTTATTAACAATGTTGTTTACAATATAGAGAGTCTTATCCAATTCATGCTATTATAACTAGATGATGCTTTAACTTTTAAAATCATTCAAGATTATAGGCAAAAAAAGTTAATTATGTATTTCAATATCTGGGCAAGTTTGGATAAAGCACTCAATATGAAATTTAACTTTGAAGAATTTAAAAGTATTTGGATTAAATACTTTTTGCCTACCTTGAATTAGCCTAAAAATAGATCATCAAAAAAGACAGATTTTACTTAGAAGCAAAATCAAAACAAGAATCTGAAAGTTACATAGAAGGATGATGGTAAACAGAATAAGAAGGAGATGTCTTTTTAAAACAAGAAGCAATCTACTTTGACTAACAAAAGTTTTGATAGCAAAGATAAACTAATTATTTTAGCTGAAATTTGGACTTTGCTAAGATCACTGGCCAACTGACAGGATAATTGAATCAAATATAGTATTTTGAGATGATTAGAAATACTCATTATCACGTATATAAATTTATCAGTAATTTACTATCGATGATTTATGCGTGTACAACTAGTTACTATGCAATTTATTTAGTTACTATGCAATTATTATTTATTACTAGATATCATTATTTTTATTTATATTAATAACTAGTTTATTTATTAAAAGTACAATTTTTATAGTATTTCTTGACTATTTTTATCCTCTTGTATTTGTAGTTTTTTCTTTTCTTGAAAGTATAATCTTCATCAAGTTCAGCAGAGTTACGATTACTTTGCAAATAATTATCTTTTTGCATAATTTCCTTAGCAGTGCAAAAGCCCAAAACAGAATTTCCCTATAAAAAAAATTATTGCATAAAAGTATCTAACAAACAATATTAATAATTTTAATATTATTACCTGAAGTTCATTTTCTACATCAAAATTTGAATTACTGTCAGACATTAAAGAAGATTGAGAAGCAATTGAATTTTTTCGTTTCTAAATACAAAATTAGTTAATATGATATTGTACATCTAAACAATATATCAGAATATAAAAAAATAATTTACAATTGTATTGGAAGAAGATGGTAATAAAGGAAGTCCCTCAAGTCGATTAACAATTTCAGAAAGTGCCTCTCTTTTATGATTATTATTTGGTTTGGCATGGCATATGCACGATATCCGCCAATAAAGTTATATCCAGTAATTGCCATACCAGTATTTTCAGGAATTCCAAGATCAAACAATTCAAAAATACATGTTTTTCTTTCAGAGTGATTGCAAATATTTCTTCCTTTTATATCAATTTCACATTCAACACATATGTTTTTAAATATTGAACGAATAGTACGATCAGACAATTGCTTGTCAGCATACCATTTTTCTTGAACTATAGCTAATAAATACAATATTATTAATGTTTAAAAATTAATAAAATTAATACACGTAAAATATATAAAAGTAATAAATACCATTAACATTTCGGCTAACTGATAAATAAAAGTATAGGCATTTTCCTTTTTAAGGTCGATCGAAGGGAAAGGTATTTTTTGATATCATGATTTAGACCAGCAATCCCGGTAGGATCAGAAGGAAAAGGAATAATTAAATCAAATTAATTGCCATCAATACCACCTTAATCATTTTTTTGTTATCCTTTTTTGAAAATAATTCCATTTAGAGTATCAACTAACTGGGAAGCACGCAAATTAACATGTTCACCACCCCTTGGCACATCTAATATACAAATCTAAAAGAAAACCCACTTTAGCAAACCTAAAGGGATATTAGGATTCAAGGTTTCATGTTGAATGATATGACGAATTTCATCTGTTGATAATCCATTTGTAGATTTTGTTTCACTAATACTCTTTTTTTTCATATCCTTGAGAAGACCATCAAAATGTGTATACAGGTTAGAAAAATTAACGTGACAATTATGAACCAATTGCAGCAAATTATAAATTTTTATTTATTAATATTAACTTCAATCTTTTTAATAATATATACAAAGCAATAAGATTTTATTCAAAAGAACACCATGAGAAAATATGAAATTTAATGAATAAATATATGTATCAATACTCTTTAATTCTCTTATATATAACTACTTATAAAATCTGAAAAAATGCAGTTTTTAAAATGTATTTCTATTGTAAAAAAAATTTACTTGTATGAATGTAGTCATATCTATAGCAGAAATAGTATTGTAAAGATCATTGAATTCTTTGAATATGATTAGCTTGTAGTATTTTATTTATTTAAAAACAATAATATTAGATCACTAAAAAGTGCTAAAACAGTATATATATTACCCAAATTATTTTAAACTGCCATAATTATAAGTAAAATTCCAAATTCAATTATGGCATTCCAAATTATTTTGGCACTTTACATAGTAAATTATATATAAACTAAATGAATTATGGTATTTCAAATTATAATTATGGCATTTTAAAATAATTTGGGTAGCATGTATATAAAACAGAAATTTTTATATAAGTTTTTCCATTCCTGTTTAGATCTATTATTTTAGAAAAACTTATTCCTTTACAGTAATGCAAATTTCAACAAATACTTTTTGGTTGGAAAACATTAAAGTGGTAGAAATCAATTAAAACTAAATAGAAAAAATTACTGTATATTACGGGCCATAGTACCCCCCTATGCATAGTACCCCCTTGAAAAATTTCATAGAATTGTATAGTACCCAGGGGGATATTTTACAATTATCTCGTGATCTAGTAATCAGATTTGAGCCATCTTTTTTTGTTTGATAACTCTCATTGAGCTCTTCAAAATAAAAAAATAATCGTTCAAATTGGACTGGTAGATCGTGAGATATTCGCAAAAAACAGAATTTTTAGGCTTTGTTTAGTACCCGGGGGTACAGGGTCAAACTCCCGATTTTTGCAAGATACCCGGGGTACTGTGACCCGCTATATACGGTATTACTTTGTAAAACTAGTAATTTAAATATTTATAATACAAACATTAAAAATTAGATTTGTGAGCATCCCTATTTTCTTACAAATAGATTTATGATATATAAGCATCTTGTAAATCTTAAAGTATTAATTGATGTATAGACTTTTGAATTAATTAAACGTAATAATACATATTCTTTTTAATATTTAATAACTTTATTTTTAATTATTGAATTACAAAAAAATGTAAATTATTAATTTGCAATAATATTACTAATGATGAGAAAAATACTAATATAAAAATTATACATGCTGCTCAAATTATTTTGGGATGCCATAATTATAATTTGAGATGCCGTAATTCATTCAGTTTATATATAATTTACTATATAAAGTATCAAAATAATTTGGGATGCCATAATTGAATTTGAGATTTTATTTATAATTACGGCAGTCCAAAATAATTTGGGTCACATATATATCAAATAAATTAAAAATGATATTTAAAACCATTTTTAATGCAAAAATACATATGGGATCTTTGTAATAGAAAGGTATGAAACTCAAAAAAAATTAAAAATTGAATTAATATTAAATTTGCATTTATTTCGGTAAAAAAAACATAATTAGCATATAAAGTAAAATTAAATTTTTTTTTTGAGTTTCGTACCTTTCTATTGCAAAGATCCCAATTATATTATACAAATTTTAAAAAAAGTTATATGTTGTTTTTTTGTTATAAAATGTAAGATTTAAATATTATACAGATATATATTTATTTTAAAAATGAGATACTAATAAAAAACTTTTAAAATTAAACATTCTCCTAAACTTTTCATTTAAAATTCTTGTAAGAAAAAATACTTAATTTTGAAAAAATAAGGTAATAGTTAATATATTAGCAAGTAAAAATATAATATAATTTGATTGTATTTAAAATGGGCATTTTAATTGTATTTTTTGTACAATATTTTTTAATAATTAAATTTTTTAATTAATAAATAACTGAAATAAAAATAAAAATAAAATACCAATAAAATAAAAATCAAATCAAATTATCTGATTTTTATTCCTATTAATATTATTTTAACCAGTATATTATAAATTTAAAAGCTAGAAAAATATTTATATTAAAATAATTATATAATAGAAATTAAAATATTTATAAAAATTATTGATTGCAAAACTTTATTTAATAATTAGATTTTAATAAATTTTATTATACTATTTAATTCTTTTTATTAAACCAATTAAATGTAATAAAAATTTGATATTAATAAATATTGATGCATTTAAAAATTAAAATATAGCTATATTTAAAATGATTTTTGCAGTATCTAATTATTTTCATTTTAATTCTTAGTATTTATATTTATACTTTTATATATTTAGTTGATATTTAATAAATTTATTTTTTCTATAAAAATTATTTGTAATTGCTATTCAAATTACCTTTATTCAATAAAGTTTTCTATTCTATTTATAGCTAATTTTTCATAATGATATAACTAATAATTAATATTAATTTTTTAATTTTCCTTTTTAAATCTTTTTTCAACTATAATTTTACTCATTTTCTACTCATTACTACAATAATGTTAACTTTTATAATTTTTTTTGTTCAAATGTAATTATTGTTATTATCCAATAATATAGTTTTTACTTCCGATTTTCTCTTTACAGGTTCATACATTCTCTAGTATTTGTGTCCTTGATGCTACTGTCTCCAGTCAGTGTGGCAAAATTTAGCCAATAAAATTGAGTTAAACACGTAATTATTATGCATATTCAGCACAATACAAAGTACAATAATGTTACTGTACTGTACAAGTTTTTTGATCAGCTGACAGTACAGTACAGTTTAACTTGCACACAACGATTCTACAAATATTCTAAATATTCTGGTATCCGATGAAAATTCCAATTAGCATTAGCTTGGAATAATCTTAAATGCTTAAGTAATATTTAATACTTAATTGTATAATAAAGTTACGATTAAGAGATCCCGTCTAATAATAAGAACGGCAATTATTTATTTAATTTGAGCTAAAAATATTTTATTATTAAGTATTGTAAATATCCAAAATAGGATATTTATTAAGCATTAAGTGCCCAAAATAGTTTTTGTGAAAAAAAATAATTCATACTTTTAAAGATTTTTTCTAACTTTGGTAAAGTAAAATTCAAAATTTATTATATTTATTATTTACTTCAATCTGCAAGAATGCAAGAATAAATAAACAAAATGCTTTGTTGGCCAATCAGTTGTACAAACCGGATAACCGAGTTTAAATAAAGAGTATATTTTTCATTATATTTTTAAAATGAAAAATTATGAAAAATTTAAATATTCGAAATTCTTTTCGAAGATTTTAAAAATATTTATTATAATTATAATGAAGACTTAATGTTCTTTTATTTAAAAAATTATTTTTGTAGGTCAATACGAAATTTTGAAACTGTTTACTTTAAGGGTGAAAATATTTGTAAACTATTGGGAGATTAATGAGATACCAATAATAAATTTTTGTGTTCGAGTACAAAGTCAATAATGTCACTTCTTTTACCAGATCATACCTGTTTAATGGCTAATGAATTTGCATATAAAAAAAAAGCTTAACTCATACCTTTTTTAATCATTTGTTTTTTTTTAATTTTTTTTATTTTTCTAATATTTATTTTCTTTCCTTTTTCTTTGTTTTTGGTTTTTTTTTTTTTATTTAAATGGACTGTCCATCGAAATATAATGGGACACAAAATCCTGAAGAATGGTTAAAAGAATTTCGCTTTTTCTGTTTACTTCGTGGGATTCATGATGAACATACCATGTTAGAATTAGCAATGTTAAAAATCGATAATACAATTCCTATACCTGAAGAAGGTATATCTTCATTCGCTGAATTATCGGACCATTTAAAAGATCATATAACTTATACCTTACAATGTAAAGTAGCATTTGAAGAATTAAAGAATATTAAATATGATACAGAAATGAGTGTAGTGGAATTTATTGCGAAATTTCTTTCACTTTGTGATAATTCTCTCGTTTTAAATGTTCAAGATCAAAAAACTTGTTTAATTCAAGCTTGTCCCGATGATATTTCTAGGAATGTTTTTAGGAATAAAATTAAAAAAAAAACTTCCATGCATGAAATTATTGAAATTTTTCATGATACTATGATAGAACATAAAGGTCAAATTAGATATGGATCAAGGATAGCATTAAAACATGTTGTTACTGGACAATATTTATCACACGGAAACAAACATAAACCTGATATACTAAGATCAAATTTATCTGAGGTAACTAATTAATTAATTTAATGTAATTTTTTTTTAAAAAAAAATATTCTAAAAAAATTTATCTTTAATAATAGGTATTTTGTAGTGGTTGGAAACGAGGTGGTAATGATGTTTGGGTAATCACAGCTGCTTATGGACAGAATAAAGCACCCGGGGATCCTATTTCATCAAATTCTATGATTCAACTAGTTCATGAAGTAACACGAGAATCATTGTTTGGTGATGAAGGTCAGTTAAATTTATCGGGAGGTGAGTAAAATGGATCATGAATTAAATTATTATTTGCAGGAGGAATTAATTAAAAATTTACACTAAATTTTCTTCAGCATGGGTTTGGACATTAACAGATCCAAGGACTAATTGGATCATCCAACGTCATAGTACTTTATATTATGATAGTCCGGGTTACGTTATGGATTGTGATATAATTAATTTACGTCATAATCTTAATAAAATGACTTTAAAAAGTCATGAATTTAAAAATTCCGCTGGGCATCAAGAAGTCATTATACATGGTGATGGACAAGAAGATCTTCATCAGGTAATGAAAAATTGAAATTGTTTTTGGAAATTTTTTATATTAAACTAATTTTTTTTTGTTATACAGTGGCAAATCGAACTTGTTTCATAATTAATTTATTTATTTACATAATTTTCTTTTTTTCTCTTAAATTAATTCATTTCATAAACTCTTTCTTTGTACACCATTTAATATTTCCCTTTATTTAATTATTCCTTTTGTAATATAAAAATTTTTTTTTATTTATAAATAAAAGTATTTAGCGTTGGGGTTTCTTGGGAAATAAAATCAATTTGTGTCAAATTTTGTGTCACCATGATTTTCTAAAAATAAATAAGTCTGACACATGACCAAATTTATAATGTGAATTTGTAATAAATCCCCAACATTAAGTATGTATGCATAGTTAACGTGTACATGACGGACAAAAAAGGGGTCCAACTCCTTCGTATGCTATCATTTTTATCATTTTCGGTAACATTACCATAATGAAAGTCTGTAATAAGCCAAATCCAATGTCCGATTATCACGGTAAAAAAAGCTTCCCCCTCGGATCTCAGAATCCGTTGTGATTTCATATTTTTGTTTTTTTTTATCCCCTTAATTCCCCTATTACATATATGAGTCGCACAGCATTATCTTAATTCAAAATGTTTAAAATTTTTTCTTATTTAATTACGTTACGTTGAGCTTTCTAACGATAATTAATTAACGTCAACCTATAATATAATTTAATAATTAACGATTTATAATGTTTAAAAGAAAGTCAGCCGCTATGAATATTCCTTCTCCAACACGGAGAGCAAAATCTCCAAACGGAGGAAATAAACGTAATTCGATAAATTCTCCAAGATTTTATGAAATTCTTGATTATGTTGCTAATAGAATGAATGGTAAAGTGATAATAAAAATGATTATTTCGAAAATTGGTTTGAAAATAAAGAAGTTTTTTTTATATTACATAACCTAATATACATTTTTCATTCAATATAAAGTTCCAGTACAATTTGGCACATTTATGAAAAAACGCTTTAATAAAGATGATATATCAGCACCTCAAGATTTTGAGTAAGGACATTTTTAAATGATATCATGGCTGACTTTCATTGTATTAAGTCAATTTAGGTTAAATTTAAAAAAAAAATTCTTTTTGCTTACGTCACATATAGACATCTTATTCATGCTGAAAGTGGAGAACAAGCTGAAGAAGTTTTAATTAACTGGGGTCAAAATCCAGGTAAGAAATAAAATATAAGACTCTTTTAATCATTTAAAAGAATTTTACTTAATTTTTATTCATTTTTTTTTTTTTTTTTGTTCTAGATAATCGTAAACATTATAAAACTCTTTCGAAATTTGATGGAACATTAGTTCCTGATATTGAGACAAATAAAAGTGGAACAGTTGTGATTAAAAAGAATGTTAAAACCGAATTCCTTAATAATAATAATGATAATGATCAAGAAATAGTTCTTTCATTAGCCACAATTGAAAAATCAGTTGCTGCGAAAGTTTATTTTGAAAACTATTTTTATGGAATACTAAAAAAACCATCGGGAAGGTCCAAACGTCGTATGCAATTAGAGACAGAACTTGAGAATATGAAAATTTCCGACCAAGATAAAAGAGAAATAAGACAAGAATGGGTTAATTTGGAATCTGATTATATGCGCTTATTACGTAAAAAAATTACGGTTAATTCGTTTCAAATGATCAAAACTGTTGGTCATGGAGCTTTCGGTGTCGTTAAATTAGTTCGTGATATTTCAACCGGTGTTGTGTATGCTATGAAAATTATGAGAAAAGCCGATATGTTAAAGAAAGGTCAAGAAGGTCATGTTAGAGCTGAAAGGGATCTTTTAACTGCTGCCGCTGAAACTGCTCAATGGATTGTTAAATTAATTTACTCTTTTCAAGATGCTGATCATTTATATTTAGTTTTGGAATATATGCCTGGTGGTGACTTATTAAATCTTTTAATTGAAAAAGATATATTTGAAGAGGAATTTGCCAAATTTTATATTGCTGAAATGGTCCTATGCATTGAAGAAGCTCATAAAATGGGCTATATTCATCGAGATATTAAGGTGAATTTTAAGTAATATAATATTCTTTTTTCTTTAACTAAAAAAAATATATATATATATATTAAAAAAAATTTATTATTCTTATTTAGCCTGATAACTTCCTTTTCGATGGTGATGGACATATAAGACTTTCGGACTTTGGGCTAGCAACCGATTTCCATTGGGTACATGATTCACAATATTATGAACAGCAAAGAAGAGATCTTTTACGTAAAACTGGAGTTGATATTGAAACAGATACCTTATCAAAAGCAATGTCTAAAAAATATAAAACATCTAAGTGGATGAATCAATGGTCTGATGAAGAAGGATCAGATGATGATATCCCTAATACAAGAATATTAAGTTGGAGAGATAAGCACCGAAAGAAGATGGCATTTTCTGTTGTTGGAACAAATAATTATATGGCCCCAGAAGTTTTAAGAGGAATGGGTTATGATAAAGGTTGTGATTGGTGGAGTTTAGGAGTAAGTATCATGATATTAATCAACATTTTAAATATTTTATTAAAGAATTTTAACTCAACATTTATTTCTTTCTTTTGGAAATAGATTATTATTTTTGAAATGTTGTACGGATATCCTCCATTTTGCTCCAAATCTCGTCATACGACTCGTCTAAAGATTATTAATTGGCGTCAATATCTTAATTTCCCAGCACGTCCTCGTGTTTCACGTGAAGTTCAAGATTTAATTGAACGTCTTATATGTGAAAAAGAAGATCGAATAGGATCAAATCAATCATCTTCAACAACAAAACCAAATGGACTTTATATGGCTGGCCGTAAAACAAATCCAGGCCTTGGTGATGCATCAGAAATTAAATCACATCCATGGTTTAAGGGAATTGATTGGGATAATTTACATAAGTCAACTCCACCATTTAGACCACAATTAAAATCAGATATTGATACAAGATATTTTGAAGATGATATTGATGATAATCCATTAGCGCCACCTGGAGGTGTTGAAAGAAAACCGAAAGATCCAATGTTAAGAGATAAACATCATGGTAAAGATATTCTAAAGATGAGGAAAGAATTAGCATTTAAAGGTTACACTTATAAGGGATTGCCTTTGGAAAATCAAAGAGGTGGTATGGCTGAAAGAGTGAGAGAAAGAGGAGAAATAAATGAAGAAAGTCTGAGAATTAGATCTATGAGTTTTTAATATATATTTTTTTTTTTTGGAAAGATTTAATGCTGATTTAATAACTTTTTTTGGAGGGAAGGTTCATTGAATTTTTAAATGTTTCATATTGTATATATATAATAACATAATATAGCATAAATTATTTAATATTATAGAATTATTATTTTTTAACCTTAACCTTTTTTTTACGTTTATTTATTTATTTATTTCAACTTTTTTTTTAAATTTTTTTTTAATAATAACAATATATTGTAAAAATAATTTTTTTCTAATAAAAGAATTCACGTAAAAATTGAATCATATGTTTATGATCAACCGAAATATTTCCAAATTTAAAGCTTAACCTTATAAAAAAACGTATTAGATTGAAAATTCTCTAAAACTAGACCTCTGAGCTCGAAATTCAATTTTCAAAATTCTCTTTTTACAATGGAAATAAATTCAACTTATGCTCCCGTCATAATTAACATTGAAAATGGTGAATCAGTTCATCAGGTTAGAAAAATTAATTGAACATTAGCTAAGACAAATTTCAATTTTTTATTACTTGTTTATTTTATTTATTTGTTTGTTTTTTTAACGTAGCGTATCTTATTGGTTTATGGACGAGCAGGTCCACAAGATGTAGAGTTTGAATCAAATATTACAGTTGAACATCATTCAGATAATTTTCCATCCACAACTTGGCAAGTTTTTAATTCACATTTCAAATGTTTAGTACACCTTGACCCAGGTTTAAATGATATTAAATTCATCCTTGATACTGAATCATTTTCTGCCGATTTACAACCATTAATAACAAATTTTCAAGTAAATTATATTCCATTATTACAAAATCCTCCTATACATCTTGCAATTCTTGTAGCAAAAGATTCTAATGAAACCATTGATGCTCCTGATGAAAAAAAACCTGATGATTGTAAATTAGAAGCTGTTAAAGCAAAATTCCGTTGTTCCGGTTATTTATGGCAAGCATTTACAGCGGAACAAATGAATCGTCATGGATTTGGAAGAAGAGTCTTTAGGTTAGATGAAGAATGGACAAAAGATACACTTTCTAATCAAGATGTTAAATTGAGACAAACGGCAAAAATATATATAATTCGTAGTTCTTATACTTTAGAACAAATTTTAGATCCAGAGATAGCTCAACAAAGTCCTACTAGGGTTGATGATAAAAAAGATTTATATGCTATTTTCTTGGAAAGTTTAAAAGAATATGGACCACCATTTGATAAACAGTGTTATGTCGCAGGATTAATTTTAGATTCTCATTATGATAATTCTCCTAATATGAAATACATTAGAGGTCATGCAGCATTAGGAGGTGGACACGAAAATATTCAATTAGGAATATTTGGTAGTCATTTAACTCATGCTTGGCCAAAACATCTTGAGGATGTTTGTAGTTGCTTTCAAGAAGCTATCTCTATTGACGAAAATAAACTGGCTAATGATGCTGGAGAATGTGGAACTTGGTGGAAATGTTGTAATATTGGAATTGGAGCATTTTTACATGAAGTTGGACATAGTTTAGGTTCACCTCATACTCCAAGTGGAATTATGTTAAGAGGATTTAATAATTTAAATCGTACATTTACAGTTAAAGAACCAAATAATCCTTCACCAATAACACCATCTGATGAAGAAGGAGCACATTGGCATAGGTGTGATGCCGTAAGATATAGATATCATCCATGTTTTCGTTTACCTTTAGATCCACCAATCTCGAAATCACTTAATAATATTAGTGCAACATTTTGGATTTTAGATGATCTTTTATTAATTAAATGTCCCGCAGGTATCTCATTAATTGAATTTTACGTTGAGGATAATATTCTTGGTTACATAGATTATGTTGAAAATTATCAAACTGAGACTACATTAGAAATATCAGAAATCAAGGAAAAGTATGGTGGTGATAATAATAATGTTATTAAATTGAAAGTCGTAGCTAGAAATCAAACAGAATGTAGCATAGAAGATTTACAACAATATCAAGAAGAAAGTAAAATTATTTTACCAGAATTTGGAATAGCATATAAATCTCATCGTTTAGGAATGGTTGATGAAAATTTTAGTGAAATTAATATTTTATTTAACCAATTCATTGAAGAAAAAGGATATGTTTCAATAGAAAGAATGGTCGTTAAATATGATTATTATATTGATTCAATTAAATTCTTTTTTTCTGATAATACTGAATTAAAGATTGGATCGGATGATAGAGAGGGTACAGAAAAAGAATTTGTATTTGAGGAAGGAGAAATTATTACTGAAATAAAAGGCAATTCTGGTTGGTATATTGATGGGTTTGAAATCAAGACTAATTTAGATAAAAGTAGTGAATGGTTTGGTGGACATGGAGGTGAAGATCAATTATTAAAAGTTCCTAATGATGAGAATGAAATGATCGGTCTTTATGGTAGTGGTGGTTATTATGTTAATACTTTAGGAATTATTTATAAAAAGAATGGGTAAAAATTTAGAACTTTAATTTTATTTTATTTACTTAAATATTTATTTGTTTATTTAATTTTATTTACTTATAATCACTGTATAACTGTATATTAATTAAAAATAAAATTCATAATTATTCTTTGCTCTAATTTAATATATACATAAAATTATCATAATAAAAATTAAAAAAAAAATTTACAAATTTATATCGAATTTTTTACAAATATCTTTATCAAAAGATTTCAAGAGATCTTGACTAATTTCGAAAGTTAAAAGGGGTTTTGATAACGACAAAGAAGACGACGAAGAATCTTGTACTTGATTTGTTAATGGATATTGCGGTGACGGGGATGATAAAGGAGTACGATAATCACGTGTTGTACGAAATGATTGTTTAGATAAAAATTGTGTTCCCAAAGGATCTTGCCAAAAAATTTTATTTTTTGATGTCATCGGACTTTTAATTGTGGCATGTCTTTTGGGATTATATACGTAATTAGGGAAAATACATTTATGAACTTTTTTTGCGCATTCAGCGAGAATGTCAAAAATTTTTTTTGTGTCTAATGATTCATTTTTCCAATTGCTCGAAGTAATTTTTGAAATTTTGTTTAAAGTTGCATTTGGTTCATCAGACAAGGCAAGTCTTGCTTGGTAATTTCGCCGATATATTATATAACTATTTTGCGGTCTTGGAACTTTACCACTAATATTCTCTGTCGGAATTAAAAGATCGTAGAGAGAGAGAGTTATATACTTCTCGATTCTGATTAAGGTCGGCTCATCAATTAAAGTTGAAACAACTTTTTCGACAATTAAATAATAATTTAGATTCATCTTTTCTCTTCTATATTCGTTAATTTGATGTGGAACGGAAAGATTTTCAAAATGAGGTAATTGAGACATTATGGTTTTATGGTTTTTATTTAAAGGAAAAAAATGAGATTGAGAATCGAAATTATTATTATATTTTTTTTTTTTGGTATATGTATATATATATGTATATAATATGTATATCCTTTTTATAATATGGACTTGTTTGCTAGTAGTAATTTGCCTGTATTCCATATTAAGAATTTCTGGTGACGGAATTTTAAATTTCAAACTTTAATTACCCGAAAATGAACTTTTTGGATAGATAAAGAAATTTTTACACAAAAGCATTTTATTGGTTCTAAAATAAATAAAATTTATAAAAGTTATTGTAAAAATAATACTAATTTGGGGACAATGTAAAAGTACATGATTGCCAAAAGGTTGCATTATCTTATATCTATTTTTCCGAATATTTTTGAAATAAAATGAATAAAATTATAGAAAAAAGGCTTCTTATCTTCTTTATCAATAAATTAAAATAAAATATTTACATTTTGTGAAATCTTAAATAAATTTAGTTATAATTCTTTTTTTTTAAGTTCATTATCAAAAGTATCAGAAAACCAAATATATATTATAATCGCTAAATACAATTAGGTAATGATTCGTATTTAATGTTTATAAATAATTATTATATTATTATTATATGTATTTTTTTTTTTTTTATTACTATTGTTATGTTATAATGAAAGCATTTTATTTTCAGTAAAATTGTACTTTTTTTTTTTAAAAAAAAAAATTATTTATATCCTTTAAGTCTTTATATTCATCCTTTACACTCATTCCTTTATAAAAGAAACCTTTACAATCCTTGTCTTTTAAAATTTTTTAAACCGACTTATAATAAGAACTTTAGGAAAAGATTAAAATTAAATGCAGATAGTGATACATTATATATATTTATATATTATAAGGCTTAAATAGGAATAATGGTTAAATTACATTTACTACACTTAATATTATTTATTATTGAATATTTAAATAATAAATAAAGAAGTCATGAGGGTAGTACATTTATATAGTTTGTTAACCTCTAGACGCTTCTTTTTTCCTTTTCTAGTTTCTTTTATCATCCTGTTTTTCTTTTTTTTCTTTGTAAATGTTTGTTTGCATTTGCAAAACAAACATAAGTACCAGTAAATTACTAGATTTCATGTTTGTCGTTTTAATATCTTGGTAATAAAGTTTAGATAATTTATCATGCCATACATGTTATGATCAAAATCAATTTTTTATACATAACTGACGGTAATTTATGCGCGACGCAGCTTATAATAAATTTCGTTTTTATTTAAAATTTTAAATAAAATTTGCAATTAATATTTTTCAATAAAAATATGCAGAAATTTGAGGTACTGTACTTATAGAAAAAATATATATAATAATTTGGGGTCCGATTTTTTAAGATTAAAATATTTCAGTACTTTAGAAGGAAAAAAGATCAGATCGATCTGCTGTCATTCCATCAAAGGGTATACGGTTAGTGTACCAATCACACGGAGTTTTTTTTTGGTTTAATTTAATCCTAGTGTTACATTTTTTTTAGTAACGTACCGCACCTGCAAAAAATACCCTGGTAAGTATATCTGGATTAAAATTTTATAATACCCTACGTACAACTTTCATCCTGAGAATACTAGAAACATTTAATATATGAAAATTTTTAATAAACCTACATATTACGAATCTGATACTATATATTTAGAAAGGTATTTTAAGCAGGGGGAATAATATCCTGGGTTACTGGGTAGGTATAATACAAATACCTTGTGCAATGCGGTACGATATAGTCTATTAAATTTTATAAATCAAGCATTAAATTATTTATTTATAATGAAAATTTTTTTTTTCTTTTTTTATTCGCATATAAAAATAAGAAACACGAATAAACGAACGAATAAATAAATAAATAATTAATTAATTATTAACTTAATTTGGTATTTATATATTTTTATATATTTTACCGAGTTCAATCGATTAATTTAAAGATGCACGAGTGATATTAGTTACAGCTAATAGATGATTAGTCTAATCGCCGGTAGATGTTTGCCTTAAACGTTACGTTGAAACTTGAAAGAAAGTTCATGACATCTACCTTAAACCAGGTATATATATTTTTTATGATATTTAATTAAAAGAATAACTTTATTGTATCTTAGAAATTTAACCGAATCAAAGTCACTACTCACTGAATACTGGGATACCCATCGAAGTGTAAGAGCGTGATCAAGATTTAGTTTACTAAGGAGTTGAAGGAACAAGAAACATTTTAGTTGAAAGAAGCGTTGACAACGTATGCATACTATTCGTTGTTAATAATGCATAAAATTTAAAACAAGGATATATAAAAGTTTGATTATAATTCAGGGATGAAAAATTAAGTACGTGATACACTCATATTTATCTTATGTCGTACAGTCCCGAATAAAGACAAAGATCCCGGTATTTATCATTTCGACCACACATAATTTTAAGACATTCTCCTAATGATGCGTTGTTCAATGAAACCATATTATTATGACATTAATCATTTTTCGTTGTTTTTTTTTTACTTGTTTTATATGCTGATTAATTTATCGAGTCTATTTTATTAGTTCACGTTTTCTAACTCTCATTTTATTACTAGAAATATCTTCGAAAATAAAAAGTGTCTTTAAAATTCCTTAGGGCATACAAACTTAATTTTCATAAGAATTTTGTAAATGATCCGGTAACCCGGTTCTTATTTTTTATTTTTTTATTTTTTCCAAAAAATTTCATGTATTAATTTCTTACCTGGTATACTTCTGGTATACTAATAATATACAAAAAATTTTTTTTTTTTAACAAAACTGTCCGCCAATCTTATTTCTTTGTGAAGGAAAGTAAGCTTGATAGTGTTTCTACCGAAGAAAATATTAAACAAAACTTGATGGCAGTATGATGAAACAAACCAATGAAGAAATTTTATAGACTATAAAAATTTATTCCGTGGTTTTTTTTTTTATTCCATGTTAATTCCGTAAATGTATCATATTTACGGAGTTTTTTATAGGAATTACGGATAAAGTTTTTTACAGGATTACAGGATAATACCCAGTTCGTTTCAGATTTTTACTTTTCTACTCGTCTTTCCATTTATTTGCCGTCTTCAAAATGGTTAAATTGATGAGTAATATGATGGAGGAAAAAAAAAATGTGTACATTCCAGTATGCCATAAAAGTTCAACCATTTCAAATGACAATAGGCCTCGCAAATTTTATCGGTTGTATGACCCGAAAAATTTATAATCTTATAATGTTTTGCAAGATATTTAGGTTATATATATTATATAACAATTGCATTAAATTGTATAATTTTAATTGTTTATTTTTATTTATTATTTTTTTTTTAAAAAATTATTCAGATTGGATGGTTTTCTAATTTTGAATAATTATATATAATACTGTAAACGTCAGTAGTGCAGATAATATTAATCATAACTGATAATATGAATATAACAATAAATTAATTCTTAATTCACGCCAACCATTCGGAGAAACTGAACTCTTGGCGTTTAATTATATCATAGTCTTATTAACTTAATGAGCAAAAAACCGAGAGTATGCGGCAAATCACCGATCGACAGAACCGACAGAACCGATTTAAGAATTCTGTCAAGTGAATGTCTAAAAACTACTGATGATGAGCAAAATATCAGAAAAACTTGTTCCCTTTTTGCGATATTGAATTACGGTTCATCTTCACTATAGTGAATCCCATGGGTGAGTTGGAGATTAAAATTCGTTATACTGTAGTGAGAAATTCACTATACTGAGGGTCAATTTTATAAAAAAAAAATCTGTATTTGAACTTTTCTTCATTATAGCCAAATTTGCCTGCAATTTTGTTTTTTAATTAAAGACACTTTTAAAATATCTTAAAATATTTTATTACATAAACCAATATTTTTGTAATAAATTCTATAGTATTTTCTAAGTAAAAATCAAAAAAAAAGTTCATGATTTTTTAAAATGATCGACAAATTATAACAAAATAGTAGCTAAATTTTTCAAATTGAAATATCTTTTTATCCATTAACCCTAGAAATACAAAATTACCACCATTTGATGCGTCTTAATGAAAAGAATCTGATAGAAATAAAATTGTCCTTCTACAAATATTATGTGACAGGATAACTTATAAAATCTAAAAATTTATAAATTAATATAACTTTTTATCCATCAATTTTAGAGTTATGATTTTATTACCATTAAATGCGCCTTAATAAGAGGAATATAATTTCATCTTTCTATGATCACTAGATCTTAAGATATTTTAAAAATTCAAAAATTTTTAAAATTAATTTTAACCCCTACAGTTTAAGGGATAGGTAGAAAGTATTACCTTTTTGAATTCACCCTCTTGACTAATAGCATACCATTTCCGTATTCTTCAATTAAAAGGATTCATATTCACAAATCAGAGTTAAAAAAGAGTATTTCACTGAAATATTAATACTGAAAATTTATTTAAATTCTTCTAATAAATAAAATACTTTAAATAAAATTAATAAAAAGCTAACTGAAAATATTCAGATAAAAGTAAGAATATTACTTGCTCAATTGTTTGGCTCTCTTGCTAACTCTCGTTTCGTGAAGATTTTAGTGAGATTTCTTTTAATTTAATTTTCTTGCAAGTAATACCGGAAGTTTTAAAGTAATTTCAGTCAGATTATAAAATTATTGATTCACCCGCAATAATTACTGCTGTTAACGAGTGGTTTAATATTAAATATTCGATGTGCTTCCATAGTAGTGGAAGTTGCCTCAACTATATATAATTGATACGTATATTCTAATGATATGAAACATGATAGTAAAAATATAAACGTATTGAAAAAAAATTAAAAAATTACATATGAACAAGAACACTCATGAAGAATGAAATTCGGTTTCAGATACTGGAAATTTTAGATTTTCCTCTTTAAGATACTCTTTTTTGAACATTAATTACGAATGACTTTTGGCACCAAATTAATTTAACTGCTATGTCCTTAAATTCTTCTCACTTAAAAATAAAACGAGATTAATCATTTACATATCTACACTTCTGTAGTGGAATTCCAAATTTTGTGTTACATTTGTTACATTTGTTTACTAGGAATTTTTTTCGTTGACACAGGAATCGTAAATTCTCAATTTCATATCAACGATATCAACGCCACTCTCATCATTTAAAATTATAAAATTTCATTTATTGAATAATGTATAATTAAAAATTGCAAGTGGCTAAATAAGCGAAATGACGATTGCATAATGCACATGACATGCTTGAAGGACTGATTTTAATAATTGGCGCGGAATATACAAATAGATTTCCATATGATTATTGTTTATCTTACGCTTGACAGTTAAAATGTTATTTGTAACACACAGTTTGACTTAATCAAGTTAAGGTAATAGTAAAAAACGTTTACGATGGAAATTCTATGAATATATTAAGATTAGTAAATAGTCAGAAAAAAAAAAAAAAAGATCCCATTGTTTCATTAAAAGATAATATGAACTACGATAAATATATTCCCTATTTTAAAATCTAATAATCAGGATGGGGTCTTCTACTCACATGTATGTTTTAAAGATCTTAAGATCTATCCATCTATTCACGATTTCAAACGCGTTGCTCGATAACAATATTTATGTAGTAAAAAAAACCAAATTTAGTACAATTATATATATATATTTTTTTTCGGTAATCTTATATTTATCCACTTTTTGAAATTTGATTAATTGGATTGGGATACCAAATGATAAATTAAATTGCTTATATATGGTATATAACATTTATTGACTGGGAAATATTTCATCATCTGACGTGATTAAATAGATATTTCCAATTAATTTTTATTATTATTACTGAAATTTTTTACTTCTTTTTCGTTAATCGTAAATAATTTATTTTAATTCTTATGTGATTGGACTTTATTTTTAGCGAATTATGTTTACAAAATAATAAGTGATCACCAATCGCTGACAGAATTCCAAGGAAGAATTCCCCGAAGAATTTCAGATTTTGCTCTTCGAATAGGAGTCGGGATCAACAAACTAACCGAGATTGGATATATTAAAGTGGATCAATGGATCAATGATATCATTAAAATTAATTTTAAACACCTCTTGGCAAAATGACACCGAAGTAATATTGTACTTTTATCGGTTTGATCAAAAAAATTTCTAATATATAGTACTTTTTTGAAATGTTTCTTTTCAATTTCAAAAACATTTCATTTATTGGTATATATATATACATTTTATTTGATCCCTTCTTTATTTTAGAAGGTTTTATTTATTCATCATTTTTTTGTTTCTTTTTTGACATTAGTTAAACGGGTACGATGTCTGAAAGATTACGAGAACCTGTGGTTGATTTTTCTATTGAGGAGAAGGGTCAATTACCTTCAAATTCAAATGATGATGATATTATAGAAAATGATAATAAAAATGTAGAGGCTGCTTCTACCTCTATACCACAATTGACTTTGGAAAAATCAATATCTATTAAATATCGTACTCTGTAAGTCAATTTTAAATTTTGTGTCACGACTCTCAAATGTATTATTGAATTATATTTCGAATTCCTCCCAGATCCATTCAGACTTCGGAAAGTATCCAGGCTCAAAAACTCTATTTAAAGAAAGAAAAACCCATAATTTCTCCCGATGGTAAATTTCCCCATTTCAATTATCGTGAGAACATTTTAGACAGATGATTAACATACACACTTACCTTTTTTACAAATAGATGAAATCGCACAACTTGATTATCATACCCTTCCAGTAAATTTGATTTGGCAACGAGTTGAAAGCAATGCAACCCTCGGTTTAAATTCTCAAACAGTTACCCGTCGTCTTCAACATGATGGAAAAAACTTAATTTCTTCCCCTAAAAACAATGTAATATATAAAATCCTTGGCTATTTGTTTGGTGGATTTTGTAGTTTGCTTTGGTTCGCAGCTATTATCATGATCTTGTCATATCAACCATTTGGTATGCCAAATCCAGCTCCATTGAACCTTGCGTTGGGAGTGGTTCTGGTAAGAATTTAATTAAAACATTATTATTATTCCTTTTTCTCGTTTCTGCTTCTAAAAACCTAATTTATCTTTATTTGAATAGATAATTGTAGTAATTATTCAAGCCGCGTTTGGTGCGTATCAAGACTGGTCAACATCAAAGGTGATGAAGTCGATTAGAAATATGCTTCCCTCTGAAACACTCGTTATTCGTGATGGAAAGGTTCATAAAGTACTTGCGACTGGTAATGTTAATTATTACAATCCTATGAATGAAATCTTTCCGTACCAACAAGGGTGAATGATATTAATCGATCAAATTTTATATGAACCTCTGAAACTTGCAGATCTTGTTGTTGGAGACATTGTTCAAGTAAATATGGGTAACAAAGTTCCAGCTGATTTGCGTATTGTGGAAGTGACAGGCGACATGAAATTTGATCGTTCAATATTGACTGGAGAGAACGCACCAGTTACTGCCACTGTGGAAGCTACAGATGAGAATTATCTCGAAACAAAAAACATTGCTTTGCTTGGTACTCATTGTACTAACGGAACTGGAAAGGGCGTTGTCGTCGCCACTGGTAATAACTTCATTAGTTTTACTCTGTTCAATTTTGGCAATTTTTTTACAATTGTTAATTTTATATTCACATATCAGGTGATAATACCGTGTTTGGCAGGATTGCTAAGTTGTCATCTGCTACAGATTCAGAAACTACAATTCTTCAAAGAGAAATAACTCGGTTTGTATTAGTTATTGCAGCATTGTCCATTAGCACAGGAGTAATTCTTATGATCTTGTAAGTTAAATTTGTTATTGTTAGTTTATATTTATTATATTATTATATTATATTTATTTACCTTGCGTTTTAATACTTTTAGGTGGGCTACATGGTTAAGAGTTACTTATCCGGGTTTCTTAAACCTTTCCGGCATGCTCGTGAATGCTATTTCCGTTATTGTTGCCTTCGTACCCGAAGGGATGCCTGTATGTGTCACATTATGCCTAACCTTAATTGCAAAGCGCTCTTTTCGTCAAAAGATTTTATGTAAAACGCTTCCCGTTGTGGAAACTCTTGGTTGTGTTTCTATTATTTGTTCTGTAAGTAAAAAGAATTTATAAATCATTTTTAGATTTTAAAATAATAATTAATTATTTTATTGATTTTAGGACAAAACTGGCACTCTTACAGAGAACAAAATGTTTGTGAATAACGTGAGCTTTGTTACCAAGGAGATGAAAACTCAAGAATGCAAGGATGCATTGAGTTCTACTGACCACCCAGAAAAAAAGGCAGTTAGAATTTTACAATTAACTGCCTGTTTATGTAACGCTGCCGTTTTTGACCCCGCTTCAATAAATCTTCCAGTATATGAAAGGGTTGTGAATGGAGATCCTACAGATTCTGGTCTACTTCGTTTTTCTGAAAACTTGAAAGGTATATTGCTTATAAGTGCTTATATTGTTCATCACATTCAAAATCATTATTCATATTATTTAATTTATTTCTAAAAGAATCAACTACAGCTGATCGTCTTGAGTTTAAAACAATTTATCAAGTCCCATTTAATTCTAAAAATAAATTCGCAATCACCATTCACCGTCCTAGTGACGAATATAATGACCTAGAAACCTCACAACTCGTATTTTTTTGCAAAGGTGCTCCTGAAGTTTTAATGGAACATTGCTCTTCCTATCTTCAACCAGATGGAAATGAAAAGATGCTTGATCATGAAAGTAAAGGTCTGTTGGAATCTATTCAAGATTCATGGTCAAGGAATGGCCAACGTGTACTTTTACTGGCAAAGAAAATTATTCCAACATATATGTTCCCTGGAAAGTCAAAAAATGATGTTGAGATGACAAATCTAGCTTTATCCTTCAATAAGAATTTATGTATAGTTGGTTTAGTAGGAATTGTTGGTGAGAATTTTTTTTTCTTATGTTAAAATGTAAAAATTTCTTATGATCTTTAAAATCCTTAATTTAATCGCTCTCAAATTATAGATCCACCTCGTGCGGAAATTCCTGAAGTTGTCAGACGATGCCGTAGAGCGGGAGTCAGAATTTTTATGGTTACGGGTGACTATTCTTTAACTGCAGAAACGATAGCTAGACAATGTGGTATTCTTACGAGTAATAAAGTGGATAATATTGATGATATTATTGAAGCGGATAAAAGTGGCACATCTATGATTCGTCAAAGTTTAGATACTGAAGAGGATGATTATCAAAAAAATATCAATTCTCTTGTATTGACTGGAAAAGATCTCTCCCAAAATTTAACTCCTAAACATTGGGATGCTATTGCAAATTATTCAGAAATAGTCTTTGCTAGAACAACTCCGGAACAAAAATTAAAAATTGTAAGTTTCTTTCCTTATCCAAGTTTTTAGCTCAGTATAAAAACGTTACTATAACAAAGAAAATGTTGGTTTATTAAATAGGTAACTGAACTACAGCATCGAGACAATGTTATAGGAGTGACTGGTGATGGAGTGAATGATGCACCAGCATTAAAACAAGCAAATATCGGAATTGCCATGGGTTCAGGATCTGATTTAGCTATAGCGGCAGGAAATATGGTTTTACTTGATAACAATTTTGCGTCAATAATCGTGGCTATGGAAAATGGTCGACTCGTGTTTGACAATTTAAAGAAAGTTATATTGTATCTTTTGCCTGCCGGATCTTGGTCTGAAATGTGGCCTGTGGTAGTTAATGTCTTGCTTGGAACTCCACTTCCATTGTCAGCTTTTCTTATGATTGTAATTTGTTGCGTGTATGTACATTTACAATCTTTTTCTGAAAATAAACGAAAAATCATCTTAAAATCATATTAACATTTACTATCTTTTTTTTGGGGGAAAAAAGAACGGATATATTCCCATCACTTTCCCTTACACATGAAAAGGCCGAGTCTGATCTTATGTTACGAAAACCGCGAAGAGCATCTAGAGATCATCTTGTAAATGTCAAATTACTTTTACAGGCTTATGGATTTATTGGTATTATGGAAATGCTCTTTGCACATTGGATGTTCTTCACATATTTATCCATTTATGGTGGAATTACTTTCAGAGATACATTATTCGGTAAAGGATATAGTTTTTGAATATTGATTTTCATATTTCTAAAAAAAAATAACATTTTTTTTTTATTATAACTAATAGCATATAACAACTGGGGAGATGGATTTATGGGAAAAACGATGGATGAACTTAATGAACTTAATGTTTGTATATTCTCAGTGTCAATATAATCATTTTTTATTTAAAAACTACTTAATAATAGAAATTTATTATTTAATAATAGTACACGGGCCAAAGTGTATATTTTATAACATTAGTAATTATGCAATTTGGAAATCTCTTATCAATCCGAACACGACGCAGATCAATATTTCAAGCAAATCCATTTTCAGGACCTTCCAAAAATTTGTATTTATTTGGGGGAATGTTTATTTCCCTTATAACTGCATTGATTATACTTCACGTGCCTTTCTTTAATAATGTCTTTTATACAAGGTATGATGGATTCTTTTTTTATTGATCCTGATGTTGGTAATTAATGTTAACATTTTTTCCAAAAATTTCATTAGACCGGTTCCAATACAATTTTACTTCATCCCTCTCGGATTTGCCGCATTTATTTTTGTTATGGATGAGATGAGGAAGTTGCTTGTAAGAACCTATCCAAAATCATTTTTGGATAAATTAGCTTGGTGAAAGAAGAGACAGTCAAATTTCTAAAGCTTTTTTATTTGTAATATATTGTAATATTTAAATGTATCTAATATCTAATAATTATATTTAGCTAATTATCAATCAAGTTATAAACAAACGTTTTTTATATAATAAAAACGTGTGTGTAATGTATCATTTATACACAATTTAAAAATATTGAAAATAATTCCAAAAAACGTGTGTTTTATCTGTTATCTGTCGCGTTCGCGTTGTTTATATTGTTGTTTATATTTATCTCAGCGACTTTACGTGGTTTACGTGGCCTGATCTCTGGTGGTGTGGTAGGCAGAATTTATTATTTTTTTTTTGTGTCCTTTGTCCCGGTTATGCCTATGTCTCTTGTTGGGACTAGGCATGACGACCGTTTCGACGGTTGGATTTCTACCTACATAGTAGAGTTAGCATCTCTTTTTGTAATTGAGATTACTCTTTTTCGTAGTGCCCCTGTTTCTGTCTTCATTTTAAAATAAAATAAAAAAAGAACAAACGGTAAATATTTTTTAAGATTCCCCATTCTTTCAGATGTTAATGTCTTTATTTTCTTTATTTTGCAATTTCAAGGATCAATTTCTTATTAATAAAATTATATTTTTAGATATACTACTCTTTCCATAATGTTTAATAATGTTTATTAAATTAATCTTTGATATCATCTTCCATATCATCTCGTTCAAAAGCCGCATTAAATTTATTACTATCAATCGAAGCAGCTGGTGATAATGACATTGGAGATGGTGATAAAAAAACCTCTTTTTTGCTTTTTGTAAATGGAAGGAGTGATGTTGGAGATTTTTGTGATGCCCACCTTGCACCGGTTTTTGGAGTAAAATTAACAATATCAGGATGATTTTCAGGAGATAGTATTTCTTCTACATCATAACTATTTGATTCTTTAATAATATCCTCGCTTTTGCTCATCGTTATTGTATTGTCATCCTCTTCTTCAACCAATTGAAATACAACGACAAAAAAAACAATCGAAGAGTCGCGCTTTTCGCCGCGTGTTTTACACACGTAACGAACAGGCTAGATTTTACATAAAAGGTGAGATATAATATATTTAAATAAAGCTTAAAAAAAAAAAATATTCATTTACTTGGCCTTCCCAATATTGTAGGACTCCAAGCTTAAATCCAGGTAACTATAAAAGAAGAAATGTTGTGTTCATTATATATTAATTAAATGAAAATGAAAAAATTAACATAATTACCGTTACAGCAACATCATTAAAATCTATATAAGAATTAAAGAAATCAAAATTCCATATTTGATTATCTTTAATTTGAAATTGTTTCCTGTTTGTCTCATTCTCAAAATATTTTTTTCTTTCGGAAACATCTTTGAATTCTACACCTTCACTTGGACAGTTTACATCCTCCTCAATATGTTCACCATTTGAAGAAGGCCATGATGGCAACCATTCATCACCTTTAATAATAGGCTCTTCGTATAAGTTGATTTTATTCATGGTATAAACTAATGGACTATATGCCCATGGTTCATCACTATAAATATCTGCTTGTAATCCAGGATCAATATATTGAAGAATCTTTAATCCTAAAGACGATCCAAATGGTAAATTAATCTTTTTATCAAAATCATTCTAAAAAAAAAAAAAAATTATTCAGTAAATGCTTTGGGATTATAAATGATGGTTGAAAAATTGGAAACAAATATTTTACACCAAAGACTATATCGTCTGCTGTTAAATTATTTTCTTTAAATCTTCCTTGCACTTGAATAGAATATTTAACATTATATCCTTCAAAATAAGGACTTGATTCGATTCTTGTTGTACCTGATGGTGTTATTCCTTTAAAATCTTTTATACGAATACATATTCTTCCAGTAAAATGTGATGTATTAATAAAATATGGGTGAGAATCATCATTTGGAAGCATTATTTTATGTTCTGCTGAATCATATGATGATCCTACACTAATCTGTAATTTTAACTTGTCTTTGTTCATTGTTTTTTGGAAAAAAAAAAAAAAAAAAAAAAAATATCGAGAAAAGAGAAAATAAAAAAAGACTGTTTTTAAATAAGTCCCCGATCGATCATCACTAACTATTAAAGAAATGCATCATCCTCAAATCATTTGTCATACGAATTTTGTGTGACGCACGATAACGATCACGGTGGCGATATTGGAAAACGCCACTTATTTATGTTCAATTGTTCATTCCCACTCTTTTTAAACAAATCAGGGATAATTAAATAATTATTACGAAATATTCGACTCTGTAAATAACAGATAAGCTCTTCATTTTGTTTTCCTCAGCCTGTTTTCATTTTGTAAAAATCAAAACATTTCATTTCTTTAATGAATGAATGTATTTCTTTTTCTCATATGCAATATATGCAATAAATCAAAAATACTATTTCCATCTACAGAGATATAAAAGAATTATTCTTGAATCTTATCAGATCATATCAAATCTAAATAATTCCAAATATAAATTTCTTGATTTTTCATTTTTTTCATTTTATTACTTTTTTTGCGTCATAATATCATTAGCCCATAATTATTATTTTCTAAAAACTTTTAAATTTCACATTTTCAACATAAAAATAGCATTTTGATCGCGTGTAAAAAAAAAAAAAATGGTTACAAATCACAAATGCAAGAACTGCCAAATATAGATTGTGATCACAAAAATTATAAAAATGGCACAAAATGTATCGATCGGTGGCACATAAGTAGGAAATAGAAATCTAATTTTAAACAATGAATAAAAATATTTAGTAAATTTTTTTAATGAATGGAATCGTATTTTTAATTGTATCGATAAATCTGCAATATTAAATCATCAAATTATCATCGAAAAAAATTTAAAGAATTATCATAGTGAAATTTTTTATTTATGCAGGGGAAAAGAACTGAATGGTAAATAAAATTTTTATGCTTATTATGTACTAAATCTCAAAAATATTTTTTGCGCGCTTGCATTTTTTGGCTGAAAAAAAAGCTTTTCATCATATTTATTTAATATCGTCTAAAATATAAAAATATATATATTATGTATATGTATATACAGTATATATAATAAAATAAATAAATTTGAATTGCTAATCATAACTCAATTTAATAAATATTGAATTGTAATTACAAAGTTCTGATTTATCGGGATTTGTTGATAACATATTGATTTCTCATTTGTCCCGTTGTAAAAAAGTCTTTGAAATGATATTTGTTCAAGAATGATGTATTGCAGAGATTTTATTCTTTTAATAATCAATATTGAATCGATATTTCTTTTACAAGATTTATTGATAGGCTATAACTGAAATTTTTAATTCGTGATTTAATAAATCCTTTTCTATAGAATCTAGATTCAACCTTTTTTTTAAAAACTAGTACGAAAAGAGTCAAAATTCATTTGATTGGGTGGAATCAGGATCATCCTTTTAGCAAATTTACCAAAAAAAAATATATTACATCACACGAAATGAATTACACCTACCGTCGTAATGCTAATAAATTTAATAAAATTTAGCATTTACTAAATTGGCATTACATGACAATTCGGCACTATGGTAGTGTAATTAATTAATACATTTTGACATAGACCATTTTAGACCATGTCCATTGTAATATATTTCGGCATTACACCATTTTTTAATGCCGATTCCGACATGGTTTGTTCACCATCAGACTGATCTGAAACTAGAAAGACAGGCTCTCGCACACTTACACCCAAATTATCTGCACAAATGTTAATCAGCATTATATTATTATTCCTTTGATTTTTATTTTATTTATAATTGTTAACACATTTAGTAAGTATGTATATTATAAATATTAATTCACATTATTTTTTTTTTGCCGTGACATTTGATGAGTCGAGCGAATGTTGATTTGTTCGTTTGAAAATTTAAAAATTTTAGGAAATTTGTTTGATACTAATACTCATTTTCTAGTTACGATTTATAATTTTACACGCACAAAATTTTGAATTCAATTGTTCAGAAATATAATGACCAATTAAAGTAAGAAATAACAAAAATGCAAAATCAAAGAGAGTTGAAATCTTCTCACTTATTGTATACCATGTTTTCATACAACTATTCTCTATTTTATATTATATTATATAATTGAAATTTGTTGGAGGCACCAGTGATTATGTAAGAAGTTTGTCTGACGTTTTTGACTAGCAGCATTAAAATTAATGTAGGAGCAAGAAATACGAGAAACTTTGTCCGACAAGGAAGGCGCAGAAAATTTTATCAATGGATTAGAAATTATCACAGTCGTATAGCGCATATTTATATAAATCTTTAAAATGGTAGAGCTAAAAAGTTAATAATAATGAAATTTCCAAATTAAAACTTATAGATCTTACTTTTTTTTTGCTAGTAATTCAGTACTTTTTCGAAAATTTCCTTCTTACATCCCTAGGATAACTTTCATAATATTAAAAAGTAAATGCATGTGCATTAAAAAAAATTTAAGATATTTATGTAAAGATTTTCCGATCACTCTTTGGCCAGCACTATATAAACTCTGTGTGTGTGTGACCGGAATTAAAAAATTGGCCATAACACCATGACGATAGTACCATACTATAAGTTGGGATTTTACCAATAATAGATATTATAAATAATATGGAATTATTTTAGTAATTTTTCTATCATTAAGCTTATGAATAATAAATTTTGTTTTATAACTATTTAAGAGCAAATTTATATTTTTTTAATGTACATGAAATACATTGTTGTTGAATTCACATTTTTCCCATTTGTCTTGATAACATTTGAGAAATTTCCAGTGAACTTGCATCTACTTTGAGTTTATAAATTTCATGTCAAATTTCAACATTTGTAATTAATTTTCTCAAAAAAGTAAAAAAGCAGTAGAATCCTAAAATGATGTCGAAATGTAAGCCCCAATATTCAAGTTTATTTTGCATTTTAAATAATTGTTTAAGTAGACAACATGCATTTTTGTAATTTGAATCACTTATTAGCATTTTTTTACAATATACCGAAATTAGTGATAATTTGAAGAATAAAATTCCCATTATCAGTTATTTTAGTATTTTAAATTATCTAATCCGCTGATGCTTACTTAATTTTCTCTGCTTTGAAATAAATTATTATTTGCTAGTTCTTTTTTAAGTGTTTCAAAATGGGGCCTCGGGTTACAGGTTGTTACACAATTTACACAATGTAAATTGAATTATTTCATTTTTATCGATTTTTATGTAACACGCTGTATATATATATATAATTATTTTTTTTTTTTCCGAAGCCTATTAAATAAATACATCTAGGCGACTATTATTATTAAATTTGAAAAAAAATGAAGTTCTTGCTTATAATATTGGCCATTTTTTTCTTAACAGTTCCATCAGTTTTTGCTATCACTGCTGTTGATTCTGCCATGACAGTAGTCTCACTTGAATCTTATAAATGCGTTAAAAACTTTGGTTATGAACGGGCTATTATTCGTGGTTATTTTGAGTCTTATTGTGGAAATCCTGGAGGTGACATTGATAAAACCTTTATCCAAAGCTATACAAATGCTGTTAATGCCGGATTCACCCAAATTGATGTTTATATGTTCCCATGTACTGGAATCCCAAAATGTTGTGTTAGTGATCCAACTCCGGAATGTTTAGCTACAAATTTTACCTGTAAAACTCCTCAAGAACAAGTCAATCAATTGGTACAATGGATAAATAACACTAAGATAAATGGAGGTCAGGATATTATAGTTCAAACAGTTTGGCTGGATGTTGAGACTGATCCAGCGTCTAATAACTGGCCACCTTCTAATACCACTTTAAATCAAAAAACTTTACAAGAATTTAAATACGCATGGGACGGTACTATGTGGAATTGGGGTATATACGCGGTATGTAATCCTGGTATCGGGACATTTCGCCGAAAACCATTTCGCCAAAATGTCCCGTAACCAATCCTATATTTTCTTTATTATATGATATACAAAGAATAATATTTACATCGTCGACTCATATGCAATTATCTGTAAAAATTTAGCGTGCAAATGACTGGGCCACAATTACTGGAGATAAAAATTGGGTCTTGGATTCTACTCGTCCATTATGGGTTGCTAATTTTGACAATATTATTAATTTAACGCAAAATTTTTCACAATTTGGTGGATGGATGACACCTACGGGCAAACAATGTAAGTGGATTCATTTGTTTAATATAGGTTATCTCTTTGATTTAAATAATAAATTTCTTATATTTGTTGTATAGACAAGGGAACAGATTACTTTTGTTGCTTATGTGACGATGGAACTGGAAGCCAACTCTCTTGTAGTTCATGCTTTACTAATCCTGGACCTTGTTGTTATGGCTTTGATAGAAGCGTATTCTAAGAAGCGTATTCTAAATATTTTAGTCTTTATAATATTAATTGTAAAGGTTAATAAAAATTAAGTTAATATTCTTACTAAACAATTATATTTTTATATGAGTAAAAGATACGATCTGACCATTTACAATTGTCATCTTTCTTATATATATTACCTAAGTATGGTATACAAGCATTTCGAAGTGTAAACTTAATAATATTTAAATACATTTTATAGTTCTCCAATCCATATAATAAGCTGTGTGCGATCGATTGTATTAATATTAATCAAATCATATATTTTAATAAAAAGAATTTTCAGTATATACGAAAATTGCATAATGTTGCATATCTTAGTAAGATAACATCTCTCTTTTTTTTTAAAAAAAAAAGTATTCAACCTTTTTATAATATGTCAAATGTTTGAAATACTTCATAATCTTCTGCAATATTCGTAGGGAATTACCCATATGTGGCCCACAATAAACATGATCATAACCTAGAATATTTTTACTATCTGTAAACTAAAAGAAAACTGTTATCCAAATAGAAACTCCCTTAATATCACAATTTCTATAGTCCATCTTGACTAAAATCTTAAAATTATAAGGGATCTTAATATGAGTATCTTTTCATGAAGTGAAAAGACAATTGGATGATTTAGTTTATTAAAGTTTCAAATCCCATCTTCTTGAAAGTGCATTAGTCTTAGGTTTTATATTATAGCAACTATGTGAAATTCCAAAGGTTATATCTTTATAACAACAAACTTTGTAAAAGAAACCTGTAGGTCCAATATCATAAAATCTAATTAAAGGAACAATCTATATAATAATTTTTCAATTTTTCTAATCTCTTCTTTATTCCTTTTATTTGTTAAATAAACATCATTATAAATCCTCAATTTCATCCATATTAGTTGGATTTTGATACAAAAATTCAGGCTTATGTTGATTGAAGAAACCAATGGTTGAACGTTAAGTTCATCTACCACTATCAACAATTTCACTATATCAATACCTTGTAAATTATTCATTTCAATATTTCCGCAATAAATAAACCTAAATTTTAATTATTCAGAACATACTTTAAACCTAACACTAACTCACACATATTATTATGTAAACTTTTTTAAGTTACGAGAATAGGAATAAAAAATTCATAAAAAATTTTTAAAAACATAAGTTACAAATTTATTAATTGATGTTTTCAAGATAGTTATATTTATACTAATAAAAAAAATATCTTATTAATAAAGGAATTCAATAAAGTTTTTTCAGTATCTGGATTAAGATTGAATTCGCCAATTTCTTTGGATAAGTTTATATACTTACTTACTTTTGGCCAATTCAACCAAAATGCTTCATAACTTCATAAGCAGCAACAGGATCTTTTTTACCGTTCCATTAATAGCGACAATTGGATGAAAGAAAAAAAAAAAATTTTTTTTAACCCACAAATTTTTCTTTATTTTTCAAAAACAACCTCGTACATCTGTACTAAATAAGGAAAATAATTTCACTTTTACTATCTTTTCAAAGGTATGAAAACTTCAATGTCATAATGTCCTTATGTATTATGTTTATACACGATTTACCAAGAATATAACAATAGCAAGTTGTTTCTTTGGTGAACATCGACAATCAACTTACCTTGTTTTTCTTTGATCAACTAAAATTATTTAGATTTTGTCAGAACATGCGTATAATTTATTGTTGCGGGCGAAACTTCGCCCAGTGAACTTCCAATAAGTCCAAAACTATCCGATACTTCCGAAACCTCCGAAACCCTAATTTGGAGAGATCAAATTGAGCGAAACTAGTTTCGCCCGCAACACTAGTGTCTACAAAGTTACGAAGCATTTATTTTGCAAATTTTCTAGTTTTTAGATTTAATATCTCATCTATATATCAAGGTTTATTTTTTTCCTATCAAACGGCAGATATTTTATATTAAATGTAAAAAATAACTTCGTTTATAAGGTGTAATAATGATTTTCATATAATTTATTTCTTAAATATAAACCAATTTAAGCTATCTAATTTAACAAACGGATATATATGAATCATATAAACGTCATTTCCAATAAAAAAAGCAAATAGAATACGTTTTGAGATACTCCTATCAGTGAAGATTGTCTATTGATGAAGAATTATATATCAATAAAGAGGAGGCTATCATAAAGAAGCGCCTGTTGCTAATATAAATCCACAACGAGCGTATAGCTCGTTTAATTTCAACAATAAATAAGCAATTACCTGAGAAAGGTATATCTCCAGTAAGAAATCTTATTTCAATTATACGATATCCAAAAGAACCAAACAAAGGAAAGATAATTTTGGCAAGACTCGGATCTATTTTATTATTATTCATCAACAGCAGGTAGAAGGTCTTTAACAAATTAGATCTAAAAAAACATCCAAATAACTTCGATTATCCTCAAATAAAATTGGTAAAGAAAATTATTCAGATAGATTAAAAGAAATGAGAGCGAAAAAGAAATTCAACAAAGGAAATTTCACTTCAAGAATTCAACCACAACAATCCGGATCTGATTTTTGCTTCGAATCTTTTGATAAATTATTATGTTAATATTACTTCTTCAAATTAATTATTGTATACAAATATGGCTGTATCACGTGAATCAATTATAAAAAACAACAAATTATATACGATACATATAGTTTTGATTTAATTATTGCACCTTGGCCTCTACTCAAGTTGGCTTACCCCAAGCTGACGCATTAGGTACTGTACTTTTGTTTGATCGTTGATGTGAATAAAAACTCTAAACATATCAAATATCAAATCAGCTTTAATTAATTTCTAGTGTTTTACGATGTTATAATAAATAAGGCTTTGTTATTAAATTCGAGACATTCCGAAATAGCTTTTTGATATAAATAAACTCTTGAAATATATTTTTTTATTAAGCAATTTGAATATTATTTGAGATATTACATTATCTTAAAAATTGAGTGATTCTAATACCATTGATTTATCTTTTAATTACTTGAAATACTTCAAAATCTTCTACATCAAAATTTCTTGGAATTCCTATACTAGGATAGTAATTGCCACTATAACTATACTTCCAACTATTAAAATCAGGACAGTATAAATCACCCATACTGGGTCCTTGATGATTATAGCAATAAATAGCATTGTTCTTATCGTTAACATAACCTGATTTTGCATTAGAAATATTTTTTCCATCTGTAAAGTTAAATAAAAAGCTGTCTAAAGTAATTTTCGGTCCATTTCCACTCCAATCAAGTGGATTATATCCTCCAATTAATTGTGTAGAACCTTGAATTTTTGCTATCCAAATAGTAGCTCCCTTGTTGTCACAATTTCTATGAAATGATTTAGCATCAAACCTGTCATTTGAACGATACAATAAATTAAAATCATAAGGGATCTTTTCTTTATTATAATATGAAGAATCTTTTTTATCAATCCATGAAGCAAAAAGAAGAACATGTTTTGATTCAACTATATTTGAATTGAGTTTTAAATTTGGTTTTCTTGGTGTTACATTAGATTTAGGTTTCATATTAGGAACAATATGAAATTCCAAAAGATCATGAATTAAATCTTGTGATAAAATATCTTTATAACAATAAACTTTGTAAAAGAAATCCGCGGGTTCAATATGATAAAATCTAATTAAAGGAATAAATCTGTGCAATGATCTTCCAATTTTTGTAATATCATCATTATTCCATTTAACAGGATCATTTTTAATGTTCTGTTGAGCAAAACACCATTTCAATAAACTTTCCCAAATTTCAATTTCGTCCATATACAAATCATCCCTTTTTAATAATAACTCCAATAAAGGAGCTTTTAAATTAACAAAATTATCAGAATTAAATAAGATTTTAGGATCTTTACAAATAATTTCAAGACAAAAATTCCATAAATCCGTGAATGTTTCATGTTGATAAACAATTTCAAGAATACCAGTTGGATTTTGGTGTAAAAATTCAGTTTTATGTTCGATCAAAAATTCTTGAATATGAGAAATCAATGGTTGAATATTAAGTTCATCCACTGCTATCAATAATTTCAATATATCAAGACCTTGTAAATTATTCAACTCAATATTTCCACAATAAATAAACCTAATTTAACATTAAATAATTATTAAAAATTTATATTTAAAAAATTTTTTTATATCTATAACAAATATATTATAAATTACCTAAGAATGATATTAAATAATTGTGGTGAAATATTAGGTTTTCTGAGAATAAATTTTCCATCTTTTTTCTCAGCCCATTCATTAGAAAATGCCGCATAAAAATATTGTGACCTATAACATAAAATACTTGAATGTAAATGAAATTCTTTTACGTTTGGTTCTTCACCAACATAAATAATAACGTCATATCCAAATCCACTTTCAAGAATTTTTTCGTAATCATTGGATAAACCTGCCCAAAACTTTGAAGACATGTTTTTTGTGAATCAAAAAAAAGTTGCTGATCGTACGGTATGACTCCAAATATCTCCAGGTTACGCAAAATCTTATTGGCCGGAATATATATTATACGTTATAGGCCCTTCTTGCTGCTAGATTGCTGGAAAAACTAGAGGATTTTGACAAGTTAGCAAAATGTTAAAATAGCAAAATTTTGCTAAAACTATATAAAATTTATATATATTATCCAAATTGTTTTGGATTATTATAATTATAAGTAAAATTCTAAATTCAATTATGGCATTCCAAATTATTTTTGATTTTACATAGTAAATTACATATAAACTACAGTATATAAACTGAATGAATTATAGCTCCCCAATATAATTTGGATAGTATATATAATGAAAGTCTTATTAAAAAGTTGGTAAAATTCTGAAGAAAAGTAAAATCTGACAAAACTTATTATAAATGCTAAAACTGCCAAAATTTTGCTAAAATTATAATAAAATTATAATAAAATCTTGAAGAAACTAATTGTAAGATTTTGGAAAGGTTTAAGCAAGCAACCTTAATTATAATTTCATTAAATTTTACCTTTTCAACTTGTTAAAACTTCTTAATTTTTTCAATAATTTTACCTATAATTATATAAATTTTAAACTACTTTATATATTATATATATTTTATTAATTTCACATGTTTTTTATTTTTAATAAGTTTTTACTAGTTCTAATTTTTTAACTTTCATTATTTTTTTAATTTTTATTTTCCATTATTTTTACTATTTTTAATTTTTTAACTTCCATTTTTTTATTATTTTTAACTTCTTAACTTTAAACTTTTTTATAAATCAAAAGATTTGCATTAAAAATTTTTGGATTATTAATAAATTTGGCTAATTATTTTTTAATCCTTTATTTTCATTTTTTGTTATTTTATTAGTAATTAGTATAGAACTCTTTCTGCCGATCGTATAGACTATTTTTTTTATGAAATTTCAGCAATAATATTTTAAAGAAAATATACAAAAATATGGCAGTTCTCTACTAACACATTAGGAATAAGTCAAACCCTTGAAGAAGTTGAACCTGCTACATACAAGCATTTAGAAAAACTTGAAACTTCCTTTAAAGATAAATTCTAATAAGTTGGTGTTAAAGACTTCAACAGCTTTCTTTTTCTTTTCTATACCTTCAAAGATATATGGGTTACGCTTCTTTATGAGACATTGATAAGCTATATGGGAAAATTAGAAGTGGAATCATGTGAGCAACAAATAACAACAGTCTCATCCAATAGGAGTCCAGCTCTGCTAGACAATCATTTGATAGAAATAGAAATTTTAGAGGAGCCTAAACACCAATTACCGGTTATACTCCTGTGACATAAATAAAATTCAACGTATAAGCTCAGCCATATATCCCAAGAGGAAAGAAATATGTGATATATGCTGATATCGCAAAAGATTCTAATTCTGCCTACATCACCATCCTTTTTAAATAAACGGAACACTCAAAAAACTTCATCAAAGAGTAGTATATCTAATAAATTGCAACAGCAGAAGATTAAGAAGTCTAAACTTACACCAGAAAAAATGATTTTAACTGTCATGATCAGATATATGCCACAAAATAAGGCCAATGTTTGTGAGATAATTTTTTATAATATCCCTTTCATCATGCAGTAACTTGATATTCTTACAAATCTAGGAAAATGGTATCAAGTAATTGCGTTCAAAGTTAAAATGTAAAAGAACTAGTATTCAACTGTAACCGTATCTATAGACTTCAATGAATAGACTTTGCATAATTGAAACAATTGAGTATGGACTGCTCCATTTAGAGAAATGCCTGTTCAATGGTTCTCTGCATTCTAGAATTTAAAGCAACATAAAGAGTAAAAGAGATTTCAGGCTGTTGTTATAGACATATTCAAATTCGTTACTAACAATGTTGTTTATAATGCAGATAATCCTGCTCAATCCTTACTATTGCAATTAGATGATGCTTTAGGCTTTTAAAATTATTTAAAACTATAGATGTAGGAAGTCGATTGTGTATTTTGATATCTAGGCAAATTTGGATAAAACACTTACTATGAAATTTAACTTTGAAGAATTTAAAGGTGTTTAGATTAGATATTTTTCACCTATCTTAAACTGGCCTAGAAATAAACTACCAAAGAAGACAAACTCTATTCAGAAGCAGAACTAAGAGAAGACTCCAAATATTATGCATAATAATGATAATAATAGACAGCTTAAGAAGAGAAAGTCCTTTAAAAAAAGAAGCAATCTATTTTGAATAATAAAGGTTTTGACAGCAACAACAAACTTATTATTCTGGCTGAAATTCAGGCATTGCTAAAATCACTGGCCAACTGATAGGATGACTGGATCAAATACAAAGTATTGGGATTAAATGGGATGCTCGCTATCATTTATATTTATTACCCCTTTTTTTTACTTTGAATTTTTTGTTTAAAATCCTCTTTTTTTTTCTTGTTGTTTTATAATGAGTTTTGCTGGAATTTCCTTACAGGTGTAGACTGAGAGAAGGAAATTTCCTCTAAAAATGAGTATGCATTCAACGCAAAAAGTACTCTCATAGCCCAAATTTCATCTAACACTATACATGTAGGATCCTTTTCAGAATGACGAGTGGTTTAGGTTTTATTAAATTAGTTTATTTAGTTTATTTTCATTTGTATGATGTTTTACAGAGGGTGATCAAAAGTATGTGGACACTTTTATTTTGCCAAATTATGCTGAACATTATATATTAATGTAATATAAATTAAACATTATTCTGTACTTACAGTCATAATAAACAACTCTTATACTTTATATTTTTCAGAATTTCTTGGGAATATGAAAATGCTTGTTGCAAAAATTCTATGATTTATATAACAAGCATAATAATAAGTTAAAAATTATAAAAAATACCATAATTCAGTCATTATTAACCCGATCAATATGTATTTGCTATCATTTGAAACGTCTCAATGAGACGAATACAATGAGCTAAAGATCATGAAAATCCAATCATTGGATCAAAAAATATTCGTACAGAAATATTTAAATGTTTAAAGCGTAATTGTACACTTAATATTAATTATGTAGAGATCATATTACTATCATTCAAATCCTCTCAATGAGACGAATCAAATGAATGTAAAATTATGAAATTTCAATCACTAGATACCCAAATATCTTTAAATGTCCGTATAACATTGATCACCCTCTGTATAAACACATTTATTCTAATAAAGATCTAAATATACTGCAGCAAAAAAAAAAAAGTAATTAGTATATAATAAAAAATTTAGTTAATGGCTATATTTATTAAATAGTAATATTTATATTAGCTTCTTTAAATTTCTTTTGTAAATATAGATAAATCATTTTAAAAATAAATGTTTATAAAAATGTAATCAAGATATAACTGATCAATTTGTTAACTAGATGACCAAAAATCAGATCTATTATTTGGATTAACTTAATGAATATTTACAGATAAGCCATTGATCAAGTTAATTGAATTAATAAATGGATTGATAAATTCTAAAAAAAAACTTTAAAGTAATCTAACAAACTTTAACAAATCCTAAAGAACCTAATAAATCTTAAGAGATTCAAATGGACCTCAAAAAAACCTAATAAATCCTAAAGAAAATAATTTAAATAATTTTAAAAATTTTTTTCAATTTATTTTTTTAAATTAAAAAAAAAATTTTAAAAAAAAACTCTTCATTAAAAATGAATATACATTTCTTTCTTTACTTAGGATTTATGGAAAAACTGTCCCCCCAGAATACTTAGAAAAAAAATGAAGAGCGACACCAAACGAATATATCACGTGAGGGCAAATTTTATGAAGATAATCCCGTATAACCAGGAGTGTTAGATGATTTATTAATTCATTTAATATAAAATTAATGCCCCATATTTTTTCTTTTCTTTACCTGAAATACTTCCCATTCTTGAACTAGGATTCGTAAGAACCACTGCTCAAACTCCAGTGTTGAGTGTTCCAAACTTTTCATAACTAAATCGTTACTATGACCATTTAAATCACCAAATATCGAACCCTAATCTTTAAACACCTACAGCATTTGTTGGATCAATAACTACCAATTTTACTAATGCTATCTTCTTAGTAGATTAATTACCTTCCATCCTAAAAGTTTATAACTTCCAATTAATCTTTTTGTATCTTTAATTTTTACTATGATAAATGATAATAGTTGGACCTTTATTATCACATTTTTCGTAAAAAGATTTACCGTAAATTCTAACTTTCGTTGATCTAATAAATATTAAATTCATAATTAATTGATTGGTCATATATCTCAGTTTCTTTATCAATCCAAGTTTGTATATATATATGTGTGAGTGTGTGTGGTCTTAATTTCTTCTTTGCTTAAATTTTTTATAATATCGTCATCTTCATTATCACTCTCAAAATTTTATATTGATAAATACAGTACACCAATTTCCCAAAGAATTATTTCATCCAATATTAATTTGTTGTAAAGAAATAAAAAATCAAATTCCAAAAATTACATTAGGTTTTTGACAGATGATCGAATAATTATTTCTTGTAAAGAGGATAATGATTCATGACTAAAAGTTACCATAAGACATTCATGAAAATTGCCATTGATTATCAGATATTCTTTTGAATGTCGTACGAGTTCATTTAGTTAAAATCCAAAGTATTTACTATTATGTTTAATATTTCTTTGGCTGTTATTTTTGACTTTTAAGGAAAAAAAAAAGATTTTGTGTTTTTTTTTTAATTAAAATAGAAATTAAATAATGAAAAAAAAAATTAATAAAGAATCTCACTGATGAAAAATACACGAAAAAATGTTTGGTCTTTTAAAAATAAAATATTCACCTTTTTCCTCAATAAGATTTTTTAAAATAATGCCAAGAAATATTATAATGTACATCCTAATGAGTGGCATGAGTATAAAATTCTTGAACATTTGGTTCTTCTCGTAAATTATAACATCATATCCTTCATTTGGTTTCTAAAAGTTCATTTATAATACTCGGCCAAAATTGATGTTCCGGTTTCGCTTGCATTTTATTTATTATTAGATAAGAAGGAAAAAAAATAATATATATGTATATATAGAATATATATATGTATTGTCCATTGTTCAAAAATCATTAGAATAATTATATTCTTGTAAAACAAAGTATTAACAATCTCTAATATTTTTTGATCTACATAATAAATACGGCGCTCCAATTGTTGATCGTCGAATCTCTTTCTTTCTTTATTTACGTTAACAATGTCTTCAAAGTTTTGGGCAGGTTTAACTATTTTCTTTCTTTCTTTATTGACATTAACAATGTCTTCAAAGTTTTGGGCAGATTTATCCAATGATTACGAAAAAATTCTTGAAAGTGGATTTGGATACGACGTTATTATTTATGTAGGTGAAAAACCAAATGTAAAAGAATTTCATTTACATTCAAGTATTTTATGTCATAGGTCACAATATTTTTATACGGCATTTTCTAATGGATGGGCAGAGAAAAAAGATGGAAAATTTATTCTCAGAAAACCTAATATTTCACCACAATTATTTAATATCATTCTTAGGTAATTTATAATATATTTATTATAGATATAAAAAAAATTTTTTTAAAATTTAAATTTTTAATTATTTATTTAATGTTAAATTAGGTTTATTTATTGTGGAAATATTAAGTTGAATAATTTACAAGATCTTGATATATTGAAATTGTTGATAGCAGTGGATGAATTTAATATCCAACCATTGGTTTCTCATATTCAAGAATTTTTGATCGAACATAAAACTGAATTTTTACACCAAAATCCAACTGGTATTCTTGAAACTATTTATCAACATGAAACATTCGCAGATTTATGGGATTTTTGTCTTGAAATTATTTGTAAAAATCCTAAAATCTTATTTAATTCTGATAATTTTGTTAATTTAAAAGCTCCTTTATTGGAGTTATTATTAAAAAGGGATGATTTGTATATGGATGAAATTGAAATTTGGGAAAGGTTATTGAAATGGTGTTTTGCTCAACAAAACATTAAAAATGATCCTGCTAAATGGAATAATGATGATATTACAAAAATTAGAAGGTTATTGCACAGATTTATTCCTTTAATTAGATTTTATCATATTGAACACACAGATTTCTTTTACAAAGTTTATTGTTATAAAGATATTTTACCACAAGATTTAATTTATGACCTTTTGGAATTTCATATTGTTCCTAATATGAAACCTAAATCTAACGTAATACCAAGAAAACAAAATTTAAAACTTGATTCAATCATAATTGAATCAAAACATATTCCTCTTTTTGTTTCATGGATTGATAAAAAAGATTCTTCATATTATAATAAAGAAAAGATCTCTTATGATTTTAATTTATTATATCGTTCAAATGAAGGCAGGTTTGATGCTAAATCATTTCATAGAAATTGTGACAATAAGGGAGCTACTATTTGGATAGCAAAAATTCAAGATTCTACACAATTAATTGGAGGATATAATCCACTTGATTGGAATGGAAATTATTGGAAAAATACTGCAGACAGTTTTCTTTTTAGTTTCACGGATGGTAAAATTATTTCTACTGCAAAGTTAGGTTATGTTAAAGATGCAAGTCATGCCGTTTATTGCGGTAATAATCAAGGACCCAGTATGGGTGGTTTATACTGTTATAATTCCAATAGTTGGGAATATGATTATTATTACTTTTCATCAGTCTATCATGATATAGGAATTCCAACAAGGTTTAAAGTAGAAGATTTTGAAGTATTTCAAGTAATTAAAAAATAAATTGATGATATATTAGAATTATTTAATATATTATAATACTAAAATTCTAGTCAAATAATATGTAAATTTTTATATTTATTAAGTAATGAGTTTTTGAGTAAACTGAAATCTTTCTATAACAAATTAAGAATTCATGTAACGGGAGAACACCATGTTAAAAAATCCATGCTTTTATTGGTTTTTTATTTTTTAAGGAATTTTTATGAATCCCTTGACTTGAAATTATTTTTGTTCCTAAATTGTTAATTTAAAGTTTCTTCATTATATCATGTTAAAAAATAAAGAATGATTTAAAAGTTGTTGTAAATATCGAGAAGTCTTTTCACAACAGATGCATTGATGCATTCCTTTAGTTTTAGATTTCATTATATTTAATTTACAGATTACCATGATTTATATGAACCTAAAGCTAATATAGTGATATGAGTTGTGTCAAATACTTCGAAATTCCTTTTTTAACGAACGTTTATTGATGCTCGTTTTTTCTTTTAGGTCCTGGGCAATTACATCCATCTTTCTAAACAATTACGCCTAAGCTTACGCATAATATACCGTATATAAAGGGTCCATGTATAGTACTCTCTCAAAATACTATACAAGATGTAAAACACCCGGGTCAGTGTTCGCCACTTAAGTCCAGTTATTTTTTGATTTAACTTGAACCACAAGTCCAGTCATTAGATTTATATGTCCAATTGGACACCACTCCTTTCCGTAATACCGATACTGTAATGTAGTAAATATATTATGCAATAAAAATTCTCGTACCCATGTATAGTATCCACCCATGTCATATACCTTGTGTAACAGGCGGGTACTATGGCCCGTGATGCGGTACTTTCGTAGAGAGATTTCTTTCCCCCGGTTAATTTTAATAATAAAAAATACATATAATTATATAAATATTAAATCATTCAAGTAATGCCGAGCAAACCATTCAATTCGATTCGATTCGTGCGAAGCACTAGATTCAAGATGGTTTAATATTTGGATGGCAGTTAATTATAAAGAAGAACTACTGAGGATAGTTTTCAAAGGATGAGAAAGACCTAGGTAATTTATTTTAGTTGACATTATTTGCATATTAAAAAAAAGCGAAGAATTTTTATCGCTACTTGTACATGGGGTATATAATATCGCCACTTGAAAAAACTGTTTCAAAAATTAGCGGTAAAGTGTCCTTTAGGCGCACTTTAAATCCTAGCTCACATCGTAGAAACCCATATACTAATCCTTATTAACAGATGATCAGTATTTGCATACTACCGTTTGTGTAAAGTAAGTAATAATAACAGTTAAACAAAATTCGATTTGATTTTAGTTGGCTTCAATAATATAAAATTTGACAGTATCGCAATCTGAACTATTATTTAATGATCCAAAACTCCTCTTTCCACTTTGAACTGAATTTCGGGACAAATTTTACATCGGAATTATGACTAAATCTTTCGAATTTTTAATTTTAATTCTACTGTATTTTATCATTTCATTAATGCAATGAAATTACGAAAAAAAAATTGAAATTTTTATTTTTATTATATTATCGGACTATCGGACAAATTGTCATGCGTTATAAATATTTATATTAATTCAGTTTTAATTTATTTCTATATTAGGCTAATGGTATGGAGCGCTTTACCGATGGCGTAATTTTGCTTTGCACTTATTAGTAATCATTGTTAATTAATAAAATTATGTATAACAAACATTACCCGTGCGAATTTTATTGTTTTTCAAACAAAACCACTCCGCAAATTTTTAATAATGCCTAAAGAAGTTTACAAAAGGTTATTTTACAATTATAAATTCGTTTTTTTTCGTTTAAAAGTTACTTTATACATACATTTCTTTCCGGAAAGAATGTCATCACTCGTGACAAAATAAAAAGAGAATTAAATGAACAATTCATTTTGGAAATCGATAAAAGGGATAGTCTTATCGATCATTCAGACAATGGGCTTATGTAATGTATTAACAATAAAGCTATTAATATATATATATATACATATTTTACATATAAAAAGGGCTCTTAATTAAAATTTTTTGTAGATACTTTGTCTTCACTCACAATATGCCATTTTTTTTGACAGATTATGAAAAACTTTATGAAACGAGAATAGAATATGATGTTATTATTTATGTTGGAGAAGAACCAAACATTAAAGAAGAGCATGCTCACTCATATATTTTATGTGCTAGATCTCAATATTTTCAAGTTGCATTTTCTAAAATTTGGGCCGAGAAAAAAGATGGAAAATTTATTTTCAAAAAACCTAATATTTCACCACAACTATTTGATATCATTCTTAGGTAATGTAAATAAATGTATACTGTATATATATATATATATTTAATAAAATGTGTATTTTTTTAATTTATTATTAATTATATTATTAGATTCTTTTATTGTGGAAAAATTGAATTGAAGAATTTACAAGGCCTTGATATATGGAATTTGTTAATAGCTGTAGATGAACTTAATATTCAACCATTGATTTCTCATATTCAAGAATTTTTAATTGAAAATGGAGCTGAAATTTTACATGAAAATCCTACTGATATTCTTGATATTCTTGAAAAATTTTATCAACACGAAACATTTGAGAATTTATGGAATCTTTGTCTTGAGACTATTTGTGATGATCCTAAAATATTATTTAATTCTGATAAATTTATTAATTTGGAAGCTCCTTTATTAGAATTATTATTAAAAAGAGATGATTTTTATATAAAAGAAATTGTAATTTGGGAGAATTTATTAAAATGGTGTTTTGCTCGACAAAATATTAAAAGTGATCCTGAAAAATGGAATAAAGATGATATTACGAATATTGGGAGGTTATTGCACAAATTTATTCCTTCAATTAGATTTTATAATATTGAATCTACGGATTTCTTTTGCAAAGTTTATAGTTATAAAGAAATCTTACCACAAGATTTAATTCATGAACTTTCGGAATTTCATAGAGTTCCCAATATAAAATCTAAAGCTAATTTGGCACCTTTAAGAAAATTAAATTTAAAATTAAATATTGATTCAAATTTAATTGAATCAGATCATTTTATTCTTTTTGCTTCATGGATTGACAAAAAAGATCCTTCAAATTATAATAGAAGAAAGTTCCCTTATGATTTTAAGTTATTGTATCGTTCAAGTAAGGATGGATTTAATGCTGAATTATTTCATAGAAACTGTGACGATAAGGGAGCTACTATTTGGGTAGCAAAAATTCAAAGTTCAACACAATTAATTGGAGGATATAATCCGCTTGATTGGAATGGAAATGATTGGAAAAATACTGCAGATAGTTTTCTTTTTAGTTTCACGGATGGTAAAATTATTTCTACTGCAAAATTAGGTTATGTTAAAGACGCAAGTCGTGCTGTTTATTGTGGCAAAAATTTTGGTCCACATATGGGTGATTTAAATTGTGCATATTATATAAGAAGTCCCAATAAATGGAATTATTATTACAGCGGTGATTCTTATCCTAACATAGGAATTCCAAAAGATATTACAGTGGAAGATTATGAGGTATTCCAAATAATTAAAAAATCAATTTAGATATATTTTAATTCATTAGATATAGCATATAATAGAATAAAATAAAAAAAGGTTTTTAAACTTAAAATTCTGTGATTTTCGTTAATAGAATATGTTAAACACGCAATTTAATTTATTCAATACGTTATCATATATTAATACGAAAAGTTTTAAAAATAGAATTACTTACGCGTAGTTGATAAACATAACATATAATGTGCTATCCAAGGTAGGAAAATATCAAAGTGTTATCCATGTGATATAATATTTTTCATTGACAAAATTTGAAAAATAAAAATATAATAAAACTTTGTAAAATTTTTTAAGAAAAATTAAATATCATAGTATTTTATTCTTTGAATGAATTTTATATCTTTTTTAAGTATAACGAGCATGTTTATGTACTGTATGTATGTAATTTTATTGTGCGTTGAGAGAACAAGTAAATTGATATTTTTCTTTAGATGGGGCAGTCCTGCGATAGGAGTGCCATGTTTGATTAATGGCAAGATTTGCAACCATCCGTCTTATCTTATTGAGATTTTGTTTATTAAAAATTACATTTCATCAATATCTTTTTAATTTTGTGTTAAGTAGGAGAGGAATTGTAGCATTGTATTTTTTTAAAACAAACAATTATAAATATTCATACGTATTCATCTTCACCCTGATTCTAGTAATCGGAAATATTACTATAATTGTGAAATAACTTTTCAACAAATTATATAATAGAAGATAAGTATTTCAAATAATTAAAAATATATTTATTTAATATATCAAAATACTTGTAATTTGTAAAATATCGAAGGTTAAAAAATTATTAATTGATTTATTTTTTTATTTTTAATTTTACATTTCACCACACGACTACATGTTCATATGACCATTATGATCATCAATAATTTATTCATTAGCTGTTAGTTGAAATAAAAATAATAATAAATGTCTTCAAAAATTTTTGACAGAATTATCCAACCATTATGGAAATGGTTTTGAAGTAGAATTAGGTTATAATGTTATTTTTATGAGAGTGGAACCAAGTGTTAAACAAATTATGCTTAAATATTTTATGTATCAGGTCTTCATATTTTTAGAGAATGGAAATTTATTTTCAGAAAACCTACATCCATTAATTTCTTATATTCAAGTATTTTCAATTGAACATAAAATTGAATTTTTATATCAAAATCCTATTGATATTCTTGTTTATTAATATAAAACATTTACAAATTTATAGAATTTTTATCTTTGAAATTATTTGTGAAAATTCTAAAATATTAAAATATTATAATTTTAATAAATTTATTAATTGAAATTAAAAATTCCTTAGAATTATTACTAAAAAGAATAATTTATATATAAATGAAATTTAAATTTGGAAAATTTTATTAAAATAATATTTGCTTAATATGAAAATATTAATAATAATTCTGATAAATGGAATAAAAAAAAGATTTTTAATTTAAATTACCAGAGGTAATCATCCCCATTGGCCAGAATTATCAATTTTTACTAGCACTATATTTTTTTAATGCTGGTTGATTATTATAATCCCTGGTAATATTTAGAAAAATTCTAAAAAAAATATTAAAAAAAATTGAAAATTTAATTATATTGATTTATTCATTTAATTAAATTTTATAATATTGTTCCTATAGATTATTACATTATATTATTCAAGTAAAAATGAATCTAATAATAAATTATTTTATTGAATAGTAAAATTTAAAAATAATTAAAATTCATTACAATTAATTAAAAGATTAATTTACTTAATTAGAATACAAATTATAATTGAAAATATATTACAGATATTTTTTTTATTTAATTTTATAGATAGTAAAATGATAACTTTATTGTAAAATTAAGTTTATATTAATAATGCATAATATGCTATTTATTGTAAAGTTCTAATATAAATAATCTTATTTTAATAATTGGAAATATTATTATAATAATAAAAAATATTAGTATTTTAATATAAAAATTTAATAAAAAATAATAAAATATTTCAAGTAATTAAAAGATAAATAAATTTATTAAATATATATATTATTACAATAAACTGAAATAAATTTTAATATTAATACTATTTTAATATATATTGAAATAAAATAAGTAAGTGTTGATTTTTTTTAATTAAAAATAAAAATATTATTTAATAGTATAATAAAATTTATTTTATATAAATTTTTAACTAGTTAATATATAATTACATAATCAAATTGGATTTTTTAATAAAATTATAATAATAGAATATATTTAATAATTGCATTATTTTATATTTTATAAGATATCTTACTATCTATTTATCATATATAAAAATATAAAATTACTATTATTTAACTTATTATATTAAAATAATTTTTTTTAATTTTATAATATACCTATTGAATATATATTTAAGGATATTGCTAAATATCACCAGTGGTGATGGTCATCAATGGTAGATTTATGATGTAATGCTGGTCAGTGTTTTATTAAATTTTAATTCAGGCCAAATATGCATCTTAATGTTGGTATGGTGACAATCACCGCTGGTGAGCTTTAGCAATTTTCTATATTTAATATTATAATACTGTATATATTTAATTTTTATTTAGATTTCTATATAAATATACTAAATATTAATATTTATAGAATATTAATAAAATATAAAATAAATGGATTTTTGATTAATATATTATAAGATTACTTTTTCAAAATCTTATAATTAGTTTTTTTAAGATTTACTATATTTTATTATAGTTTTAATAAAGTTTTAGCAGGTTTGGCATTTATAATAAGTTTTATCAGATTTTATTTTTTTTCAGAGTTTTGCCAACATTTTAATAAGATTTTTATATAGTTTAAGTAAAGTTGGCATTTTACCAACTTGCAAAAACTCCTTAGTTTCTTCAGTAACTTTAGTATATTATAATATTTTAAAAAAATTTATATAAATTAAATTATAATTATAATTTATTAAAATAAGTTGTTTTATTAATCTTAATAAATTTTAAAATTTTTATTTTATATATATATAATTTATATTTATATATTTTAGAATTCTATTTTAGTAAAACAATATATATTATTTTTTAAATATTTACTTTATAAAATTGATGTTTTATTAAAGTAATAATGTATATAATTATTTAGTTTATTAAATTTTAATAATAAATACATATTAATAATGAAATATTAAATAAGAATTCTAAATATCTTTAAAATAAGGTTTAAATTACATTTTTATATAATAAATTAATGATCTATTTTCTAAAAATTAAAAATTATATTTTTAGCTAAAGTTTATTATGATTCATAACCTATATATTAGATATCTAAAATTCTGTATTATTATTTTATTTATTAAAAATTTGTAAAAAAAATTAAAATAAATGTTTAAATTAAATTTAAAATTAAAATTTTTTATAAAAAAATTAATATATTAATTCATAATTAATTTATATTAAATAATTGATATTTTTTACTTTTTTTTTATAATTATCTTAAGATTTAATAATTAGATTTAAATAAACATTTTTTTTTGGTTTATAAAATTCATTGATAATTACAATTTAAAAAAAAAATTAAATAAATTTAATTGCAAAAAACTAATTTTTAAATTTTAAATTTAATTAAATTTGCTCTTTTTCTATTAGTAAAGTCAAATTATAACTTGTTTTATATATATTTAAAGTTTTTCAAATAGTATAAATGGAAATTCAATTTTAATAAATCTGCAATATAATCTTAATACTGGCCAAACTTATATATAATTTTAGCCAGGTTTATATAGCTAAAGGTAATTTTAGCCAGATTTACACATAAAATTTAATAGTAAAATATTCTAACTTTGAACTGCTACTACTTTATTAAGAAACATTTTATAAAAAATTTAAACCTATAACTTTGTTAAGCTTGTTTTGTTTTATCATTGTATAGTTATACTTTACATTTATCATTTTTTTTGAGTAAGTAGTAGTGATTTGAATTTCATCAATTTTAGTTGTTGTGACTAAGTTGTATACAGGAGTTTTTATGGAAAATTTTTTATGGAAAATGAGAATAATAATAATTAAACATGAATAGAAATTGTAGAGGATGGATGTATTTAGATAAGTAGGATATACCATTTTTATGATATGTTTTTATTTATTGTGTAGTTGTATATTTGTACATATGCATCATTGAAAAAAAGTCATCTTTAATATTTTTCTCAATAAATTCCCAATAATCCTGCACTTGTGATAAAAATAGGAAATCTGTAATCTGTGATAAAAATAGTTTACTATTTTTATCATTACAATTTGAGATAAGTTTTTTATATTTAGTTGTGCTTTTGTGTAAAAAAAAATAATGTTAATAATACACTTCGTGTTTTATTTGTATTTATTTATATGATTAAAAAAATTAATAAATATAAAGTTTTCTTTTTTATTTCATCATTAATATTTTTTTTAAAAAATCACAATATATTTACCGGCAAGTATCACAGTGATAACAATTGTTGTATTAACCGGCGTTTTTTCTTAAAGATAAACTTGTCCCAGATAAAAATTGTTGCGGGATTATTGGTTAGATTTGCATAATATTTTTTTATCCTTGTGGGGTACGCCATGTAAAACCTGTTTAATCAACTGTCAACAAAGTTCTACTAATAAATATAACAGATAATACTAAATATTAATGATGATTTGTTAAAACCTTTAAATAATAATAGTATGATTTGTTTATTTATATATAATACGCACTGAATATCCGAGTATTTGCATATGGTTTACATTAATTAATACAAAAATATTATTGTAATTTAAGTAAATGATTTTAAAAATCTGTTATCAAGGCCTTTAAGACAATTTCAAATATTTTATAGATTTACACGGTAATTACAGTATAACGTGTAAATGAGGAGTATATTTTATTATAAGAAAAGAGGTTATCCTTTAAAACATAAAATGGTTTTCCTAGAACATAAATGAGTTAAACTATTAATATATTTAAAAATTATAGCCTACAATAGCCGTACTCGTTAGAAAATTTGCCAGACTCATTAGGTATCGCTATATCAGAAAGGAAAAAATGATTAAGTCTCGTTGTCAAGAAAAATATTTTATGTATAAAAAAAGTTTCACCAAAAAGATACATTGGATATTTCATCGATCGTAAATGCCATACTTTGTATATCGATAGGTTCATCTCAACTTGAGTGACCTTTGAATTCTTGACTTCATTTTTCCAATTTTGGTTAGAATTCGTTACCTGTATTCTTTAAATTTTCTTAACGTATTTGAAAATTTTTCATGAGCTACTCCCCAATATATGCTTAAGTACCTACCACCAACTCATCGGTTGGCTGAAATTCTTGAGTCACGCTTTCTGATATATTGCCTGCAATTTGTTTGGAAGTCACTATTTTAAAAAATTGATCACATATAAATTGTTAGTATCATCATATAATGTATGTGATAATATTATAAACATACCTTTTTTTTTATTTTTTATTCGAATCTTCTTGATAACCTGCTAGTTAACAATGTTGCATAAATTTGATAATTATCAAATTAGAAACAAATAATTTGATTACTACCTCTTTATTCGAATTAATACATTTTCTCTTTAAAGTAGAATCATCAGATTCATTAATATTTTTATAAAATTCTTTAAATAAGTCGAAATTCCTATAATTGATATTTTTCAAACTATCATTAATTGATTCATGCATTTTATTTGTGCATAACCTTTGAACTCTGGGATTTAAATAAAATCGTTTTTGTTGTTGATCTTTTATTTGATCAATTTCCATTAACATGGTATCCTTCATCTTTTCTGCAAATTCTTTAGCAGCTCTCTCCTTTTCAGCTTTTTCTTTGGCAGCTTTTTCTTTCATCTGTTTTCTAATTCTCATTAATGCTTTATGAGCTACTTGAAGTTTTGCCAATATTTTTATTGGCATCGCATCAGAAAACTCAATATTATCGTTAAATTCTAATGAGAAATAATATGAATTTTGAGTAGTATCAAAATAAACTCTATACTTAGGAGGTTTATAATCATTCTGATTCGCAATATAAAACTTTTGTAAATTAGTTATTGGTCCTGGACTTGTCATCAAATGTCTATAGGGACTTGTCGATGAAGGAAAAGCCACATCGATAAAATCTTTAAGATTTTTCTTTAAATCTTCCCTTTTATTACGTAAGATTTCATCAGCAGAAAATTTATTTATAGATGATTCAGAAAATTTTTGGCGTTCAATAATTTCCACAGGTAAACGAACTTTTTCAGGAGCACCAAGAGATTTGAGAGTAAAAAAACGGTCTTCATCCTAAAAAATAATAATAAGATATATTGAAAATAATTTATTTTTCCCCTGTAGGATTTACTTACAATTTCCCTTCCTCCTAAACTCACACGTGGACGCCTTAAACTTTTGCAAGACTTGGAACTAACAGTCGTACGTTTAACGATTCTCATGTTATATATATATTATTAAGTGCGTAAAAAAAATTCAAGTATATATAAGCAATTATATTATTTGAAGGGATATTTTCTTTTCTAAAGAATAATACGGATATTTAAACGACTTTTCAATAATTGTAATAATTGTTAATACGAGAACAAAATACAGAATTTATTTAAGGGGACTTCACATCAACATATATGGTGAACGAACATCCCTGAGATTAGTCACGTGGTTTAAATTAACCAATAAGAGCATAAAACACGCCAAAAATCATAAGGTATATCATACAGTATTATTATATAATACGCGTCAGTACAACATTAACCGCAGCAGAGACATCTAGTTATTAAGTTAATCAGCCCAACAATGACATTATTTATTGAATAATTACAAAAAACTTAAAAAACTTTTAGTAATAAACTTTTATTTAATTGGATCATCTCTTGTTCCGATATAGAATGAGAAATTACTTAAACTTCTTACTGATATCAAATGTTGATTTAACTGTGATTTTTAATATAGGTACTTATATATTTAATACAATTTTAAAAGCCTAAAGCAATCATTATATTGGAATCGAATTTATTTAATTTATTTAATTTATTTAGACATATTGTACAGTATTGTTTAACATGGACAAATAACGTAATGATTTTGTAAAATTGACAAAAATGATTTTTTTTTGTCAGAATGATGGTTTTTACGGTACATTATTTGAAATTAACTTATAATTTGCTAGTCATAATGACTTAAGAAAATACTAAGATGGCTAATCAGCTATTTTCTATTTTTTTTTTTTTATACTGCATATTTTTATCATAGAATCTCTGAATTATAGAATTATTATTATGATTCAAGGATTATAAATAAATATATATATATATATACAGTATAGATATGTACTGTATGTATATACTGTATATATACTGTCTCTTATACACATCTAGATGTGTATAAGAGACAGTATCTATACTGTATGTATATACTGTATATATATAGGCAAATTATTATTAAATATCTATTAAAAAAAAAAAAGTTTTTTATATTTTACTTTTTAAATCTTGTAATAATATCATTTCATGTCCATATTGATCCACGAATAGGACTTTAGGAATTCTTATGAAAAGAAAAACGAGAAAAATTAATATTAATATAAATATAAATATATTTATTTAACAAGTAAATGATTATATATACCTGGACACAATAGGTTTAACTGTTTCTTCGTTGGTAACAACATCTTTCGCATGTTGTTCTTGTCCTGATTCATCAGAATATTTTCTAGAATTTGATTTAATATCTTTTAATTCTATTACTTCCTATTTAATCGAATAATAGGGGAATCGAATAATATTAAATCAGTAAATTTAAGAAATTTTTATTTGTATTACATAAAAAAAAAAAAAAAAAAAATACTAACATATAAATATCGATTTGTAAACATTTTTTATGATTTTCGTAAGATTTTCGTAAGATCTTTGTTTGGGCGTAAAAAATTTATTATTAAATTTTTTATTTTTTTTTCTTAAAAAAAAAACCGGTTTTTTCTTTTAATATTTTTCGGTGATGAGAAAATTATTGTTTTATTATATCGAAAGACTGTTGAAAAGATGTTGAAGAGATGGTTGTTGTATTTATAATATTTTCGTATAAACAATGATGCAAGTATTACCAATATGCAGTATCATTCAAAATTTGGTATTTATGATGAAACAATGCGTTCTGCATAATATGATGTAATCATTTGAAATTTCTATATTTCTTTATAGAATATTTAGAATATTTAGAATATTTCGAATATATCACTAGAAAGGTGAGTTACTATAAAGAACTTTATTGTTTTATTTAACTACATTCAAATGTTGACATATTTAGTATTATTTACAGCAAAATTTTAATAAAAATTCACATAATACATATTTCTTTTTTCTTATTCGAAATAGAAATAGAATACATTTGCATATTTGTACATATAATAAATTTTTCTAGGCTACTGCTCTATGCTCATGATGTACGTTTTTATTTAGAAAGGATTTTTCCCCCCAATAAAGTAAAGAATCATAAACAAAACCAGCAACTAATCCACCAACGATAGGAGCAACTAAAGGAACCCAAAAATAGAACTTATAAGCAGTAAAAACTTCTACACCATAACCAATAAAGAAAGTGAATAATCTAGGTCCAAAATCACGAGCTCCATTTAAACTAAATCCGGTTTCAAATCCAAGTGAAATAGCAATGGCCGTTAAAGTTAGACCAATGGTTATAGGAGCAACTATCCTAGTAGTAGGAACATTCCGTTCATCAGTCACAGCAAGGATAACGAGTAATAAAAAGAAAGTTCCAAGAGCTTCGGAAAAGAATGCTCCACCAATTGACATGAATGGTTGTGGATAGGTAGCAAAAATACCGGCCGTTGCATTGGCTCCTATAACATCTCTTTTGTCCCCAGCAAAATTATAAATAGCAGGTACGTAATTAAGGTAAATAACTGCTGCTGCAACAAAAGCTCCAAGCACTTGAGCCGTGATATAAATAGGAACTTTAACCCAAGGAAATTTACGATAAATAGCCAAGGTGATGGTAACGGCAGGATTTAAATGTCCACCAGAATAATGTCCACTAACTGCAATACCCAAAGTGAGACCTAAACCAAAACCTAAAGCTATAGTGATCCAATTTCCAGTTGCTCCTTTGCTAAGTACGGTTTGAGCGATAGCTCCTACACCGAATGCAACCAAGATGAAGGTTCCCAAAAATTCTGCAAAAGGTTCCTTGAATCTAAATTTAATAAAATACCATCCTGAGTCTTGAATAACGATTACATCTTCAGTGGCTGGTGCTCCTCTTGTTCCTCCTGACTCTCCATTATTTTCGGTAGCTCCATAAGTTGATGATGGTCCGCTTTTATTAATCGCTCCACGTTCATCCGCCATCGTTTTTTATTAAAAAAAAAAAAAAATTATAGAAAAAAAAAACAATAACGAGTAAAACTATTTTTAAATAAATTTTGTAAAGCCAAGATTTTATGGTGATGTTTATCATAACATTTTTTTTTTCGGAGAATCAAATAACGTCGTTTCAATTTGTCTTGCATTTTATCAAGCAAATCAATTTCATATTAAGAAAAAAAAAAAATTATAGAAAAAAAAATCTCGGATGGGTTATTAAAAGCTAAATTTATATCAAAGGAAAAAAAAAAACATAAAATATTCCCATCTGTGTAATGTACTTAAAATTGTTAGTTTAACCTTATCAAAAAGAAACCATGATACTTACAACTATTTTTGTTTGTCGTGCAGGGCGTAAAAATTTCTTTATTCAATAGAAATCTTTAAAAGGTGTTATTATAATTAATAAATCATGTGGTATGTGTCATATAAAGATCAGCGACATATATACGATCAGCGAAATTTCTTACAAATTCCGCGGATTAGCTCATCTAATAAAAAAAGCATTATTACATCATCATCCAATTAATTACTTCCTTATCAGGAGTTTTTAGATTATCTTTAATTTTAAATTATTGTTCGCTCCGCTATGATATGATATATCTTTGCAGGTGTTACTATTTGGAATTTCCTTTTTTCCTTTTATGAATATTTTATAAATAGTCAATTCCGTATACAAATTCTCCTATCCGTGACTCCTCGTGGAATGTACAAAATGTATTACAACTTTAATATTATGCTTGATTTAACGAATCTTTTTTTTTTTTTTGCATACATCAAACTCTTTCACGCGAGGAAAATCATTACATATTAAACGATATCTAATATATAAATTTATAAATTTGGAATCATTAAGATAAATATATATATATGTATATATACATATATATATATATATATATCACAAGCTAGTGATCAGGTAATAAATATTAATACAAGTTAAAAAAGAAGTTGATAGAAAATAAAAATAAAAATGAGGCTAAGTTAAAAACATGAAAAGTTGCTCCATTAACGAAACTTTTTTGAAAGTGATCATGGCGCAGCAAGTACACGTGATATTAATACATGCATGATCTATTGTTTATCAATTATCATACTTTTATCATACTTTACGATTTTTTATTTTTTTATTTTTATTTTTTGGTTTTAAACTTATAAAACTTATATACGTTCTTACGCGTAAATAAATCAGTTTTTTCAGAAGAAAAAAAGATCAATATGTTCAGCGACGCGACTTTATTATACCCCTCAGCTTCCTGTACCGCATCCGCAATTCCGCATCCAACTCTATGCTTTAATACATATAGAACTGCAATTCTTTCAAAGCATCACATCAGCTGTGATAAAAAAATCAATTCCAGTCATTCATCGTTTGATTCATCAACAAGTTCCAAGAACATCAAATAATTCAATTACGAAAATTTCAATATTCTCAACAAAAGAATTTTATCAGTCGAATCAGCTTCAATTATACGAATCAGTTTCAATAGAAAATGTCTAGAATAAAATCAATTTTGAACAATGCAATTTGAATACAGAGGGACTCAAATTTTCTTAGTTAATTGAATATGCGTGCTTCATCAACATTTAAGAACAATAATTCGTTAGTGCAAATGATAATGATGATGGTGTTCGAAATACAAAATTCCTCGATTATCGTGTCCTATTAAATCGTATCTAACTGTTCGTTATAAAAAATTATATAAATCTCCTCCATGATCACAATTCAAAACACAACGTGTTTCGATTTGGGTATCTCATGTGATCCATAATGATAAAATTTAAACAATTTTATGGGATAATTAATTTACCCTAGTACAATTACTTTACAAAAAAATAGCCTTGAAAGCTGCATTATTGATAGTAAGGACAGATCCCAAAGATGGAAGAGAAGGTGGCGACAGTAGTACAAAAAACGTAATTATTGTGGATAAGGTTTGATGTAGGAAAAAAAAATAGACTAAATGGTGATAGAAGAAAAAATTTAACCATTATAATGGATGATGACCTTATTATTAAAGTATGTTAAACATCAAGATCAAACGGAACAATATATCCTTCAGCTGATTTGCTCTTTGAAGAATTATCAAAATATTTGAAAAGTGAATATGACGCGTTGAAGAATGAAAAATGGATGGATATTGGCTACTTGCTTATGTGATGAACATCTAGGATAAGTTTCAAGTTGTTACTCCAAGTTTCACATAATTTTAAATCGCAGTGTAACTGGGCGGAGCAATTAGTATTTCTCTTTTGTAACTTGACTAGAATTACGCAAAGTTAGCCAACATTGCAATGATCGTACACTCTGTCAGGTCAAAATTTTGAGCGAAGCCCAGTTCCACTGAAATTTATGCGAAATTCTGGGACACAAAGAATCATCATTCAACTTGCGTTACGAATTTTTTCAGTTTCTACGCAGCAATTACTGGAAGTTGGTGGAGATTAAGGAGAACAATACACCATCTAATTGAGTATTTACGTAAGGAATACGGCTACATTTCTGTGGGATTTCAAGATGGCTTTTGAGAAGATCCGAGGAGCTTCGGTAATCAAAAGAGCAACTGTGTCCCAAAGGGTCTATTTTCTTAATACTTTGTTACATTACTTTGAGAAAATTAGTAATCGCATCCTTTTTCTTGTGAACGGTCCGTTCAACACATGTCAGACATGTCTAGCAATGACATGACAATTTATTGAAATAAAACAGCTAGTAGAAGAGTATTAATGTATTATACAATTACATTTTTTGTGAAATGAAATACTACGAAAGAAAATATACCAAATTTAAACACGATTCACGTTATCATAATACTATCAAAGACAAGAATCGTGTCTCTCACAGTAATTTTTCGGTTTTGAGAAAACCAATTAAAAATATGTATCCATGTAATACACATATTTTCGACTAATTAGAGAAATGTTACAGCTTGCATAGTTGATAGTAATGTTGCTCTTACATTTATTCCTGTACAGATGTTAACAGATCGCTCAAAGATGGACATTAGTATCCTTACTAGTGTACAACGGACTTTTTTAAAGAATAGGCAGTGTCAATGGGGGAAGACACTGTAAGGATCGGTTAAATTCTGCACATGTTATAGTAAGAATAGGTATTATATGTCAACTTATAAAATGGGGGTTCATTCGAAAATGAAGTAACGTACATTACCATTCGATAGTGAATTGTCATTTGTCAATCAGACCGAAAAACATATCCCCCCTCCCCCCCTCTTTCATTGTAACAATAGATAGTCATTCACTAAAGGGAATTTGATCGTTAAAAAAATCGCGGATTTTTGTGCCATATACAAAATAGTAGTTTTATTTTTTTTACACCCATTGTTACGCCCATTAGTTAGCTCATTTAGAAAAAGAGAGAGATAGAAATCAATAGGTTAGGAACTGATGAAAAAATAAATATGAGACCAAATAATATATTACATGTGATGCCAATGTTGCCAGTTTCATTGAACTATATAAAGCTACTATTTTGTGTTACTTCGTCAATGACGTGTAGAAAAATGGAATGTTGCTCACAATAATAATAAAATAATATACACTTTTCACCTATTTTATGGTGTCTTTAGCTATTATTAAAAAAAAAAATGAATCAAACTCTATTAAGTCCATCTCGTTTAAATGTTCATATAATTATTAATTTTAAGGTTTAATTAAAAAAAATTAAAAATTACGATTTTCTAACCTAATACACGATTTAATTCTTCTACAGGAGTATTAAGTATAGAAGGAGTTACTTCAGGAAAAAATTCATTATCATCATGTAATGAATTCTTTTCTGATAAAAATGAATCCCGACTATGAGATGATGTACTTTTAGTACTTTTAGTTGAAGAGGGGGGAGAATGAGGTGAATTACTATGTACATTTAAAGGTTCTTTAGGTGATTTTGGAGGTGAAGGAGGAGGAGTTGGCGTTGTTGTTTTTGGTATGTCATTTTGAATAGTTGAATGTAACAATGATGATGATGACGATGATGATGATGATGATTTATATGTAGGAAGGGTTAAATATTCCGTATTTGTACTTTTAGTTGATGTTGTGGTTATTGTAGGTGATACAATACTTGCTGGTGAGATACTGAGTGGAGAAATGTTTTGTGGAGAAGAATTTAATGGAGCAAAATTTTCTATTAACATACTAGGAATTCGATTATCTACAGAATCTGCCGGATCTACTGAAACTGCAGAAACTGCAGTTGATAATGTAATTGGAATAGAATCCATGGAACTATCCTGTGATTTTTGTGCATCATTTTCAGTATTATTCGATGTACTATCAGAGGTATTTGGGATGGGTTTATTATTAGTTTTATTACTGGTTATATTAGTATTTTTATTATTGTTGTCATTATTATTGTCGTTATTGTTATCATTACTATTATCGTTACTGTTGCTATTGTTGTTAGAAGTGATACTAGCGTGATTTAAAATACCAGCAATACCCGCTCTACGACGAATATTAACAGATTGAGACCATCTCCGCAAAGCCGACGTGGAAGAAGTAGTAGTTTGAACTGAACTACTTGAAGAATTACTCGAATTAGAAGAAGGTAAATTATTCTCTACGTCTGATTCCTTAATATGCTCTTTCACAGGTTCCTTTAAGGTCTCCTTTACGACAGCGGAAGAAGAATCATCAGTACGTTGTTTCATAAATTGTTTTGATATAGAGCGAAATCTAGAAGTATTTGTTTTTAATAAATTTGGTTCAGAGAAAGCAGATTTTAACTTTGTTGTTGCCGTTGATGACCAGCTCCTGTTATTCTCCGTGGTATTAGAAGTGATTGCTGTAGGAATTGTAGGAATAGTAACTTCTACTTTAGCATCTGACTTAGTTGATTCTAATCTTGCAGGAGAAGAGATAATCGCTTTAAGAACTTCTTCATCTGTTGTTAAAGTTGTTTGAATATCTGCTACAACACTCTCTACTTCCTCAGTTGATTTGAGAATTTCCTTTTCGGAATCAGTTGGCAATAGAGCTGTCGGTGGCGTCGGTGGCGTCGATGGCGGTGTTACCGCTAGTGTATCCGTTTGTTGTTTCGGCTGTTCGACTTCGCCTTCGTAGATTCCGCCCATACCAAAGCTATTGAAGAAAGAGGTATCATCCATATTAGGTAATACTAAAGAATCCATAATCATTTCATGAATTTTTGATTCGATAGCTTTAATAACAGGGGCAAATTTTAATTGAGTTTCAGATACGACAGGTTCAATTAAAAGATCCAATTTTGGCATTTCATAAAATCCCATCCAAAGTCTATTTGTAGGAGGAGATTTTATACGTAATAACATTTTTCCTTGTAATCCCCTTAATACAACAGCTAACACTAAAGGTACTTTGATAGTCTTCAATCCTGTAACGGAAATGATCGCTTCAGTTTCAATTTCTACACGAAAACCTCCAGTATAATTTAAATTTATATCCACGTCTAAATCGCCGTCTGGTAATAATTTCACCAATTCTGGATTTGTTATATAAGGTATACCATCGCCTACGTCCACAGATTTTATTTGTATATCAGATAAAAATCCAGGTTTTTTCACTTTTTTTATTTTTCTTACTAATTTACGAATAAAATAATTTTTAACTGCTTGTGTTTTATATACCGATAAAAATATTCTACCTAGTATCGCGTTTAACCACTGAGTTTGTATATGATCATCGTTTGAATAAAGAGTCTTCAATAAATGATTCATAGCGAATGAATCAAATAGGGATTTATCCTTATTAATTTGTTTATCAGTAGAATTATCATTTGATTCTAGCTTGGAAGATCTCTGTAATGCAAAAAACCAATCTTCCTTTTCCACTCCGGTATCACAAAACAAGTAATAATTATTATTACTACAGTTATTGTTTTCTAAATTCACAGCCATTTCCGCACAAATTGATGGTTTTTTAGTTAACCTTATTGAACTAACTTTAGTAAATATTTCATTATCAGGCAATTGTTCAGGAAATATTGTTACGTCGTGATTTGATACTATTATGATACCTTTACAATCTAATTGTCTTTCGCTTTCATACATAAATAATGTATTATATTTCAATACCGCAAAAAATGAATCTTTCGTTCGTTTGTGGTTTTTATTATTATTGCTTGATCCTTCCATAAATGATGTTATCCCTTGTTTCATCATACCGAATGTACTTCTGTTTGATGCTCCGTTATTAGGTAGATCGAATTCTCTTGTTACTCTCAACCATCCGAATTTATGATATGACGAATCATCTCGGCTAGTAGAATTAAAGTTAAGAAGATCTTTCGGCGATACATCATCAAACTTCATTGTTGCATTCTTTTTTATTTTCCATGTCCATGGTGGAAATATAATTATCATTACTATTCCTCCTAACAATGGAAGGAAAGTAAGGCCACCAAATATGTATATTAATAAAAAACTCGCTAGTGTCATGTCTTCTTAACTAGGGGAAGCGATTAATAAAACAAAATTTAACGTGGGAAAATAACGAAATCGGTATTGAAATAACTAACTGCAATTTATGATGCAGTTAGTATAAGGTCAAGAAATAATAATCTTTTTTTTTTTGGGCTTATGTCACTTAGTCGTTTGTATGTATATATAGCAAGAGATTATCAAAAAAAAAAACCCCCCAACTAAACTTTTACAAAAATTGGATCAATCATTTATGTGAAAAACGTAAATTTTGTTTATCCCTTATGAATGTTATGAATGACAATTGTTGATACTTCACTTGTTGATCAATTATTATTTTTTTTTTAGCATGTGATATCTATGGTTAAAAGTGATTCAGAAATTGCGGGCGTTACCTATAGCGGGAATCAATTAAATTTTCCGATTCAATAAGGTTTCATTGTTTCATTTTAGTTTTTTTTTAGTTTAACCCTTTTTTTTTGTTTGAGGAACCTTATTTTTCTTTGTAAAACTTTTTAGCATCAAAAGGAATTTGAAAATGCACTCTTTTATACGTTCTTCGTTTTCATGTCTAGTGTTAATCCTTCTAAGGTATTTACCTTTTTTATCTTTCAGGTCGTTTAATTAAAGCTATAATGTTTTTTGTTTATAATCAAAATTATTAGTTTATTTGCTATACCGTCATTCTGTGTAGAAACATACAAGATCGAAGGAAAACTAGTTCCTAGCTCGACATTAAAAGGTAAACCATCACATCGAAAATAATTTATTCAAGTAATTTAAAACTTTTTTTTTGACCTAAAAAATTAACCATGAATTTTTTCGAAAAATAGATTTATCACAACTTGAACCAACAACGAAGATTATATTGGATGGAGGAAAATACTCTGCATTAATTCGTAAGAATGGAAAATTCGTAATGTACCTAATTTAATGGTTTATTATGTTAAAATCTTGAAAGAATGATGAATTTTAGTGATAACTTGATTATATTTCCAGAGATGATGTACCACAAGGATCTTACTTGTTGGAAATTTCTTCAAAAAAATTTATATATCCCAAGGTAATTTTTTCTAGATATTTTAAGGTCGAATATTATCTGTCATAGATCAACCAGTTGAAAAGAAATTTTTTAAACCGTGTTAGATAAGGGTTGATGTTGACTCAGAAGGAGTTAAACCTTTTGTAACAATAATAGGTAGTGAATGGAGTAATACTGGACCTTCTTTACAATATCCATTAGAATTATCTGCTAGATCTACGTCAGAATATTTTATGGTAAATATCTATTAGATAGTTTCAGTCTTTTTTATTTTTTTTATTTGTATATTTTATATCATTCTTTATTTATAGGTTAGAGATGGATTTAGTATTGCGAGTTTATTTGCAAATCCGTATATAATTATGATGGGTTTCAGTGTATTATTATTATTTATTATGCCAAAAATGATGGCTAATATGGGTGAGCCATTTATGAGGTTAAACTCTGGTTCCGTAAAAAAAAAAAAAAGAATTAATGCTTATACTTCTCTTTTGTTAAACTGACAGATCCAGATGCCTTAAGAGAACTTCAAGAAAATCAAACGCAAAATCCATTAGCCGAAATGCCTGATCTTTCTTCCACTATAGCAAATTTCATGTCAGGTGGTAATAATAATAATGCTAATGCCGAAAGGAGAAGAAACTAAATTTTTAAAAGGTTGAATGTTTATGTTCTTATTTTAATGATTCACAAAATGGTAAATGAAAGTCTACAGCCAAGTTTGAGAATATGTTAGGGTCAGGATGGTATAGTTATCATAATGTGTCATGGCCTTTGTTTTATTTTTGGTTCTTATAAATTTTTTTTGTAAAAAATTTTATTTGTCACTACACCCTGTATTTAATGTAAGTGTATAAAATAAAACGCATATTACTCATGTTTTTAAATAATAGAAGGATCATATATAAAAGTCAATCTTCAAAGTTATTGAATAGATTTTTTTATACAATTGAAAGACATGATATTGGACCATTATGTATTAATGCAAGATGTAATTTTATTGTAAAATAATATTAATTTAATTAAAATAAATGATTTATATAAAATTATTTTAAGTTATTTTAACATTTTACTTATACTAAAATAGTACATTTTAATAAATTTCATCTTAGATTATTTTGGCTTAAATCATAGCTAAAATTTATTCTGTAAATTTATTTTTATATATTGCAATTCACATCCCCCCAGTTTTAGAGAATATTACTTCTCCCTTAAATGAGCATTCCATAGAAACCTACTACATTACAAAAAAAAAGAAATAAAAAAGAAAAAAAATGTAAAAAAAAGGAGTTAATACATAAGTGCTAACTGCAAAGTCACCCATTTTATTTTAGCAAATCTAAGCACTAAAATCTAAGCAGTCCTTCCATCAGAATTCTAGTTTTCTTAGCATTAATCAAATTTAAAGTTACTTGTCAAAATTAATGAATTTTATCATATTGAAATTGTCAAATTAATTTTTTTACATTTAGTAATAATAGAATAATTTTGTTATTTCATCATGTTAAAATATTAAAATTATTTTTACCATTTTGGTAATGGTCTTTTTATTTTTGGCAAGTAATTTCAACTAAAACTTAAATTAGTTTGTCAATACTGTTAAAGTTTTTTTTATTTTTTTAAAAAATTTTCTTGTTAATTAATGACATCTTTTGCAAAACATCAAGATTATTATCTTAATTCTTATTCTATTAATGTTTTCTTTTTAATAACTAATTTCTGGCTTTATTTAAATAGGAAACTAGGAACCGGAAATATATATATAGGGGTCAGGTGGCGAAAAATTTTTTTATTATAAGCTGCTATACGCAGAGACTTTTTATATAAGTAATATATATAATTAATACCTAATATTGAAAATCCTGCAAAAATATGCAAATAAAATTTCAGACATTAAGTTATTAATTATTTTATCATAGCTTCTATATTATTTATAAAACCAAATACTAATGTGAAAAAATAGAATTTACCATTTTTTTAATAATATTTTTCTAAAATTTCACTTTTTAACCCTTAGAAATTTCTTACAATTTAGTTAATTAAATAAGTATATACAGTAAATATATTATATATATAAGATTAGCCAAATTTAAGTCAAAAATATGCAAACTAATTTTTTACATATAAAAATTTTAATAAAAAATACACAATCTTGATAACCTAACTATAGATGAAAAATTCTAAAATTGTACGCAAATCAAAACTTTACTCTGTCTAATTTCACTATGATAGCGATGCATTTGTATACCTACCCCTGTCCCCTGTATATATATTTCTGAGTCCTAAAAAACCAAATGTCATTTCCAAACACCAGTATATTTGTATAAAGAGAATTTTGTATATTTGTTAATTTACAATTTGTAATATATTATTAATTTACATCTATTCCTAGTATCTTGAATAATTTTAAATACTTTGCAACCAATATTGTAAAAGTTAAGTAAGCAGAATTGGTAATAAAGTTAAAAATATCTATTATCACAGCCTAAAAATCTTTTGCATTTTTTACATTATTTTAAATTCTAATTTACCAGAAATTATTATATAAGGATTCTTTTTAAAGAAGCTGTTCAGACTCCTTTATTTAATAGTCCTATAATTATCTCATTGAGGTCTATTAAAATAGTAACTATATCATATTTCTTTTGTATTTTAATTTTTATTGCAATTATATGACTCCAGTTTTTCAAGTGATTAAAAATTTTAAGTTAAAACTAGGTGAAGTTTAAAAGAAATATTATATATTATTAACTTATAAACTTGATCTTTAATTGTTAAATCATATTTAGTTATAATAGTTAAAATTTTTTTTCAAATATATACATAACCTTCTTGTTTACTTTAATTTTACATTTTAGTAAATATACTACACTTTTGTACATTCTATTTAATTTCACTATTAGAAGAAATAATAAACTAAATCTACTAGGACTTGAAGATTACTAAAATAACTTAGATTTTATATAATCAAAATTTTAAAATGTGATATTTCAGTAAATATTACATTTAAAAAAATAAATTATATATCAAATATTCATTTTGTTGAAATAAATTTAACAAACTAAAAACCATTAAAATCTAATTATTGGAATTTGAATTCTAAAATAGCAAATTTGAAACTAAAATCTACATTTAATTTTATATATTTAAAACAAAAATTAATTATAAAGTTTATACAAATTTAGATCTAAGTTTTTTTAGTAATTTTTGGAGTCCTAGTTTACTGCAGTTACTATCTATATCCTATTTAATAATTTTGGTATAACTAATTTGTTTATTCTTTTCTTTTGGAGTAAAAAGTGTAGCTTTTATATCTAATTTTTTTGTTATTATTAATTGTAACATGATCATTGATTAGTATTTGAATTCATCTGAGATTTTCATTTTCATTAATATAACTTTGGCATAATGATATTATTGGTTTATTATAATGACATCATTTTAATAACTAATTGCTTTAATATTTTTATATTTTTTTTAGTCCAAATTTTAAATAGGCTTTATACAAATTAGCAAAAACAAAGAATACTACAAAAATACATAAAACTGGAATTATATTGATACTAAATTATTTAAGCTTTTTATTAAAAGACTTTTGAATACTAAGAAGATCATTATTATATTCTTTTTTAGTAAATAATTGCTGTAATATTGTGAAATACCAGTTTTACTGATATTTCTATAATTTAGCAGTATTTTTTTTGTAAATTTGAAAAATATTATTTTTGATAAAAATATGATAGTAAACTTTTAAACTTCTAAGAGGTTTACAATAGAATCTTTAGTTAGCAAATTAGCTATATTTTCATATATTTTTTAAAAAAAAAACTGAAAATATTTTGGAAAGAAATAAATAATATAATTATTAAAGAAGGTTCATTTATTTTCTGTAATTAATATTTGATTATTTTAATATTTTGATATATTTATACTTAGAAAATTTCTAAGTTTACATGGAGTGTTTGTACACGGGTCATATAAATATAATTTTTAATAGACTAATTTTTTGTTTTTTAATTTGAAATTGAATGCTACCAACATTATACTCTTTGACTTTTTATTTTTATTATATTACAGATAAATATATGTATTTTCACCTGCTCTACAAGTTTACTTAAGGCATTAAAGAAGGTTTTGAATGCCGTTTTCAATCTACTAATATGACCCGTGTTTAAACACCCTGTGTACAAATAGAAATTGCCTTATACTTAATAATTTTAGTATAATTATATTACTTTTTATTCTTTTAATATTTTTGCAATTATTTTAGAATTTAATAATTAGATTTAAATAAACTTTTTTTGTTTTATAAAGTTTATTAATAAAAAAAAAGATTGGCTAAATTAAATTATTAAATAATAAAATAATTGCAAAAAACTAATTTTTTAATTTTTAAATTTAATTAAATTTATTTTTTTTTATTAATAAAATCAAACTATAAATTGTTTTATTAAAGTTTTATTATATATATTTTTTTTTTAAAAAAAAAACAATATTGGTTTTTATATTCAAATATATATAATATTATTTATTTATTAATAAAATTTTAATTATCATAATTTTTAATTTTTTTCTTTAATAAGTAATATAAAAATTAAACTATTATTTATTTATTAAAATAAGCATATACTTTTATTTAACATAATTTTAATAAAATAAATTTATAAGTTATTTTATATTTTAGGATTTAAATTTTAAATTTTATATAAAAGTTAAAAAAAACTATTTTAATTCATACTTTAGTTTTTAAGTAAAGTTATAAAACAAGCAAAAATATATATAATATATATTTTTTAAAAGCTCTATAATGTGTATATAAAGTTTATGCAATATTTATTTAAAAATCAGAAAATTTTAATGATATCATATAATAAAAATCAATCAACATATTTACTATAAAAAAATTACTAAAAAGAGGGATATATTACTATATACCTATTTATATATTTAATATTTTATTATTAAATAAGGATAAATTTAATTGTAACAGCCTGTTACGCGTCTTATTTGTAACAACTCCCAATTTTATCCAATTAAAATTTAAGATCAGGCGTAATGTAAACAAAAACAAAAGATCAGTCGTGTAACTAAGACAAAAGAATTTTTTAAAAAATTTCAAGAAACTGCTTATAACTTAAAATTTTGTCTATGAAACTGTCTTAAAAAAGTTTTCCAAATTAAATTTTGCATATAAAAATTTTATTTGTGAAACACATATTAAATTTATTATTAAAAAAAAATAAAAAAAGGATGTTACAAATAAGATATGTAACAGGCTGTTACAAATACATTTTTTCATTAAATAATATATATTTAATAGAGTTTTACTAACTTATCCTTTAAGTAGAATTCTGCCTATTATTAAAATAAGTCACTTTAGCTATAGTCTAATCATCTAAGATAAGGTTTATATATAAAACTCTTTAAAAATCCTACTATAAAAGAAAATTTTATATTACATTAATATGATTTTTTTTCTTTTTAGTTAATTAGTAATTAATAGAATTTAAGCAAATTCTAAAATAAAATTTTATATGAAAACAAAATTTCTATTGGTGAATATCTTAATAGTAGGTGAGATTTTTACTAAATTAAATAACCTAAATTAAATTCTCTTTTTAAAATTTATATTATTTTTTTTTTAAAAAAAAAAAATTGTTTGTATTATTATTTATTTTGCTTTATATAGATTTCATTTATTTGAATATTATAAAGTATAATAATCAAATTTTCTTACATTTTTGATAATGTTTTTTTATTTTTAATTGTAACCATAATATACATTTTTTTTTAATTATATAAAATTTACTAATAGATTAAATTATTTAGATAATTAGATTAAATTACCTTAAATTAAAATTAGTTTATATTTTTTAATATTATTTATTTAAATATAAAATTTTTACTTCAAATCACTAGAGGTGATCATCACTGTTGGCCAGAATTATCAATTTTTACTGGTACTATATATTTTTAATGCTGATCAATTAGTAATTATCACTCTAGTAATAGTTAGAAAAATTTTAGATATAAATTAAGGAGTTTACAGATATTACATAATTATTAAAGAAAGGAAATCAGAAGGAAGTAATCAGAATTTTACATTATACTTAATAAAATTATATTGATTTATAAATATTATATTTATATAAAATAATAATTATAAATTAATCATTAATTTTATAATCATCTAGATGACAGGTTGATTTTTTTTTGGAGAAGTAGTCTTTTTTATAATACTTAATTCTTATATATACTATATTTTTCTTATTTTTATAAGTTTAGTATATGTAAGTAAGCGTAGTTATATTAAGACAAAATCGCATCTATATAAATTAATAAAAAAAAAAAAAAAAAATTAATTAATCTATTGTATATATATAATTTGTTATATATAAAAAAAAGTATGATCTATGATGTAACTAAACTACATTATATAACAGATAACATAGGTAATATAATATAAAATATTATATAAATTAATTTAAATATAGTTATACACAAAAACAATTATTATATAGAAGATTTATAATTATTTTCTATAATGTATAAGTTTTATATTATCCTTAAAAATTTAAATATTAAATTAAACTATATATATAATAGTAAATTGAACTGTATTCTAATTAATTTATTATTAATTTTTTTTTGTATTTCAAGTATATCAAATATAGCTGATCAAAACTTTTATTAAATTTATATAAAATCATATTTAACTACAAAATTTAAAAGACTTTTTACTCTTTTTGTATAATAAAAATGTTTTGGCATATTGGTATCAAATAACACCATTTAAACTAAAAAAAATAAAACAAAAATAAAAAAAAATAAATAAGAAATAAAAGAAAATAATCAGTAATGAAACCATTTAACTATAACTACATTTCTGAAACTAAAACAATTCAAATATTTTTTTGAACTTAATTAAAATACTTCTAATTATTTTCTTAGCATTAATTAAATATTAGCTAAAACCACATCACTATTTTTATTTTTGTAAATTATTTATATTGATTAATTTGTTTATATATTACTTTCTTAAAATAGCAATAATAAACATAAAAGTTTATATTTCTAATGTGATAATAAATTATTTCTTTTTTAAATAAATATAAAAATTATTATATTTGCATTTATAAATCATATAAAATAAATTTTTATTTAATAGTAAAATTTAACTTTTTAACTAAAGCAGTTACAGTAAAATAAATATAAAATTTTAATAGTTTAATTAACAATAACTAAAAATTATATTTCAAACTTTATAAAAATTTTTTTTTTTTTTTTATTTATAGTATATCTGGTTGAAACTTTATGTTAACATCGTAACAGTACAAGATACAAATAAGGAAAGTCCTCCACTCCCGCTGTGCAATGAGAATGTTCAGGCACACTTGAAAAACTTCATAAAAATTGAATTAGTAGTTAACTAGTTATTAAGAAATTAAATTAATAATTTATTGTTAATTTTTAATTATTAATTTTTCAATAATTACTAATTTGATTTTTATGAAATTTGAAATATAATCTTTAAAGTTGCAGGCTAAACTGGTTTTTGAATTTAGCAAAACGTCTAAACCTCAGTTTCGTCAATTTTTTTATAAGAGTTTATTATAGTTTTGTCATTTCATATAATTTTTATAGTCAAGTTTCCCCAAATTTTTATTAATATTTTAATATAGTTTTGTCAAGTTTCACATTTACTATAAGGTTTCGCCTGCAACCTTAATAATCTTATTTTTACCTAATTATTTAATTTTATATTTATTTTTATTATAATCACTCTAGTTGAAAAGTTAAAAATTTATCATTAAGAAAAAAATCTTGTATTATATAATTTGTAAATATCAAACATCAATAAAATAATTTTTTATATTTATTTAAGAAATTATAATGTAAAGAATTTTTTTTAAAAAAAAAACTTAAATAAATTTTTATTTAATATAATTAAAAATAAAGTAATCCTAAACTTTTTATGTAAAAGTATATAATTTACTATAATCTACTGAAATTCTATATTAAACTACACAGTTTATCTTCACTATAATAAATCCTATGGGCTGGAGATTAAAATTTATTATAATGAGAAATTCACTATACTGAAGATCATTTTATTATATATAAAAAATCTGTATTTAAATTTTTCTTTATTATAGCAAATTATTCATTATATAAAAATTTGCTATAAGGAGGGTAAACTGTATTTATTTAATTCTATTAATTATAATTACTTTTAATTAGCAAATTTAAATATTTAATTATTAAACTTTAGATAAAAATTAAATATTTGAAGTTAAATATATATGGTTATTTAAATTTTTTAGTAATTTATTTTTTAATTATTTAGATTAAAAATATTACAATATTTTATATTATTATAATAATTTATAAAATAAATTAGCATTTATTATATATTTTATTAGGAAACTTATATATTTACATTTTATTTTTATTTTTGGAATAATTATGCTAGATTATATCTTTGTAAGCTATTTTGTTTAACAAAAACTAAAAAGTAAAATTATATTTAAAGATCAAAATAAGCAATACTGGTAATGCTAGTAAAGACTAATAATTCCAATATGTCTGAACTGGGGTTTGCACAAATATTTATATAAAATTTTCCTTTTATAGATAATGTAAGATACAAACTGGCATTATTGTAATTCCGGCTCTGAAAAAATACGTACAACTAATAGTTGGCTGCATCGTCTTTATAATTTATATACAGTACATAACTTTTGGGTCCAAGCCAAAGCCCGGCCTAGATCATATAATCCCAAATATCATTAAAAAAAAACTTTGTTTTTAACAATCTTTCTATTTAAAAAGAATATTGTTTAAACAGTGATGACTTATCAAAGAAGCGCAAGATATTATAGGTCTAATCATATTATGATTTGTTTGTTGCAAAACTGACAATAGAATTTTCTTGTTTACATAATTATCACACATACACTGCATGGATACTGTGTAATAGATCACAAAATGCAAATGTATTGTTTAAAACTGCAAAACATGAATACAGACGTTCTGGTGCATGTGTATTTGTTTGTAATTATTCAATTGAAAAAAAAAAATGAATTTTTAATCGTTTTTATGGATTATCTTCATTCATCAAAAATGAAAAAATCATTATACTTGACTCTAATTTTCGTATTATACATTTCATGTTCGAGTGTCTTCTCTTATGAAATAATTAAAACATCCAAGGATGTAACAAATATGGAACTAATATTAGATGTTAGGACATATGATGACGGAACTTATATGCTTTACGGATGGGACAAAATATTATTTGTTTTTCCAAATGATTCATCTGCTGAGATTGATCGTGAAAAATATCTCCGAAACGGGTACAACAATATTAGAACATACCCATTAACAAAAAACTATTTTCTTTATTTGTATGGGAAAGATTTCGATCAATATGGAGATATTATAGATTGGAATGGTAATATTATTTTAAAGTAAGAACAATTTTCTTTTTTGAATAATGAATGCTTAAAAAGAATAAACTTAAATTTTACGTTATATACATGTTAGTAATATATTTTTTGGACCTACAAATCGGGATGATAATAATGATATTGATATCAAAGGAATTGAAATAGAAAAGCCAAGTTTTTTAATTGCACTGGGCGTTCCCGAAGGTGATTATTTTTATTGGAAAAGATTTGAATTCAAAAATGACATCACCAGTTTCTTAGAGGTGGTGAACAGTTCCATCATAATAGATAAAGACTACATGATAAGTCAAGTTAAAATTTTTAATACTATTGACGGACGCCAAGCTATTGTATATTCAACCACTTTAAGAAATGGTAGTACTAGCTATTCTGATGCACCAGTTTTTTACGAAAAAGCCACTGCGCAGATTTCCATATTAACATTTAAGGAAGATTTGATACAAACTTTTGAACCAGTAATTTTGTTCGAAATCAATACTATGCTCGGCGTTATTTTAAAAGTAGATGAATGTCAAGCCAGTTTTAATGCTCAAAATAATGTTTGTTTTATTAGAATTTTGCATGCAAATGGGACTTTATATAAATCGATACTTTTTTCAACTGCTGGTTCAGTAATTAAAATCGAAAACTTGAAAAATTTTGGCAGTGAAAATTCAAATATAATAGTTAGTGATGAGAGCACATTGATACCTTTTTTATATGGAGGATACATTCTAGTTAATAGTATAAATAACATCAATGTTGGCTATATTTATGATGAGAATGGGAATAATATTAGGGAATTGGATATACCTGAAATTTATAAAAATTCGGGTAATATATATAGAAGTGGTGTACTTTCAATTAATAATACGGCTTGGATGTTGCTTGATAATAGTAGTATTGGTTGGTCACTTGCAACATTTGAGACGCCTCAAGAACTTAACAAAGGTAAGTCATTTCGATTTTGTAATTTGTTATAGCAAACACTATATTTACTCACGCTTAATTTAATAATGATGTACCTTTTTTCTAAAGCCCAATTTCAAAACCCGTTAATCACATCACTTATACCATCGTTGAATCAACAAATTAATAAAAATGAAATATTGAATGTAAAAATAACATTTTCCATTAAAGTAATAAAATCAACTGGAAAAATCACGATTTATGAGTTAAAAAATGATAACCAACCCATATTTAATATTAGACAAACTTATCCAGTGATGTCGGATCTTTGCGAACTACAAGACGGTGGTAATGCTTTATCTTGTCAAATCCTACAAAGTACATTCAATAGACCAAATAGTAATTATATGATTGTTGTTGATAATGGATTTGTTAGATCTTTCTCTATTGAAGAACCATTATCCGGAATTAATAAAGGATTTTGGAAGGTGACTACTAACCAATGTAAGAAAAATTTTATTTGCTGGCATTATCTTTATAAGAAGCAGGATTTTTTATTAACACATTTTGATTCAGTAACCGAACCAAATAAAATAGCAGGTAAATAACATGCGTAAGTTTATTACGTATGTACTGTACTTATAACGAACACATTAAAATAATATAATTATGCATTTTTCACTAACTAGAGTCTACAACGGGAACATTACAACTTACAACATTTGGAACAAGTTATTATAACAATTTTTCTTCATCAGCCGAAAAAGACGATTTTAAGAACGCATTACAAAATCAGCTATGTGATAGCATTCCAATCAACCAATCAAGATTTCGAATGTCGGGAAAATTGCTACCTGATACGCGAAAAAAGGACCAACTTTTGATTGAATTTAAAATTTTATCAACTCAAGATAAATATGAACCAAATGTTGAGAGTATCATAAATGATTTAAATACAATTATAAAAAATAAAGAAATCGTATTGCCTTTAAATCTTTCTAATCTTATTGATCAAGAATATGGGTTTGTTCAAGCATGTAAGTTTTAAAATGAGAATATTTTCATCTAATAGTTAACTATCAGCATTCAACTAACAAAAAGTATGCATTATTATTATTAGCAAATATATGGGAAGAAAATAAATTTATATTATTGGGTTTAGGCATAGCACTGCTTATTTTTTGTTTGATTTATTTATGGGCTAGAAGAAGAAATTCGGAGGTAGACAAAATTTATGAAAAATTCAATCTAAGAGAAACTCAGTCGTAATTATTATACTAATTAATTAATATATCAAATCCATTTATTTGTAGGGTAACAATTTTGCATTAATTCAGGCTGTAATGATTTGGTTTGATTTAACGATGGATATTCTATTTATTGTCAAGAATGGTCATGATGTAGAAAAATTATACATCCCAAGGTAAGGATTTTATCTTTAAGTCGGATATATTAAATTCATTAATATCTAACATGTACATGTATTATCTTTCTCATTTAGTGTAATTGTTTTAGCAGTATCAATCATTTTCAACGTAATTTCAGCATTTAAATTATTTACATACGAATTAAAAAACAATGAGAAATTTTTAGAATGGTTTATAGGGAACGCTAAATTAGCATCAATTTTCACAATTTTATCATCTGCCGATGTAGGTGCCTTGAGTATATTGAACTCAAGGTTCGGTGGATTCGAATTATTTAATTCATCATTATCATTAAAAACTCAAAAAAAGATATTTTACGGTACGACTGCTAATTTATTTATTGAGGACATACCACAGTTAACAATTCAGGTAATATATATGCATATATTTAAATACGCAAATTTGTCTAAACTGAGGTATCGATGATGTTTAACAGAATCATTTATTATATAGATTCTATACAGAATGAACGTAATTACCTATAGTACAATTCCGCTTTTAAGCTTAATTACAAGCTCTATATTGGTTGCAAGTGACGTATTATCAAGAACTTACAATCTCATTTCTGGGTTATATTTTATACATAAAAAGAAGGAACCAAAAGATAGCAATGAATCTGATTTACCTGAGGTGTTAATCGATTAATTTCACTATCGATAATCGAATTAGATTATTATTATTAAAAATAACTTTTGCTGCGGAGTTAATTTATGGTTACTCATAGGATGAGTATATCTGATATGATAAATTTTATCTATAATGACAGTTGAATTTTGATATATAATTATATCTTTGTTGTACAATTAATTTTCTTCTTCTAAGCAGTAAAGTGAAATATGAATATTGATAATATATCCAATGTTGAAGATTTTCAGGTTAAACTAGTACGATGTAAAATTATCAGTACTTTTTTTTACTATTGGTCAACTGTACGACCAGTAATTCACTTTTTTTAATCTTTTTTTAATAAATGCTCGTGATGAGAATTTTCACGCACATAAATTTTTTTACTGATAAATTAATTTTTTTCGAAGTACGGTACATAATAAGCCACTGGTCAAGAGTCTATTTTATTATTAGTCTCGATTTTTTACAAATATATATTTCCTCAAACTTTCTCTCAAACTTCTTTCTTTAAAAATAACTTTACAGAATTATATTTATAGCATAATGTTATTTTGTTATTATTGTAAGTACAAATATTGAGAACTGAACTCTCTCTTGAAAAAATATATATATATATGGATAATCTTTAGAAAAACATAATGGATAGCTAATAAAAAGGAAGTAACCAATATATCAGTTATCAAACCAAAGTAATAGGAGGGTTTGCATCTTAAAGATTCGAAAAATTACAATAATATTAAGTTCATTAAAAAAAAATAATTAAAACATTAAATAATAAAACCTAAAGATATTAAAACAACATACAAACCATTCTTTGCAGGATCTACAAATCAAAAGTAAATCGGTCTCGTCAGGTCCTTAGCCGGTTTGGAATTTTTGGAAAAGTAGCAACAACTGTGCCTTAAAATTTTGAGGCACAGTAGGTTAGTCTAAGGGAAAAAAACTTTTTTTGCCCAGCTTTTTGGCATTTATCCTACAACAGAAGGTCCTTACCAGGGGCTTAATGAACTCGTAGTTAAATAGCAGATTTTATCGACCATTTCAGGTTTTACATTATTTCGTTGTTTTTTGCATAGAAATTAAGTTTTTTAAATGCTGTTCGGATATTTTCTTTTAATAATGCAAAAATTGAGTTTTAAATAGGCAGGGATTATGGTGACACCGTTTTCTTTGAGATGAACATCTACCAAAAAATAGCCATTGATTTGGTCGTATTCACAATCTCAGTGAATTATATTTTCTGCATATAAGTGCATTTGTAATCTATCTAAAAAACAATGATGTCTTTTCTGTATATCGTATCGTATAATAAAGCTTTACCCATATGACCATATTGGTTAATAATAATAGCATGATGTGAAACTGAAAATAAAACGATTAGCCGAAAGCATTTAATTGGTAATCTTTTCCATTTTACACAGTTGCTATACGCACTCCTGTGACTTTGACTTAAAAACATCAAAGGTTTTGTTGATGTGAATTTGGATTTGTATTGGAAACGGCCACAAATGCGTTTATATCACTTTATACGTGATAATATGTGATATCTAAGAGATAATATATAGTATATTTATATCATTTATTAATCGGACGATTGATAAAAAAGTAATTTGTTGCGAAGAAAAAAAAGCAAAGATAATTTATTATTTGTTAAAATAAATACTACCATTCTATTAATTAGGAATAAAAATTTGTACCCATTATTAAAATTAAATTACTATTCTAAATAAATTACAAACTAATAACTCCTCTTTAAAAATTAAAATATTTTTTATATCTATTATTTTATTCTCTGCTTATTCAATAAAACCCAAAAATTAATAGTAAATACTTGGTGCAGTACAAAGACAGAGGCCGTGACCTCGAGGTCATGCACTACCAAAACGGGATCACGTGATATATCAAGCTAACGAAGCTAACGGCTAATTTCTCTTACCACATAATCGATTTTATCCCAACCTAATTTAACAATAGTCAAAGCCGAGAATGATCTTATTCGTTGTATCTTATAATATCCGATGCGACGGAAAAGATCATAAATTTTTCGAGCTCTTTCTGTTTCTTACGAAACGTAGGTTTAGTTACCTCCTTTGGAAGCTCTTTCCTGATTTCATCATTGACTAGTCTCTGGGCCTCGTACTCCCCTTTAGTTTTTTTATGAAAGTCAAGACGCCACGATCTGAATTTAAAAAGTAGATACAATGATAAATAACAGTTATCATAATGGAAGTTTGGTTACCAGTAGTGACTGCCCCAGACTTTCTAGTGTCTAATCTTGGACGTATCAAAAACAAACGAAATCCCTGTAAAAGAAAAGGTTATATTAGTTATATACGAATAGGGTTAAAAATTAACAATGTTTATAAGAGTTTGCAGTTAGTTGCGTGAGCATTCCAGAAAATAAGCCTCATGTTAATAATGGCATTAAACATGACTGATAATTGGGAATGAGGTACTCCACTGGTAAAGACTACCCATATTTAAGTTACACAAAAAGTCATATATAATCAGTTATATCATTATATTTTGTGACTCATTTAACTTTTTTAAACTTTAATATTTTTAACGCGAAAAACTATCAATATGTCAGATATGTCAGATGAACTGTTGTCTTTACGACACGAAAGAGCTTTGGAATTATTACAAAAGCCAGAAATTAAGGAGTTTTTTGAGGACAGAAATAAAAGATTTATTAATATAACCGCATTGAAAGAGTGGGAAGAAGCGGGAGAACCGTTTGAAATATTAGGTATTTATAATCATCATAGAACATTTCAAAATCTCAATAAATTGAAACCTATCTGTTAAATTTTTAGCATCTTTAGAATATATGAAAAGAGAAGCTCATAAAATTGGCGTTAGCTCCGGATCGTTTAGTAATGTTACTGGTAAGTCTATTAATGTTCTACTTGATTAGTTAAAATAAAGTCACATAACTTTTTAACATTTTAAAGGAACCGGCGGATGTAACTCTGCCAATGGAAGATTGGAAGTATGTCTAAGATTTATCCCAACAATCACCAGAAGACCGGGAAGGTGCGCTCGTCTCATACTCCCGCCAGTGACCGACCTACCATATACAAGAACAATAAATATCGTAATAAAAATTCTAAACTAACCCATCTCTGACATATTACCTAAGCAAAATGCTCAACAGTCTGAATGACCTAAACCTTTTAAGGTATATTGAAAGAAATGTATACGAGAATATAGAGAAAATGAATTGCGATTAAGTCCTCCTACTCAAATTGGGATTTAATCCATAAATTTGCTTTTTTGTATGTACTAATTTTACCAAGATTTGATCGTTTGATATTATTACATCGTTTAGAGCAATTGCCTTCTTTAAAATTGAAGATCACGCATTATATGTAAGTTTTCTAAATAATTTTTACAGCAACTATCTCTAGTAATAGTATAAAATAATGTAAATCTATAGATCTAGCATTAGTATAGAATAATGTAGAGACGTTGTCATTGCTTGTATGAATAAAATATAGTAACAAAATGCAAATTTTTTCGCATTGTGCAAACATGATTGCTGACAATTTGGTAACTTTGCTAAAAGAATAAACGAAGATATTCTTAAAATTATATACATAGATTCTTTATTATTACAAAAAATTTTTTTCCCTAGAATTGTGAGTCTAGATTTTGGATCAAAATTCAGAAGGTTGTGAATTGTGGCAGTATTGTGGCACCATACAAAATTTAAATACAGATCAAAAAAAGGTTCGGGTTGCTTCGACTTCTAGCGCAGATTCTCTATGAAGGCCTTTCCTTTCCTTAATTTCAGAAATTCGAGTGGTATCAGAAGACAATTCCCGTATAAGTAAAACGGTAGAGTCCTTCTCTTGAACAGATTTCCAAGATTTTTTCACTGGTCGGAGTGAAATGATCTGCACGGAGTTTATACTATAGAAATTACCCACACTTATCATTTTAATGAAACCTTTATTAAATTTTATCGATTGAAATCATCAGGAAATTTTTTATGTGCAAATTATACATAAAAAAATTGTGAAAATGCGCAAGATTTTATTTTTTATGTTAATCGATTTAAGTACCCTCAAAAAGAGCATTGATTGAATAATAAATTGCAAGTTTTTATTTATACATTTTTAAGTATAATATTGTACATTTTTTTTATCATGTTGTATATTTTTAAGTATTTATATTGCACAATTTTAAATTTTCATGTTTGTCTTCGGGTTGGTGATTTTGCAATACAAAGATAAAAAAAAATGCGGGTGTCAACACACCCTTCCTGCTGTGTTAGCTTAAAGAGGCTTTCCTTTTCTCTAACTTCCGAAATCTTAGGTGTGCCGATGCTGACTATTACGGAAGCGGAGGATTAGGCTGATAATATCGTTATTGTCATTTTCAGTGGTTGACATCTTGCTTTCCTAAATACAAGGCCCATAGTGAGAAAATTTCGCTCTCATGCAAGCATAACTTCAGGCATTAATTTTTGCGGAGGTTTTTGCGGAAAAGTTGACTGAACTTCCACTAGTTTCAACATGCTTATATCTTGCTGAAAAAGGAGGAAAGGAGATAAGGAGCGTGATTAATATTATCGTATGATGCCAAGAAAACTATGAAGGCACATGTATGTGAAATCATCATAATTTTTTCATGGAGATCTACTGGAAAGACTCAAAGTTAGACTAACGCCTAGCGATCTTGGAATTGCGAAGTTCTCAGTCTTTCATAACATATGGTTTTGTCGTCACTATTAACTTATAGGGTAGGTCCTGTGTTGCATGTAGACCTCCTATCACATTTTTTTCACATTTGTTTATGTTTTCTTTCGAATATATATATGCAAAAATTAACAATTTGTGACTCAGCAAAAAAATCTTCCGAGCTGAAGATCACTGCTCCGGATTCGGGTTAGTTGTCCTCTCGATAAGTATTGCATTCAGATTATTAGCAATGCTGGACTGACTGATATAATTTTTAATCCCAGTTATACTATCAGTCACTGATTCTTTTTCCGCCTGAATAAGCACTTCTACCAATTCATGATAATAATCATTTTTTGCAATACATCTTCCTTTGGTGTTAATCCACTATAAAATTCACTTCTAAAATGATCTTTGCAGAGTTTGACAATATCATTACATTTCTTCGCCTTTAATCAGTAATCCACTATTGATTCTTCACCTTGAATAAACAATCTACATCAGAACTTCTCAATACCATCCGGCCATATTCCCTTCGAAGTTCATGCAGACAATATGGCAATTTTATCAGACTCAATATCACTTTTTTCTCTAAATATTTGAAAAAAGACTTCAGGGATATATTTTTCAAAAAATTATTTTACTGTCCTATCCTGAAGATCTCTGATCAAAAAATAATTGCTTAAGCGCTTTCTCTCTTCAACACCTCTAACTGCCTTGTCTCCCAATAGGTTTTTATTGTGCAAAAAAGATTGTCCCAGTATCTTTACTCATCGGGATTCCTTTCATTACCCCATTTATATTTCAATCCATATTCTTTGATAAATTCATCATAGCCTCCATCTGGCATTTTACCAATAGATCATTTATATTTTTATAAAAAATTATGTGACATATCCGCAAAAAAATAACTTATGTATGATCGATCACATTGCTGAAGATCACTGATCTGGCTCGTTATTCTGTGTAGGTTCATATTTTACTCCTTTGAATGGAATCGCAAAGTTATCATCTATAGTAAGTAATAAATTACACGTATCAATAGTTGCATTATTTTTTTGCGACCATGACATTCCCAAAATTAAATCAGGGTAATGATCAGGCCAATCTGACCCAAGAATCATGAATTCAGTGTGTTCAGACGTTCAGTACTTTTATGTTTCTCGTCAACATTAAAGCTAGACGAAATTTAAACTTTCCTAATATAGAATAGGACGCAAGTGGAGTTTGTAATTCAGCACTATTACTTTCATTGTGGTATGTAAGATCCAGCTCATTAATAATTTTTTGGCTAATACCATTTATATTGCCACCAAAGTCAATTGATGCTTTAATGGAAAATTTTTCTTCAATTATGCACTTCATTTTATTATGGCATATAATATTCAAACATAAAAAATAAACTATATTCACTGCTTCAGACTATTTGTCTGCTCCTTCTAAGATTCATCATCTTATTACCGAGATAATTTTCCTCATACACCTTACTTTATTTACTATAATGCTAGTTTTCTTTTTTAATGGCATATAATTAGAATCATTTGATACCATTTCTTCAAAATCCTCAGATTTCTCAGTTGAACTATTTATGGAATCTTTGTCACAATTACAATGCTCCATAGCAAATAGTTTAAGCCAGGAATGATAATCTTCCAATTTTTTTTTCTAGTGCTCTAATTTCTCCAGAAAGTGCACTATATACTTCTACATTTTACTTGTTTAATTCAAATAATATCTGGATTAATTTCTTCATATATCTAATAACTTTCTGCTCACCAGATATACTATCAGATGAATACTTTTAATCAGTTACCATTTTAGAGTTGTATTTATATATTATATCTCTAAACAAAAAAAATAATAAAATTTGCACAGCACTTTAATGATTAATAAATGATATCTAATCAGATCAGTCCTAGAAGGACCATCTATCTATATAATTAGTTTTCATTGAAAATGTAGAATAGTCTTACTTAATTATAAGGTTGCCTTTTTTTTATATATTGATTATAGTATATCTTTTAGATGGTTGTTAGAATTGTATCTTAATGTTTCATTGGAAAAGTATTAGCCTTTTGATAAATTCTTTATACTATGCATTATACCAGCAAATACTAATCCTAAATTGCATAAATAGCTAAAAAGAAATGGCTTACTACTTTTGGAAAGAAATTCAGCTTTTTTTAGAATATACTTAAGTATATAGATCTAGGTTTAGATATATACAAATTTAATTTTAGTAGGATGGGTGTAAAATATAATCATTACATTAGTTAAGATCTGTTTATTAGATGTATTAATTACATTATACAAATCCAATCTTTCCTTAATTTATTCTAATGATAAGTAGTCTGAAAAATTACTCACTTTCTATTCAAGTTAATTACTATGCTTTTTTTGGATTTTATTAAATAAATTGCATCACAATAGGACCTCACTTCTAAGATAAATTATCCAGTAAGATTTATATATAAATTTGTTAAAAATTCTTTTTAACTAATTAACCAATAGAATTTAAGCAAATTTTAAAGTAAGGTTTCATATAAAAGTTAAAATTTTTTACAGTACATCTATTAATAGTAGGCAGGGTTCTATTATAATATTTACTAAAATATTTATTAATAGTACTTATTGAATATAAGATATATTGAAAAAGTATTTACAAATATTAATTTAAAATATTAAAAAAATATTTAATTTTTTAAATACTTAATATTATTAACTATTAAGTATTTATTTTTTTATTATTTAATAAATATAAAATTTTAATATTATTAAATATTATTACTTGGTAGTGTTCTGCATGAATCGATTCATAACATGGTATGATCCTGATTATTTTTGAATAATAAAAACGTATTTTGCAAATATCTTTTGATTTAGCGGTCTGATTTTAATGATCTTTTTTTTTATTTTGATCAGGGCAATTAGACTTATCGATTAAAAAAAAATCATCGAAATTGGATCACTAGATTCTGAGATAATAATTTTTGAAGGTTGAATTGAGTCTGAATTAAATTCAAACCAAATTGAATTTCAGAGGAGAAATTTGATTTATACAAAACACTACTATTTGGTAAACATAAGGTTTTATTTGGTTTAATTTTGTAATATGATTATCTCTCAATTCAACATAGTAGAAATTATTATCTCTAAGGCTTTAAGTTTTTACAATTTTTTCAAAGTCTAGAAAAATAGAATGAAGTAATAATAACATTAGTAGTAATTTTAATTAAGGTTTCTGAAAAACTAAAGGGTTTTTGCAAGTTAATGAAATGCTAAAATAGTAAAACTTTACCAAAGCTATATAAAAGTTTTATTAAAAAAGTTAGCAAAATTCTAGAGAAAATAAAGTAAAATCTGATAAAACTTATTATAAATGTTAAAACTGCTAAAATCTTACTAAAATTATAATAAAATTATAATAAAATCTTGAAGAAACTAATTGTAGAATTTTAGAAAAGTTTAATAAATAAAGTAAATAAAGTGAAAAAAGAGTTAGACATTTCTTCTTTTTTTAATTTAATATCATACTTTTCCAATGAATTTTTAACTTAAAAGTAAAGATTTTTCATATATTTCTTATTTTTCTTGAACTGAAAATTCTTTTTTATCAGTTTATTATTTATATTTTGTTGCATATATGTTTAATTCCAGCCAGCCAATAAAAAAAGTATATTTTTTAAACAAAAGGAATGGCTAATAAAAGAAAAAAAACAAAATAATTAGTTTTTTTTAAACAANACACTACTATTTGGTAAACATAAGGTTTTATTTGGTTTAATTTTGTAATATGATTATCTCTCAATTCAACATAGTAGAAATTATTATCTCTAAGGCTTTAAGTTTTTACAATTTTTTCAAAGTCTAGAAAAATAGAATGAAGTAATAATAACATTAGTAGTAATTTTAATTAAGGTTTCTGAAAAACTAAAGGGTTTTTGCAAGTTAATGAAATGCTAAAATAGTAAAACTTTACCAAAGCTATATAAAAGTTTTATTAAAAAAGTTAGCAAAATTCTAGAGAAAATAAAGTAAAATCTGATAAAACTTATTATAAATGTTAAAACTGCTAAAATCTTACTAAAATTATAATAAAATTATAATAAAATCTTGAAGAAACTAATTGTAGAATTTTAGAAAAGTTTAATAAATAAAGTAAATAAAGTGAAAAAAGAGTTAGACATTTCTTCTTTTTTTAATTTAATATCATACTTTTCCAATGAATTTTTAACTTAAAAGTAAAGATTTTTCATATATTTCTTATTTTTCTTGAACTGAAAATTCTTTTTTATCAGTTTATTATTTTTTTTTTTTTTTTTTTCTGCAGCACATTCAGTAGTTTATTAAAAAAGTAAATTCAGTATGAAACTGCTTTTTCTTAAAGAGGAACCTCTCCTCTTAATCTATGTCCTAGAAAAATTTAATGATTTATTGTCTTCTGTATGTATAGAAGAAAAATCTTTATTCTTTAATCATTTATATTATGAGTCTTTTGCTATTTTGCTAAAAATGATTTTTTTTTGAGATATGTTTAATATATCAAAATACTTTTATTATACTTTTGTTATTATATTATTTTGTAATTATACTGTATCTAATTCTATAAAAATAATTCAAAATAATATCACAATGATTTTTTAATATTTTTATTATTGTAATGTAATATTATTTTAATATATTAATTTCAAAAATATTTCATATATATTTTGATATATTTTAAAAATTTTATAAAATAATTGCATAATTATTTTAAAAGCCACTGTATTTAGATTTGTAATAATATTTCAAAAAATTGATTTTTTGTAAAGCATTGTTGCTGGTTGTAATTAGACAGTAAATCTCTATCAGATAATATCCTCATATTGTTATCTAAGTGCATGTGGTGTATTATGGCAAAAATACTTGCCTGAGGAATTTGAGAGATTATTTAATGGTGAGAATGGTATAAGTAATATACTAATGTTTGCCAATACTTCTAAGAATGGAGATTGCCTTCCTCCTGTAAAGGATCACTGAAGATTGTTCAAATCCTTCAGCATTGCACCACAAGTGGCAACAACCCCGAATTACACATTGGATAAATTCTTCAATGAATCATACCAACGATCACTGTGGTCCCAACATCATTTTTTTTGTTAAATTTGAAAAAGTCACAGTTCCCGTTTTTGTACAGATTAAGTTATGCTATTCCCTTCACACAATTGCAGGGGCCCTTAGTACAATTCATCCAGAAATGTTTTATCAGGACAAGAATGGAGTAATTCTTGATGAGAAATCAAATAAACCTATCATTAATAAGATAAAACAAAGATGTGAGAAATGTGATGGTTCAATTGGCTTATTAATTGCTTACCCAGCTGATTTCTGTCAGGGATCATTTGTTACAAACAATCATTCGTATGATCTAAGAAACCGCTCAAAACAGAAACAATTAATCGGAATTATTAATTACAAGGATGCATCAAAAATTTTTCAAGGGGATCATCTAAAATTTTTAGATGCGCTTAAAGACATCATGAAGAAAGAGTAGTATAAGAGGTGGGAAAAGGTAGTAAAAAACGCAAGAATTAATTATTGCCGGAAGATTATATAGCTTGATGTCTTTAATCACGTTGTTATAAATATAAAATATGCAATTATTTGTTCCCGTGATACATGATATATAACCGTTACTGCGCATTTACTTATCGAGTTCAATGGGTACCAAGACCATTGAGATAACCCAAAAACAGCGAGATATACCGCTTAAGGTCATCATCCAAGTCAAATGTAGGTAGTCCTACTGCAACAGTAGCCATGTCGTCTCTGGTGGATTGTTGTTAGGAGGAGGAGGAGTCAGATTTCATATTCGATCACAACTTTCATATAGGATGCGATTTATTTTATCTAAGTGGGGTTTTAGGTCTCACTTTTTTTATTATTCCACGAAAAAATCACATTATTAAATAAAAACCTTATTAATAAAATGAGTATAGATTGGCAACTATATGATACCGTATAATGCGGGCCAGGGTATCTTGCAAATTTTAGGTGGTCAGTTGACGCTGTACCCGGAGGTGGACGAAATTTTTTATTATAAATGAACTGTTTTGAAAACTTGTAGTATATTCAGTATATTCAAAAAATTATTTACATGTGTCGCCTAAAATTAGAATGTTTAAATGATTTTTTTCAGAAAAAAGAGGGGGATACTATACATAAGGCAAACAGGTATTAATTGCCATATCATCTATTAATAATATATTTACATTTAATCAATACAAAAAAAAAAATATTTTTTTGACCAAGTAGCTTTTAATTTACAAACTAAATATCTTGAAGAATTGATCGAACGTGTCTTGCGAGGCAAGATGCGAGCACGCGTTATATGATATGTTTTATGATATATTAAAATCTATTCTATAAAGTACAGTTATGCAAACTAATAAGAATATAAAAATGAGTGCTATTATAATTATTTCCTTTGGTTTAAATTCCCGGTACTATAGATAGTTACACGCGTTCAGGCTTGGTTGTAACACACTTCAATATGAAATAAGTTGTGAGAGTATAATCAGACGATTATTGTTACCATGGGCAGGAGATACCTTTCCAAATGGTATCCTTATATAAGGAGCGTTATAATTTCAATTCAGGCTATGCCATACATGGATTTGACGAACTACCTTTTATTCCAAACTGTTGATTTGGCCATGATAAAAGGAAATTAAACAAAAAAAATATTATACTTCCTAGTTAATATTTAGAGTAAATGATTGTAAATCTGCATTAATAGCATTAAAATATACACTTCATTATTAATAAAGCCAAGAAATGATTAAGATGGTCCTTCCCAGAAGATAGAATCTGATAATAGATGAGAAAATAAAATACAACATTTATTAAAAGTTTAGAAGTGATATTATTTATACAAATAAACAAATAAAATATTAATATACAATATTTTTTCTAAAATTAATCAAAAACATCTAAAGTTTCTCTTCCTTTATAATCTAAGTGTTCCTGATTTACATAATATAATAAATAAGCAGCAAAAGCCGATAGAATAAATCCGATAAGGAAAATCACTATATCATTATTGTCTTGCTGAGATGATGAATATGAATCTATATCTGGTAAGTTTGTTTGACACCACTGTTCGATCTTTAATATATAAAAAGGAAAGAATTAGAAATTTTCATAATAAAAGAAATTTAAATAATGTGAAGTAAATTTACCTTTCCACATGCTACACTAATTTTCATAAAATTTGGATCTTTACTATCATTCTTTTGAATAATGACTTTTGAATAATAGCGAAAGATATTTGCGACTTCATAAATATTCGTACATTTTAGAATCAACTAAATAAAATTTTAAAATAAGTGTAAATTTCAAAACAAAATCTTCTGATTTAATATAGGTATATCTCTCACCTTAACAGTTTCACCTTTACGAATTTTAACGACTGAATGATAAACGTTATAATTTTTAAATAATAAAGCTAAAGTAGCAATAGCCATTACCTGAGGTATAGCACAAAAACTAAATATACTTTTATTCTGTATTTTATTCATATAAGTTAAACATTCAGGAGCATGTTGTAAAGCATTTAATATCATTGTTGATAAACAATCAACTGCTTTCTTTTCATATCCTGGTTTTCTAAAATCCGCTAAATCGTCAACATATTTTGTCCAAATTTCTTTTGGCCAAAATCTACGATTTACTAATAGATCTTCCAAGTAATCTCTTATAATATTCGTTTTTTGTAAAAACAATCCCATCAAATTCGAGCTGAAATTGCAAAAAGAGGGTGGAACTTAGAAGTTAAATTACAGTTAGAAAGAAGAAAAATGAAAAAGAAGAGAGAAGACCCACAGTTCGGTTTCTTTAGCTAACTCCGGTTTTTCCAATCCACTTGTACTAAATAAACTACTTAAACCGATTCCAACCAATCCAGCAACATAATGACAATATAAATCAAAATCTTTATTTGTCATAACTCCATATTTATTATATGCTGCATCCTTTGCATAATCAGCCATACCATTTCCCATCTTATCAGCAATATCTGCAATAACATTCTGAAACTTTTTTCTCAAACCTAAAAATTCTTCAATTACGACATCAAATTCCACAAGTAATTGCCGATCTTTTTCATCCGGACCGTCTATACAAATTAAAATTATTCATTGAGAATTTGTTTAAAAGCTTAAGAAAATAATAATTATTAAATATTCTTACTTTCGTCAAAAGTCCATCCTTTCTTATAAATTGTTTTATGAAAATCTCTCAATAAAGGTTCTTTCTTTTCAATAGGAATCGACATATCATCTTCAATGGTATCAAGCCCACGTAACACTAGATAAAATATACAAACCTAAAATTTTTCGAGATTATTTAAAAAAGGCATTCGTTAACTTTTATCAATGGCGAATAAGGCAGGATTGTTGATTACAAATAAGTTATTCTCAAAAAAATTTTTAGTAACTTATCAGGAACTACGTAATTCGGGAACCAATAAATTAACTTACGGCGTCTCTAATTTCATCGTCCAATTCTTGAATAACAGCAGCAAATGACCTAGAAGTTTTGTTTAAAAATTCATAACAGCGAATTTTTGCTTTTTGTTCAGGAGGAATTACATGAATAGGTGAAGACTTAAGAAACTTATATTGAATTAAAGCTACAATTTCACTTGGATGAAATATCGATTGAAAAAGAGATGTTGCCATTTCTTAAACTTAAATTTTAAAAACGTTTATGAAAAACAAGAGTAAAAATGAATGACTCTTTATTTCTTTCTTTTTCACATTACTAATGGGATTTTATACCGCATGATGGTGTAACATTAAAATTTTTCGCGTTTAGTTTCACGAAAATATGCAAACATGTGTCAATGTAAAGGTTTCGGTAATTAAATCACGTTATCACATTTCTTGTAAAACTGTTTATCCGTTTGCTATCAGTCTGATTGATTAAAACCGTTCATTGGTTGTTTTGCTAAGGAAATCTTTTTTTGTTAAGACATTAATTTAATTAATTTAACGGATTATCCGGATTATATCCATCATTCCAGCTTAGGAATTCGTTTTTTAACAATCCTGATTTTAGCAATTTTTTTCAAAAGCTTAATAAAAAGCTTTTGTTTATAGTTGCTGGCCTGCATTATAAGAACAACTGATACAGATTTTTTTTATCAATGTAAACATTACACAAGTTTATCATGTGATATTAGTTCAATACTCACTTAACATCTAGTACAACTAAAAGGATGAAAAGTCAGTCTCGAAAATTTTCTTCTTAAATAAATATGGCGTCAATACAATCATCTTCACAGGCTGTAAATGAAGAAAATGGACAATCTATTGAAGATGATAATAATTTTGTTCCTGTTCGTAAAACGTATAATACTTTAGGTCTAAGCATATTATGTATTGGTATCGCATCGTTTGTTATACAAACGGTAATAAAAGATATTATATTTTTAATCTTGAAATCTTGTTAATTAAAATTTTTTAACAGATTACCTTCCTTTTTCAAATAGGAACTAGCACAATTTGTACAAACAGGAATTAAATTTCATAAACCATATTTCATTCTGTAAGTTATAGTAATAATTTTATTATATTGTCTTTTTTTATTAAAAAATTTAATTAAAAGAAATTCATTAAATAGATGGGTAGCACATAGTTGTTATATGATAATATTACCGCTTCAATTTATGTTTAGACTGAATCCACTTCAATATTTAGTAGAATTTCTTGATGTTGGAGTTGAACTATTTGGTACAATTAAACCAACGTATTATTCAGTTTTAACAAGAAATCAAGCAGTGGAAGAAGTTGATCATAATAATTATTCGATTGACGATACATCTATAACTCAAATTTTAACATCCAGGTATTATAGATCAGTAATAATTTATATTCTAAAGATATCATTACTATTCGCTTGTGGTATATGTATATCAGGATATATTTGGTATATTGCCGTAAACTTAACCACAATGGCTAAATTAACGGCAATATATAACACGAGTTGTTTTTGGGCTTATGTATTTTCAATAATTTTATTAAGTGAGTCAATCAAAGTAGAAAAAATTATAGCGACATTTTTAAGTATTACAGGAGTAGTAATTATGACATTTTTTGGTAAAGAAAACAATGATAATGGACATTTTAATAATAATACTATTGTTATAGTGATGGGAGATTTATTAGCATGTTTTGGTGCTCTCATGTATGGATTATATCAAGTGCTTTATAAGAAATTAGGTAGTCCTCCAACACCGTCTTTTTTATTTGCAAATACAATAACAGGATTAATAGGAGTGCATACTTTTCTTTTTCTTTGGATACCGATACCATTATTACATTTTACTGGTATTGAATTATTTGAATTACCTGATTCAGGAACATTCGGCTTTATACTATTAATTGCAATAGCAGGAGTATTTTTTAATGCAAGTTTTATGTTAGTGATAGCATTAACTTCCCCTTTATTTGCTGCTATTGGTATTATGTTAACTATTCCAATTGTTGCTTGGGCTGATTTAATTGTTATTAATACACCGATAACTGTAAGTACTGTGGTCGGTAGTTTTTGTATATTATTAGCTTTTGTATTATTAAGTTGGGCAAGTATTAGGGATGAAATTAGAAAACTTTATTTTAGTTAGAGATAGATAATAGAGTAATTACTAGAATATTATCTAATGTAATTTTTGTAATATCTTTATTTTACTTAACTTTTTTTTAAAAAAAAAAAGTAAGAGATTTTTATTTCTCTTCAGTCCTTTTTATTTCATCATCTTGAAATCCTAAATTTTTCATTTCTTCAGGTGTCATTAGTCCTCTAATAATTAACATTAAATTTTTTTAAAAAAAAGTCATTAAAAGAAAGCTTTAAATTGGTCACATTTTAAATGAAAGGTTTTTTTTTTTTAAAAAAAAAAGTATAAATTAAATAATTTCTTACTTATCCATTCTACATTTTAAATAGGTTTTTGATAGATGTCTACAATTTCCATTATTTCCTTGATTTTTTTTCAAACATTCAAGATATTCTTTAACAAATTGTTTGCATTCACCTTTTTATTTAAACCATATTTATTTACTAAATAATATATATATTTTCATAATAATAAATAAAATACCTTCATGATCTAAAGGAAAACTTCCCTTTTCTGGTGGTGTTGGTTTGAATGTAGAAATATTTGGTGGTCTACCAAATGACATTTTTTTATCCTTTAATAAAGAAAATAAGTTTGAAAGAAAAATTGTTAGAGTCAGATATCAGGTCGTCAATTGTGTTCACGTCTGATAGCAATCGCGTCGCGTCAAAAATTCGATAATGTCAATTTAAAATGACGGACATACTTAGTCAGAGAAGTACAATTGTTTGCCTATATCACGCGCATTATTTTTATTTACAAATTTTTACAATTAAATTATAAAACTAAAATATATATTTAAAACTTGAAGGAAATATTCCCAACAGTGGTTAGAAACTTAGAAATGTTCCGAGGGTCGCGTATTAGTACATTTAATTGCTAATTATTCTATCCTATGCTAATGCTTACATCAATACACTTCTGATAACCCTTTCAAATAAACCTTTATTCCTATATTTTCATCATTCAAATTCTCAGCTTCTAATAGAATGTATTCATGTTGTTTAACAACTAAAAAGAAATATATGTCTTATTAATATGATCAAATAAGAATTCAAAAAGATAAATAACTTACAGCATGATACGTTCCCTAGATTCGCAAGTTTAAAGAACGTAGCAAACAGTCGTGATTTGACTGCTGTAACATCCGATGATCGTACGTCGTCTTTATGAAATAAAAGAGTTTGAATAATATCTCTCAATAATTAATTCGTATAACAATAGATTCTTACTTTGATCTTTCCTTCTGTATTTAACTTGATGGCACATTTTACTTCCTGTATCAAGAGAATATTTGATTTTGAAAATATGGTGATTTGTATTATGTTGAACTGATACAAGCAGGTTATCTTTGATTTTTGAAAATAATCTAGCCATTTTTAGAAGTTTGTATAAATCACTATCATTAAATTTTATCGCTCTCCGCTAAATTTTAAAGAAGAAACATTTTATAAATACAACGGATAAATAAATTAAAAATAAAATTTAAATTTGTATATTACACTGATTGGTGGAGGATTTTGTCTATAACGATTATCGCCCACAATCTCTACTTTAAATTTTGACGCCGATTTTTCATCACAATTCGTCTAAGATTATTTTAATATAATCAATATATAATATTTTAGTTAGATCAAAATTAAACAAAAAAAAAGTAAATTACCTCGAATAAAAGGATTGTAGTTTCCCCTATTATTTTAAGTTCCATTTTAACATTGGATTTATTGTCCATAGCTTCTAACGCTTGTAATAAACGAAGGATTTGAAATTTTAATATAAAATGATTTCTATCGTTGATTATGTTTATAGAACTAATCTCTTTAATATCTTTCAATGTTCTATTTGAATAAATTTATAAGAGGCATTATATATATTATATTACGTGTTTTATTAAAAACTTTCATTGAAAATTAGATAAAAAAATAATTTTTTGAATAAATTACCCAAAGACTTTCCCTTTGTTTGCTTCTTCATAAAGCAACTTAATTTCTCTTTCGTTGATAACCATAATCACGTTTTCTTTCGTGAAATCGCTCATATATAGCACTAACACTAAAAAGTCTTTCAGATAAAAATTTAAACGCGTTTTTTTGCTTAACAAAGGTACCTACCCCTAAAAGCGTCAACCTTTTCTTTATCAAGAAGGATCTTTAAACTAGAGGTCATACTTTCGCAAATTTGATTTCTCAGTTCATTATGTTCATAGATTCATATAAAATTCGATCTTTCATGTGATCGCAGAACAATCTGTGTAACAATAAATTTGTCCGTAAAATTTCGTTTTTTTTTACATTCCTCAATTTCTCCCTCATTATCAATGCTCATCTTTGATTTCTTTGAGGCATGTTGCATTCCTTTAGTTTTGCTTATTTTATTATGCCCAGATGCCAGACATTATTTCATTCCTTTACATGTTTGATACCCATTCATCCCGGCTAGCCTCTTCTTTCATATATAATAATAAAGAACATTCGATGATTCTAATTTTGTCATGTTTTTTACATTTTATCCAATATTACAAATTATATATTAACATGGAGTAGATTTTTTAAGTAGTACATTTTTTTCGAAAATATGTAGAAGTTAATAAAGATTCGCTCATATTTTTTAACTTAGCGTAATAAATATGCATCAAAAAAAAACAAAATTGTATTGATGTTAAATTACAATCACGCGATATCATCTTTATTAACGCAAAAGAAAATTTTTATACATAAAAAGTAGGATATTATTAAATATTTTACATGAAAGTTAATATCATCTTTTCCTTTCTACTTCCGATAAAATCAATGCAATAAATAAACAAAATTCCTCTTCATAGTTCCTGTATAGGTCCAGTTTATGAACAAGACAAAAATTAAATTATAATCAACTTAGTAATTTTTTTACTAGTGCCTTGTTCGTTTATATAATTGTGGTCTTAAAAGTTTAGTTGTTGCATCACGTTCTGAATACTTATTTTCTAAAATCACCAATTTCTTTCCATTGTCAGCAGAATCAAGACTCCAGCGGTGATTAATATTAGTGCATTCTCTGTAACAGTGGAAAACGCCTTCGTTGGGTGGGTCATAACATGACATAAACTCAGCAATGTCGTTTATCTTCTCAAGAAATTTCTTCTCAGTAAAGACTTTGAGTTTTTGAAATCATACTTTAACGTTGAAGATAATATATTACAACTCACTGGTAGCAATAATTATTTATGATATATAATTGCGTTCTTTGGGTGGTGTTTATATAAAATGCAAATCTATGTTGACATTTTGAAATTGAATTTTAGAATTTTCCACACCTGGCCATCGGTCAATATATCGCCGAATTGTTAAATTGTTAACAATTCAACCAATGGTGTAAAGTAATGAATCACCATTAAATTAATTATATTTGATGAGAAATATAAATTGATAACTATAATTAGTATTATAAGATTTAAGTAAGTATTTGTGTATTATACAGAAAAAGTTCGAGCCACATTTATCCTTGTACATACCTTGATAGAATTTCCGTGTAAGAACATATCAGGTTTCAAGAAAGCCTTAGGATAAGCTTTATTCATATCAAATGATCATCTAGATACTTGTTGATCTTAAGTAGAAAAGTAATAGTCTCGACATCCTGTTCCTTAGTTGGCTTTGTCATGTTGACACATCCATGACTAGACTGGAGAATGGTTTTACTTGTGATGGAGAGGATATTTTTCAGACAAACAATTTCTGATTTAACGTTTACTGGTACTCGTCAGTTTTGGAATAACGATAATATAACCCAACTTCTATGCTGTGAGATAAACGCTCTTTAAAAATTGATTGTCGCACAGATTGGTAGTTATAATTCGATCATGTGATATTAGTGATAATGAGATACGCGTCGTTTTTTTAAATCTGTCGTTCAAATAAATTACAATTCCAACTAGAACATGCCCCTTCACTCCTTCATTCGCAACGATACAACTATTATTGCGCCAAATGCCTCTCTTCGTCGTGTTATAAACCGTCATACAAAAGACTCTTTACTCGATATTATACGGAAATGGCTGCAAGACCCAATGGCGCGCCCAAAAATTGAAGATACTTCTGAAGACGAAGAAAACTATGATAATACCAATGGACAACAAGTAAAGCGACTCTTACATAATTATGAAATAATTTCTAGTAAAAAGAATATGGTTGATAAAATATTTCTTGAGGATTGGGTGTGTACCTTATAAATAGATATTTATATTTACTTGTAGTATTAAGCTTTTTTATACGGATATTTGTAGAAAAACGGATTGAATTATAAACAAATTGCTCAGCTTGACATGAAATGTACGTGTGTTTGTAAATTGCCCAAAAATTCTTTAATTTATTAACATTTCAACAGATTATCATGATCATTCTAGTCTCAAACATTGGAAAGCATTGAAACTATGTTGGGAAAATGGTATATAAAGTTTATTTTCTCTCGTTGATCGTAATAAATAATTTTGATATATAAATAATCATTAGGGTTAAATTTTAGGATTGAGGAAAAAAGAATATCGGAAGACTTCAGAGCTTAATTCGTCACTTTTGACACAACTTTCGCCATTCTTCAAAACTGTAAGATATTTGAAATGACGCACTTTTTTATGAATAATAACTGTTTTTCTTTTTAAAAAAGTTTATAAATGTTTTTTAGCATTTATACATCGAAGAATTTGAAAAAAATTGGTGGATACGGATTAGCATTCACGATGGAGTTCCTCCGAATACCCTTCCTGTTAGTTCTAACATCATTTACGTGATTTATTTTACCAATTCTGAACATTTATTATGTAGCAATATTAAACGTGAACACAAGGAATTTATAATGCAGGTATGCGACTCTGTAATTTTTAAATTCTTTATTATCAAAAATGATATTAAAAAACATGTTGCATTTTAGGGACTTTTAAAAACCTTTGTATGTAATGAAATTGAGGAGTGTGATTTGAAAGGTAAATATGCGGATTCTCTTGAAAAATTATTATTACATCGACAATCCCAAGGCACGTACAGCCGCTACCGGTTAAATCAAGTTGATGATAATCCACTATTATTTCCATCCAAAAAACCAAAGAAAGATGGTAACCTTTTTATTTAATTTATTGAACTGTTCAAGCTGGATTTCTCCTAAAATTAATCAGAAATTATAAATATTTCAGATATACCTGAAAATATCGACCAATTTGAAGATATGATGGATGAAGATAACATTTTACTTTTGAAGCAAAGAGACACTGCGGCAAATGATAATTTCGGTCCAAATGAACAGCCATCACTTGACATGGTTGAAATCAAGGTGAAAAATTAATTACGTATATTTTACTTTTTTATATAAATTTAAATTCATAACTTTGTCTTTTTTTAGTTATCAACTCCTTTACATACGTCCAATAATGATGATCAATCGACACCGTTATCTATGACAGTTCTCTTTGAAGGAACAAATGTGATTGAGGGAATAAAGAAAATGATTATGGCAGGAATTGCCGAACCTCCATTACCAGCTTATTTAGCTGATATACATAGTAACGGAAGGAATTACATAGAAGTTGATGAAAATAATGTTGTAATAAAAAAAGGGCACTAGAACATTTAGAATAACAAAATAAATAGGTAAATTATGAAATTCAATTCTAGCTTATATTTCTACTAATTATGAAATGAAACAATAATAATAAATAATGTGTCAAGTTTAATTAAAATTTTTTTTTTTTTTTGTTTTTAAAACATTATTTTTATACACTCTTATTAACTAGTTTTTCTAATTCAGATTCTACATCTTTAGCAGGCAAATTATTTAATACGACCTTTTCTTCTTTACCAAAATCTAACATAATAGTAATTAATAATAACAAAGGAATTAATAAAATTATTAAGTAAAATAAGTAAAATACTAATAAAACTTTATTGTTCATACCATAACGAGCAAAAAATCTTGCTTCTACACCACTCGCTTCACGGATAAGAATTGGAAAATTTGGATTAGCTTCTTTTAATGAAACATAATTTTTGGAGATAAATTCTCTGTTAAAAAAGAGAATCAATTATCAATTATATCAATTTAATAAGAATTGTATTCGATTAAAAATTATCGATCAAAATAATAAAATTTTTATAAATTTTAATATCTTAACCTAACACCACTGCTGGCAGGACTAGTCTGACAATAATGAACACGAAGTTCTTTAAGATTTTTTGATAATAAATTTCTCCAAGACATTTTTTTTTTTTTTTTTTTATAAAAAATCGGGGAAAGGGTTAATTATGATATTACATAAGCAAGATTATCAATGAATATTTTTTATCAAGATGGTTGTGTAACCTCCTTGACGTTATTATTAAGTTTATTAGTGTCCTTATTTATAAAATAAACAAACTTTTTTTTATTATTATAAAAAAAATTAAAATGACTTCAAAAAAGAATAAAATGGAAATAGATCAAGAAGAAACGGAACTTGAAGTAGTATTACCAGGAGATCCTATAAATATTACAAGAAAAGATTTAAAATTGGGACCAGGTTTAACATTAACTCAAGATTCTGTAATTTGTATTAAAGCCGGAATATTAAAACATTTTAGTAAGAAAAATATATGGTATGTTGAAAATAATCAAAGAAGGGTAAATAAACGTTCACATAATTTTTTTTATCTTATTTTATTTATTTTTATTTCGATCGGACCAATATAAATAAATAAATATGTATGTATATATACGTTAATTGATATAGTATATACCAGCAGAGAGAGATCCGGTTATTGGAATTGTAACTTATAAAGGAGGAGAATATTATCGACTAGACATTGGTAGTGCTCATCAAGCTATATTACCAATATTAGCTTTTGAGAATGTTAGCAAAAAGAGTCGACCCAATTTAAATGTAAGTTGAAAGAAAAAAAAAATTGATTCTTTAATCTAATTTAATAATTCCTATTTATTAATATACATATAGATTGGTAGTTTAATTTATGCAAAAGTAGTTTTGGCAAATAAAGATATGGAGCCAGAAGTTTGGTGTTATAATCCAGATACGAATAAGGCTGAAGGATTTGGAGAGTTAAAAAATGGATATGTAATTAAATGTTCTCTAAGATATTGTAGGAGGTAAACGTCTTTATACTTTTTTTTTTAAAAAAAAGGTATTTTTAATAAAAATTTAAACTAAAAAAAAATTTGTTATTAAATCTGTTAAATTATAGGATAATTTCACAAGAAACTGGAATCAGATCATTATTGAAAAAATTAGGAGAAAAATTTGAATTTGAAATAGCAGCCGGAATGAATGGTAGAATTTGGATTTGTCTAAAATCGAAAGATATTAAAAATACTATTTATTGTTGTAATGTTATTAAAAGAGGTGAAAACTTGAATGGTGATGATATCTATGAATTAATTGATAGTTTAGATGAGGAATAATTTTAGTAAGGAATAATTTAAAATATTTAATAAAACGAAGTGTATTATTTTATAATTATGAAAAAGAGTTTTAAATTGATAATGAGAACATTTCATCATTATTCTAGAGAAGAAAAATCATTTTAAATTGGGAAGACCATTTTCAAATTATAAAAATATATAAAATCAAATTTATACAGAGTTATATTAAAATTAAATATTTTTTACGTACAAAGGCAAAAAAAAAAATAGATTTTTTTTGGGAAATAATTCAATCCGCAATTCAAATAAACAATGACAAATTCTTAGTACTCTAATTTACATAATAATAATCCTTAATACAACTAGATTGTTCCTAAAATAACTTAATTAATCACATATTTAGTTATATAGAAAGGGGTAATGTAAATTTATTGAATTTTTTTTGATTTTTTCTTTCCCAATACTAATTAAAGTAAAAGGAAATAAGGGTGTAAAAAGGAAAAAATAGATGTGTAAAAGCATGAAAAAAAAAATGTTATTCTATACAAATTTTACAAAGCCATTTTTCCTTTTACTTGGAAAAATAATTTTTAACTAAACATAATAAACCTAATAAAAATTCAAAATCCCAATAACAAAAAAACTATCATAATCACTTCCAAAAATAATATTAAATTAAAGAGAAATAATGCTCTAAAAGACAGTCATTGTTTCTCTAATGTCTTAATTTTCTATTATACTACGCCGACAAATTGGACATTTGTCAGAATTTTTAAACCACGTATCAATACAGTCTTGATGAAAATCATGCGAACAAGGCAAATCTCTAAGCCTTTCATTGGTTTCATAATTTGTCAAACATATTGTACACCTATTTAAATAATATCAATTATGTTAATACAACATAATTTAAGAATTTAAACTTTCTGACCGCTATTTATACCTTTCTTCAACAGTCCTGCTCTTTCCCGGTATATACGTTTGCGTCGGTAGGGTTTTTATGACATCTTCTGGAACACCTTTAGGCTTTGCATCTCCTATACGTTCACATAATCGAAGCAAACCTTCGTAGCTTGAGTCAAATTCATCTTCATCCTATAAATTGAGAAGCAAAATTAATATTATAAAATTAAATTAGTGTTCAACTTGATAAATTTAAATGAATTAATTACCAAATAATTATCTGGATTGGCTGCGATGCCATTACTATAAGTAAATATGGATTGAGAGTTAATGTAAATATAGTTAACAAATAATTATATTGTTCATTTCAAGTTTAAAATCAAACTCGTACCCCCAGGGAATTAATTCCAAAATTTCATCAAACTCTATCTCGCCCGAGTCAATAAGATTCCCCCATAAAGGATGTGGAATAAAATGATGTAAATAACTACTACTCGATCTTCCACCATTTCTAGATTGACCGCCACGTGAACCATGTCCACGGTTTCGAGGTTCATTGCTGCGTTCCTCATGATGATGACGCTCATGAGATAGGATTTCTGGCAATCTAACTGGTCCACGCGCTGATATACTCCTCCTGGAAGAATCACTTCGTGATGATGATGACGGACCCGAAGTTGCATCTCGACGATTTGTAGTAGTACGAGCTAAATAAGATAAGATACGTCAAGACTTTCTTTTTTTTGCTATTATACTTCCAGAATCCTTATCATACCTCGACCGGCACCAGCAAGAAGTCTGGCTAAAACAGTTTGATGTTCATCGATCTAAAAATCAAATAATCAAAATTGTAAGCAATTATACTCAATATTTAATTAACTTTTAAGATAAAACGTACAGTGCTGTACTCATATGCTTGCATTCTTCTTGCCATCTGCTCATCGGTTAATGGACTATCATTTGAAGCACTACTTCTTGCTGCTATTGCTGCTAGCGCTGCTCGAGAATTAAAAGAACGATGAGAATCGCGCGTATTATTATTATCTTGTCGTGATTCATGACGTCTAGTAGGTCTCCAAGGGATACGAGCTGCGGGAATAGACGTTGTTACATTTACTTCGCTATCTGAACTTTCTGGTACCTCAATTGTAGCGTCAGGTTCCTCATCACTTGCAAAAACTCTAACAGTTTCTTGCATAGAACCGCTAAAATTTGGATTATTACTATTGTTATTGCTATTTCTTTGATGGACCATACGACGCTGGAAAGTTGGATTTGGCATTATAGGTCTTGATAGTGTTTCTGCACGTCCTCTTGGATCTCGAGACCATCTAGAAGTAATTGTAGTAGTAGTAGTAGTAGTCGTCGACGATGTTGTTGATGATGATGATGATCTATGATTCTGTGATAGACCTGAAATATGACTATTATTGTGTGAATTGTGTGAATTGTGTGAATTGTGCGAATTGTGCGAATTGTGCGAATTGTGCGAATTGTGCGAATTGTGCGAATTGTGCGAATTGTGTGAATTGTGTGAATTATTATGATGTCTTCTCTCTGGTGGTGGTATTATTTCAGGATACATAACCAGTGGCACATCTGAAACAGATGTGAAATTCGAATTATATTCTTGTGGATCGGTACTATTGTGATTAGATGTAGATGTTGGTCTTCTCATTTCATGGTGTTGAGGAATTGCATGGCTATAATTTCCTCTTGGAAGATTATTACTAAACGTTGATCGAGTATAGAAGAAAGGAGTTTGTGATTGAGATTGCGAACGAAATGGACTATGATTGTTCGAAGAGTTCGCAGTTGAAGATGATGATGTTTGTAAATTTGTAGGGAAACTTCTTGATGAATAATGTGATATTGGATTCGCGGGTGAAGATAGAGGTGCGGAATGATTATCTTCGTTATTCGATGAAAAATTAAGAAACGAAATTCTACTTCCAGTTGATCTAGTAGATGATGGTGGAGATGTAGACAATTGTGTTGATCTAATATTTTGATTTACAGGAGTTCTACTTGGTATATCACTATTAATAGGCTCCAAAGATCCAAATTGTATAGGTTGAGGAACTTGTGAAACATTAGACCACTCATTAGAGATTGATCTCGCCCTTTTTCTTGAGGAAGCAGTATCATATGAAGCAGTTGAAGAAGTTCCATCCTCATCTTCTTCCTCTTCATTATCTGGGAAACCAAATCTTAAAGGACTTTGTTTTCGTTGATTTGATGTGGAAGATGATAATGATGAAGTAGATGACATTGAAGAAGCCATAGTAGCATCTGTACTATTAGGATAACTTGGAGAACTAACGTTTGGAAATCTAAAAGGTGGTGGAGGAGGTGAAAAATTATCAGAAAATGGAGGTATGTTAAAACCACCACCATTAACACGATGATCTCTTGTTGAAGAAGAACCATTCCTTGGTGGATGTATTGGTAATAATCTTTCCATAAATGGTGAATGATCAAGTCTATTATTATTTATATTAGAAGTAGGTAACGATGTAGTTGACATTGAAGTATTTCTAGGAGTCAATTGTATGGGAGGCAAAATATTATTATTATTATTGTTGTTGTTATTATTATTATTATTGCCATTAGATGATCCATTATTATTTCGAACCAAATTAAAACTATTTCCATTATCAAATACTTGACTTTGTATATTTGGATTATTATTAATTCTTTCATCTTCTTCAGTATCTTCTGATTCAGTTTCTGAACTACATACTTCCATTTCATCATCATCGTCCTCGTCTTCAGTTGTCGTAATTGAAGTACCATTATTGGTATAATTATATTCTCTTTCTTCAATTTCCTCTTCACTATCCTCCATTTCTTCACTGATGTCGTCTTCAAGGTTAGAATCCTCGTTAGAATAAGAAGCTGTACCAGTAAATTCTTCTTGTTCGTTGTCAGAATCTACAGTAGAATTACTACTATAAAAAGGAAAATTCCTTTGGGCTACATTGGGATATGTACTAAATGTGTCGCTGACTTCAGAAAACGACATTTTGTTTAGTAAAAAAGAAATAAGGTTTATTCAGAATCAACCAAAAAGAAAAAAAATAAAATAAAATAAAATAAAAATAAAATAAAAAGAATTTAACAAATTGTAAGGGAAAAGGGTTCGATTAGTTTATGAGAACTTTTGCGTTTGGTGTATTTATAACACAGTCCCACTCTTTTTTCTTGTAAATACGAAATAATTTTTAAGTTAAACGATTACAAAACCGGAAAAATGTAGAAAAAAAAGGCTTAAGGCTGAAGGCAAATATTCTAACGGGGGAAAAATTTTTTTTCTGTCTATTTATTAAGGGGGGACAAGTTGAGATAACTTCTTTTTATATACTTTGAAATACAACTACGTAATCTTTTTATTGTTTTAAGGGTTTTTGTCTGGTCAAAGCTTTTATTTCCTTGGGCCCGGAGTTATTATGAATAAGTAATATTAGTAATATATTTATAGTCACAGGCTGTCTATCGTATTCGATTTATTTTAGAATTTTTTTTTTTTTTATAATATTGTACTCTGTGTTCTGAAAGTTTGTGAAAAAAGAAAAGTATGGAAGAATAATTTAAAAAACACGCAAAAGACAAAAAAAATTTAGGTAAAAAGCCGCAAGGGTGTATGAATGGGAGAAACCGTAAAAGAAAATTGTTGAACATTATATATAATTGATAAAAAATGAGCGAAATAAAAAATCTCGATGACAAATTACTATACTTTATTTACTTGATCTGATATGACTAGATATGGATGATAGTTAAGGCCGGTATTATTATAGTGTAATGTATGTGTATATATATATATATATACCATGATTTTCATTCTAAAAAAAAAATTTTAAAAAAAAAATACAGGAAAGAAAATGACATACAAATTAAACACTCACGCAAACAACTTTTAACGTAGTACTACCGAACAAGAGCCAAATATCAGCAACTTGGCTATCAAAGAATTCTTTTAGCTTAAGAAAGTTCTTTTATATATATATAATAATGACACTTCTTTTTAAAAATATTAGTTTTCAAGCAATAGGCATGATTTAGTTATTTTAAAGAGGCATTAAAACACGAATCAAAAATTGTGTTTATGCGAAAAACCCGAGATCACATGATTGAATGAATGTGATTATGAAGATTGCGGAAAAGAAAATTATGGCAACACTAAAAAACTCTGAAGGTCAATTTTTTTTTATAAAGCCAAAAAAAAAAAAAAAAAAAAAAAAAAAATTAAAATAAAATAAAATAAAAAATTAAAATTTTAAATAGGCATGTGAAATACATGAATTAATGCTTTCATGCTAAACTTTCTCATATTCTATAGAGATAATTTCTTCCTTTGTCTCTTTTGAAGGAAAGGGGAACGCAGCAGGGTCAGTTGATTGAACCACAACATAACCGTCAAGGTACGATACATGTATTATATTTATATATACCATATGTAATCCCAGTCATTATCCAATTATTTCGGGCTTTGCTCGAAGCTGAGTTTGTTTATTCTATAAAATCTTAATAAGAGTATTTAATAATATATTTTATGTGTATGCTCCACAATCTTTTTAATTATTATTAAATTAGTAAACCTTTTCAATTTCCCCTAACTAAAACTTTCGGAATCAACGTTTGGTGATTGATCAACCCAATCTCGGATGAAACAACAATAACAATACCATAATAATATAAAAAAAACCACATTTCTAAAATACCTGTATAAATTATAGTAATCTATTTTTAATGATATCAATTTTATCTCATCTTTTGTTTTCAATTTGTCAACGATGTGATTTTCTTTTATAAGCAATTCTTTTTCGGACCTCTTTTTCAAAACGGTACAAGATGAATTATTTAAAAAAAAAAAAAGAGAGTTTCAAAGCCTCATTATTATATAAGTTTATTCCCATATTAAGTTCCGCAGCAAAGGTCAGCCGCGAAAAGACTCAGCCGAAAATTAAATCAAGTTATTTTATTCCAAAAAGGTTACACATTATTTTTTAGTCTTGTGTTTCAATCTTCGCCCCAAAAGTTTCCAACAGGGGCGAAATTCCTGTTCTCAAAGGTTGATTTACATTTATTCTTTAATTTACTGGTCTGTTATACATTAATTACTCTTATTTTAATTCCGTCGTTGTAATTCTTGCTGTAAACGGGAATTATAATACGGATATAACAAATTAAATAAATAAATATATATATATAACACTTGCAGAATTGTCATTTGATCTTTTATTGGGCGTCATAATAATAAATATCATCTTTTTGGTTCCTTTTATTCCTTCATCGCGCAACTTATTAATTTCAAATGTTAATGTCAAAAATTCCTCGTTTGGTAAGTAGGTAAATCTCTTGCGGTCACAGATATAAGCCACCAACCATTTTAAAGTAGACAAAAACTGAAGAAACATACTTTAAAGAAAATAGAACACATTTTGTCGTATGATAATATTTGGCCGAGATTATCTCATTTATGATCAGAATTAAAATTTAAACTTACAGCGTTGCAAAAAATAATCATATTTTCTTATCCATATTTTATCTATTTTGTTTATTTAAAAAATGACCATTAACTTATCTTTTCTGTCAAATTTTTCTCCCATTCGTTTCATTTTTAAATTTTCTTTTGTTTCATATTCTTGAAATTATTCTGTACATTCTTATATACATATTTGTACATACAGTTTTTAACTTATTAACGAATATGGAAATGAATATCAATTATGTTGTGTTCTTTTTATATAAATATGTAAGTTTCATATAACGAAGGATTTGGGAATTAAAAAAAAAAAAAAAGGTCCATTAAATATTTTTTATTGTTTATGAAAATGAACTTTTAATTAGCTAGAAGATCATCGTCATATTAAATTGGAGCACGTGAAAGAATTCAATCGGCAATTCCGATTTAGCACAAAAAAGAATTCTCTTATTACTACGTAGTTTATTCGTTTCACGTGAAACCATTTTCCTTATAGTGATATGCAGTTTATTCAACCAATAATTGTCGTCTCCTTAAACATCCAATTATAGTATAATAAATTTTATCAGCAATGTCGCATCTAAAATCACCTGATCAAAAATACTGTAAATTTTCTTGGTAACGATCCATGGTTAATAATTTTCTTGGTCATGTCTGAACATCAACAATCTCTTACAACTCTTATAAAACGTTTAGAAGCTGCCACTTCTCGTCTTGAAGATTTGGCTTCTTCAAGTGCTTCCTCTGCTGCTGTTTCTAACAACTTGAGTCGTAACTCGGTTGGGGGTCAACCTGCTGCTGTTTCTTCACAAAACAATGACGCGATTGTAAGTGGTGAAGTTCCTCCTGCTCTTGCTGCTTACGATGAACTTATTGAAGGTCCTTTAAAAAACTTTCTTGAACTTTCAAAAGCTGTTGGTGGTCTTGTTGAAGATCAGGTAAATTTTTTGCTGCTTGTTCTATATTACATTATTTCTTTCATGTATACAGTGAAATTCGATATACCGGACCTTTCGTTCCGATAGAAAATTTTTCAAAAATCGAGTATATCAAGAACAAAATTTAATAATCCAGACTTTAGCTCTGTTAAGATTTTATTTAATGATCCGGTTTATTGAGGATCTGGTTTATCGAATTTCACTGTGTTTCTAATTTCTTATATTTGTACTTTCTTATATTTGTTTATTAATTCTTTAATTTATTAGAGTCATGTAGTTGAAGATAGTTTTATTGCACAGCGAGACTTTATTTATATAACCACACAAAGTTCAAAACCAAATATTGAAACAATTATGGAATTACTTAAACCTACTCAGCAAGCTATTGAAAAGGTTTGTGAATATAGAGAGAACAATCGACCTTCTCCTTTACTTGATCACTTATCCACTGTCAGTGAAGGTATTTGCGCGTTAGGATGGATTACCATAGAACAAAAACCTGCACCATTTGTCGAGGATCTCAGAGATAGTTCTCGTTTCTTTGCAAATCGTGTAATCACAAATTATAAAAACACGTAATATTTTTTTATATGATTGATATACACATGCATGTGTAATATTCATTTTTTTTGCAGTTCAATTTAATTTTTATTCATTTTTATAGGGATAAGTCTCATGTTGATTGGGCGAATAGTTTTGTTTTCCTATTAACGGAACTTCAGAATTATGTTAAAAAATGTCATACGACTGGTCTCGTCTGGAATCCAAAGGTTAGTATATTTCTCATATATTAGACTTTATTTATTAAATTTTTTTTTTTTTTAAAAAAAACCCTCAACTTCTTCTTCCTCATTTAAGATGTCCGCGCCATCTGCTCCTCCAAGTGGACCACCACCACCACCACCACCACCACCGCCTCCGCCGCCTACAGACTTTGATGCTCCTTCTTCATCAGGAGATAGAGCTGACATGAGTTCTGTATTTGCAGAACTTAATAAAGGAGAAGCGATCACTTCTGGCTTAAAAAAAGTAGATAAAAGTCAAATGACACACAAAAACCCTAATTTAAGAACTAGTGCCGTGGTTTCTGATGTTGGAGGTATGAATACAAGTTTTATTAGTATTTTTTTCGAAATAATTAATTAATAAAATCATTTCTCTCTCTATAAAAAAAAAATATATAAGTTAAAAAGAAACCACCTAAAGGACCTACTGCTCCACCGAAACCAGCTTCATTGTCTCTTAAAAAACAACCAAAAAAGGATTTGAATGGAAACAAATGGAGTATAGTAAGTATAACAATAAATAATTTCTTTTTCGGTTATCTTATAATTTTCCTTTATTTCTTTAGGAAAATTATGAAAACGATACGAATATTATTGTTGAAGATACTCTTATTAGCCAAACAGTATATATTTTTGGATGTAAAAATTCTACAATACAGATCAAGGGAAAAATTAATGCAGTAGTTATTGGCAAGTACATAATACTATAATTCTTTGTTATTTGATAGTATATTTGATTAATTAAATTTTTTTTTTTTTCTTTTTAGACACGTGTACAAAAATTGGAGTTTTAGTAGATTCAGTAGTGTCAGCAATTGATGTGGTGAACAATAAATCATTTCAACTTCAAATTCAGGGCAAGACACCAACAATAGTAATCGATAAAACTGATAGTGGGCAAATATTTTTATCAGAAGAATGTTTTGACGTTGAAATTTTAACCGCAAAAAGTTCATCTATTAATGTTAATTTACCTGGACTTGGTGAAAACGGTGATTATGCTGAAAGACCTGTACCTGAACAATTAAAAACTACTATTGTTAATGGTAAACTTGTTTCTGTTCCTGTTGAACATGCTGGATAAAAGTAATTATCATAATGTATATTAAAACAATTATTTAATAAGAAACAGAAATTCATGAAATTTTAATAGGAAATTGCATTAATTGTATTTAATTTATTAATAAATTTATGTTTTGACAAACCACAATAATAGAATAATTGATAAATTTTATTTATATATCTTTCTTAATGCCGTTAATGCTGGCCAGAATTAAGTATTGTGTAAATAGGATTATTAAAACACGATTTATTTGGAATTCATTTCTGACAAGACTTAAAGGTTCGCTTTGAAAATCACGCTCAGAAAATCATTATAGTTCTCCAAATCAAATAAATTAATACTTGCTGTGAAACTCTACTTAACTTTATTACTCTTTACTTAACGTTATTATGACGACAAATCAAAAAACTCTATTAGATAACAGTGGTAGATCTAATATAGATGGAGATTCCAAGGTACGTGCTTCCTTAATGTATTTGGAATGTTTTGGAAGATAATTCTCGTATGATAATAAAACTTTCAGAGTTACTATTTAAGGAAGATAAAATAAAATTTCAATTATTATTTAAGAATGACAAAAAATAAAAATTTTGGTTATTTGTTTAAGGGTAATAAAAAGAAAATATTAGATCCTCCTACTATTGAGTCTGTTGCCCAACTTATCAAAACTGGAAAAGGTATTTGTTCATTTCATTTTTTTTTTTTAATAAGCCGAATATTGAAAAATGATTCTATTTTTATATATTTGTAGCGAAACGAATTATTGTAATGGCTGGTGCCGGTATTTCTACAGCCGCCGGTATACCAGATTTTCGTACACCTGGTACTGGTCTTTATGACAATCTTCAAAAATATAATTTACCATATCCGGAGGCAATCTTTGATATGACTTATTTCAAAGTATGTATTTAATTTTTCTTTGATTTTGGTATATGGTTTGAAAATATAGTGTATTGATTATATAATTATTATATTATTAGGAAAACCCGGAACCTTTTTTTTCATTGGCAAAAGAATTGTTTCCTGGCAATTTCATGGTACTTACTAATAATTAAATTCTCATCAAAATTAAAATAATTTGACTAATAAAAATTTTTTTTTTTTTCCTTTAGCCTACTTTGACACATTATTTTTTAACACTTTTATACCGTAAAAACATTTTATTACGTTGTTTTACACAAAACATTGATACATTAGAAAGACTTGCAGGGTTACCAGATGAGATGATTGTAGAAGCTCATGGATCCTTTGCTAAGTCAAAATGTTTAAAATGTAAAAAATTTGCCGATGCTGCATGGATGAAGGAGGTGGTTAATAAGGGTGAAGTACCTATTTGCACTTCATGCAGAGTTGGTATTGTTAAGCCTTGTATCACTTTTTTTGGTGAAGCAATGCCTAGTAAGTTTTTCCTAAGACTTGGCGTAAGTATACATTTAGCCAGAAGAGATGATTTTGAGTGAGAAAAAATGAAAAAAAAAAAATAATCCAGAATTTTTGTAAAAAGAATATGTTTATAGCATTTTGAAATTACTTGGTTAAGTTTAAAAGTTTACGTTTATGGCTAACATTTTATTTAAATTTTTTTTTTCTATTATTATTTGTAAAATAGGATTTCCAAGTTTGTGATCTGCTTATTGTTATTGGAACTTCTTTACAAGTTCAACCTTTCGCTAGTTTAGTTGATTCTGTCGGAGAAAAAGTTCCACGTTTATTAATTAATCTTGAGAAAGTCGGAGATGTAGGTTAAGATTCTTTTCAAAAAAAAGAAAGAAAAATTGATTTAAAAAATTATATAAATTTTGTTTTTAACTTGTTTACTGTTTCTTAGATTGAATTATCAGATATGGGATTTGATTTTGAAGGTAGACATCAAAATTATATGAGAGATGCTTTTTATAAAGGAACTTGTGATGAAGGAGTAAGAAAATTAGCAGAATTATGTGGATTTAAGGTAATAATAAATATAATAATTATACTTTAAAATTAATTTTGTTATAAAAATAATTACTAATTTTTAATTTGCATCTTTTGTAGGATGAATTGCTAAAAGTTTACGAGGAAGGACAAGAATCACTTATAAAAGAGTTTGGTAAAATTCCTACTTCAGTCGAAATTGCCACCAAAGTTGAAAAGAAAATTAAAGCTGAGCTAGAACTGACCGTAGATGAAATCGATCAGTTAGCTAAAATATTTGAAGAAAAAATTAAAATTAAATCTGAAATTTCTGAAGAAGTTGATCAAATGTTAAAAGAATTTGACGAGTTAAAAGAAAAAAAGTCTAAGGATAAAGAATTATTAAAGGAAAAAGGAAATGAAAACAAGTCTAATGATAAAGATGATAAAGATGATAAAGAATTATTAAATGTAAAAGAAGATATTACCAAATCGGATAAGAAGGAAGAGGAGAAGGGGGAGAAGGAAGAGCTAAAGGACACAAACTTCGTTATGATTTGAAAATAACGTTATAATTCATTATCGGTATATCGAATATTGGTATATCTAATATTGTATATCGATATTAGTATATCGAGGTCAGAGTGTATATGTCATCAGTAAATACTTAATATTTTATTATTTGGCAATTTCTTTTTTTTAGAATTTTTTCATCATTTTAAATTTTACAATCTTTTCATTATTTTCATATTTTTTTTCAACTTGCCATCTTTAATTTATTTTAATTCAATTGTAATTAAGACCAATGACTTATCATTTGAATTCTTTGTCATTTCATCATTTGGCTAAACACTGATTTATATATATATGCAATAAATAAAAATCCGCGCATCTATTTTGTTCGATACCAAAATTAATGTTACAAGTCTAGTACGACTTTTATGCAATGCACATAAAACATTTTATTATGTTTATTTCTTTGCTTAATACATTGGGCATTTAGCTGTTGTTCACTCAGATTTTTTCTTGCATAGTAGTTATGATGTTTTTTGTTGAATTGCTATATTCATTATCATCTAATAGTCTAAATTCTATTACAGTTTCTAATATTGCATCGATAGAAATAACAACTAAGTATCTTCCACTTTCTGAAGCAAGTTTCACAAAATGCCTTCCTTAACCTAGACTGGAGAACCTAAATCTCTATAATCATCTATTACATAAAAAAAAAAAATTATTAGGTTAGGTTAACCGAAAAAGGAATTTAATAAATAATGACCAATTTTAACCCCAGTAAATAACATTAGTTACTATTCCATCGAAACAATGAATTATGGTTACAGATTGCAAATAAGCTGGATTGTAATAAAGTTCTGGATTGGCGAAGGCATCTTAAATGATGAAAAGTCCAAAATAATGCAAGAACGAGCTGGCATGATAAAGTTTCGGTCACATAGCTACTGGTGTCATTCTTCCTATAGCATGCCCGGTTGTCCTACCAACTTTATGGACATGTACTATATTTCCAGAAAGTACTTCGGACATAATAGTGAGATGGTTGGTTAGAATACAATAATCTTAAACTTTACAAAAAGAGTAATCTATAAGACGTCCAAATTCATTAATATTTAAATCCTCATACTCAGCACGAGCGCAACAATTCCCCCTAATTCCTAAGATGACGGTATAATAGCTCCGTAATAAGTCAACAGAGAGAAAAAATTCAGATGCCATGTTACAAATTAGTGTCTCTTTTGGCTGTAACGATCATGTACACTTTTCCATCGACTGTTTCAAGGTAATAAGGACCTTTTTTCAAATTCTTTCACGAGATCTAGTAATTGTGCTTATTATATGTCTATTCTAGTTTAATAATTGTATATTGTCAATGCCGTTTTTAATATAAAAAACTTGATATTATGGTCAATTATTGCAATGCTGAAGTAACCATAACGTACCAGCAGACTTGAATACAAATTTAATCGTTTATGTAAAAGTACATATTTTATTCAATTGATAACGATTTCATCGAGATTTGTAGATATACATTGCCCGTCAGTCCTACCAAAAAAATAAATTATTACTAATACAAACATACATCTTTTCGGCTTCATCCGTCTGATCTACTGATTTCATCTCTTGGAAATATCGATATAAATACTTTGCACACTTTTCTTCAGAAGAAAGTTCTTTATCGTGTGAGTCTTTTTTAATAGCATTATTCTGGTAAACAAGTGGTAAACACCATAATGAAAAGAATTAGCTGCATGTCAATACTATTCATCATTTTTATTACTCACGTACATATAACTGGTTTTTTTCTTGACATGATATATTGGGTAAAACAAACTGGAATATAAAGTTATTGAATACGTATAGACTTATATTGTATATAAATAAAAATTCATTAAACACGAGAAATAAAACAAATATTGGTTTAAGTAATATTATATTCATTTTTCGCATAAATTGTTTACTGACCATTTATCAAAAAACTATCTCTTTACTACTAACTAGTCTTTACTTACAAATTTTATGAGATTGTTATATTGACAATTTAATTACTCGGTTCAGTTAATCCCTATATTGTTGCACTGTTTTAATAATTTCCTTCAAACTGCAGCATGTAAAATTTTCTCTTTACATTCTAGCGAGCTTTGCGAATTGCGAGTCTTTTTTACCGATCCGCCTACCTTTTAAGCTCTTCGTCGTAACTAATGATTTTCTTATCTATCAAAATCACCCTAAGAAGAGTTGTTTACCAATGAAGATTACATTAATCAAAGAATTTTTTTGAATTTCGATGTGTTCAACCCTTTTATCATTTTTCTTTTCAAATGTTTATTATATTACTTTCTCATCCAAGTATAGATATGTTAATAAATGTTCTACTTGTTTTACTCTTTTATTAACGTTTGTAGGAATATTTTGGTCAATTTTATTTTTTTTTACAATTCTGTTTTGTAATCTTACGCTCAGGACTTTTATCTCATAAGTAAAACATAGTAACGTAATAATTTTAAAAGTTTAAATCCATAATTTGGTTTGTTCCAACAATCATTACATATTTGAAAACACGATGCATTTACGCTCTTAAAGTATGCGAAAGCGATTTTTAATTTAACTTTGTAGATTCGAGAGATAATTGCAAGGCATACCCGTAATTTGTTCTTTATATTTCCATTCATAAATTCGGTTTAAAAATTACTACATATCTATGCGCTAAAAAAAGTGTTCTTTATTTTTCTCGGGACTTGAATTTACTGCGCCAAGTAAGTTGAGAGTGATATACTGTGTGATAATAGAAAGATTAATTTTCCCGTTTCCTTTTTTTTCACTAAATAATGCACGAGGAAATTAGTGGCATTGCATTGTGGTCCAAACTTTGATTAGATTATTATTTATAAGATAAGATTAGATTTATTTAAAATGGGGTAAAGCAACAAAAAAAACAATTGCTTTTTTGACCAATACGACAAATGCAAAATAAACGTGTTGTTTTAGAAGATTTTTTTGACCAATAAGATAAATATTTGAATAAACGTGTTGTCTATGAAATGGCATCAAATGAGATTTTCTTCAACAAAGAAAATTTGTGTGGGAAATAAACTTTTTTATTATCTAAAATCTATTAATAATCTGTCGATTGTTTCAAAATACTAATTATAATCTAAATTTCAAGGTACCATTAAAAAATAAGTAATAATAAATTATTATTATCAAAATAAATTAATTATAATCAATCTATAACATCTGAATTTTATATCAAACTATTCCTGTCCGATGCGCCATTACAACCAAAACGATTGCAAATATAATTAAAGATGCTAATATAGAAAAAAACCACGTTAACCCTTCTGATTCTTGACCCGGGACAGGAACGTTCATACCCCATAAACCTAAAAATATACAAATTAACTCAATAAGGCATTTAAGCGGTATATAAAGTAGAAAATTGTTTTACCTGTTACAAGATTCATGGGTATGAGAATTGTTCCTAGCGCAGTAAGACGAGACAATACATCATTAATTTGATTGTTTGCTTGCGTCATTTCAATAGATATTTGTGCCAAATAATTTGAATGTGACCTAGATAATATTTTTTCATAATGATTTAAATTTTGAACCATTGTAATTATGTGATCTAAAATAAAATAAAGTTATAATTTAGCATAACACAAAAATAAAATTATCAGTCACGTAACTCAAAATACCTTGAATGTCTCCTAGGTATAATACAATTTCGCTGCTAACTACAACATCCCATCTTAGTTCATTACATCTCTTAATTAAACCTTTCATAACATCAGCTTTGTTTCCTAATAATCTTAATAATCCCAAGACCTTTTTACGACAATGGCCAATCCGGCGTAACATATCACTCTGTTCTGATTCTTTTAGAATCAAAACCAATTCATCAATTGAATCAACTTCAAATTCGATCGTTCGTATTAATGGCGCAAACGAATCAGTGATATCGTCAATAATTGCGTAATTAATCCAATCTGAATAAATTAACAATCCTATTAGTTTAAGACCTAGAACTAGTTATTATGTGAATTGTAAACTAAAATTTAACCTGGTGTCACATTTATATAATCTTTTAATTGTCGTATACGTCGTCTCACATTTGATGGGTGTAATGATGGGCGAAAATGAAACTTTTTCAATATAAGCGAGAAGAAATTAATATTTGAATCAAAGGATATTTTAGGGAAGAAAATGATTTTCTTTATTATACATACCGATAAAATTCCCTCTTTCATAACTATCATGTAAATACTTACAGGTTGTAGATATGTAGGGGAATAATGATCTTGATCAAAAGTCCGGAAACATATAAAATAGTACTCCTTGAATAATTCACATTTCTCCCGGGTATCCTCCGTTTGAATATCTTCAATAGTAAGAGGATGAATTCCAAAGATCTAGTCATAAACTAAAACCATTAGAATTAATTGCAAAAAAAAAAAAAAAAAAAAAAAAAATAGTTCCAAAATGCGATACATACCCTACCCAAATCTTGCACTTCTGAATCAGTCGGTGCTAAAATATCGATCCACCAACATCCAGCCTTCAACATTTCTGAGAGTGAAGTTCCTGCGGATGGGATTTCGGCTAATGATCGAGCATGTATTGTACTATATGCTGTTGAATAAAAAGTGAACCTTTCTGATGGATGCTAATGTATTACATTAAAAAGAGTTACTAAATTAAACACGAATAAAAGTTATCATAAAAATTTGTGCAAGTTAATAATACCTTATTTTCTAAACTATTGTAAATATAATTCAAGTCTTTTTTAACGAAAACAGAAGCTGATTCACTTAATCTTCTTTGTCGTCGCCTTTGCTCCTTCCTTCTCTTTTCATTCTCGTTCTTTATATAATCCTCAAGAGAATCATAATCCACTCCTTTCTTGGAAGCAGTTTCCAACATGGGAAAACATACGTCTGTCTGTATTTTAGAAGGACGACGAGATGAAATCAAAGTATTTGAACCACCATCTGAATCAGACTCATCGTATGAATTATTTGAGATTGAATTCGTCTCAAAAACAGAATCGGAGTTGTTATTATTAGGCAAATTCCCCATATACTCTTGACGAAGATTAGTTTGTGAATAAGGTGACAATGGAGATTGAGGACTGTGGTTTTGTCTTGAACGGTGTACTCTAGAAGGAGAGGCAGACTTTTGCCTCCGAGAAAGATCAATTGGTGATGTTGGCCTATAGATAGGTGAACTATGTCTATTTTTTAATAAAGGTGTTTCTTCACCTAATTCTTGTCGTTCACCTCCGAAGTCAATGCGTGAACTTCTTATATTAGCCTGATCAGTTTGTTGTGAAGCTGGATCATAATCTAATAGAGTAGGTGTTGTAAACGTTGGAGGTGTCGAATTTAGAATATCCGTTGATTGAACAAGGGGTGGAGAATCATAAAGCCTTGGTGAATTATTTTTCACCGGAGAAGTCATTTCCGTTGAGAAAAAATTCTCAGAAAAGATTATTTAAAACTTAATTTTATTTTGCAGTTTTAACTCAAATAACTAACTATCAGAAGTTAAAATTACAAAAGAAGTTCGTTCTAAAAGAAAGTGAATTTCGAAATACTCGAAACTTTTGGTTGTGTATTTATAACAACCGCCGATGAAAGTGATAAAATGCAAAATGTGATATTTAGATATGCATTATTGAGTTTATAATAATCACTATAAAAATAATAAATTGTACAACCAAATTAGACAATCCTTACATCCAAATACCAAGTGTCGTGTTTTGGTAAATGTTTCCCATGAACACAATGTTTTCTATGGGAAAAAGCGATAATTTTTGAACAACGGCACCTGATGGCATCTGATGAACCATTACCCTATAAACCGCGCCAATTTTTTTTCATTAGTATATTTGACGCCTAGATTTTGGCGATCATTTATAGAATTCACAAGAATATTATTAACAAGGTTAATGCTTAAAGAAAATTTTATCTCGATAATCTCAAGAAATGGCAAATAATAAAATGTGATAATTTGATTCCATGTGAATATTTTCACATTTAAATTATATATTTAAAGGTATAAGTGATTAATCCCTTACCCTTATCACTCGGAAATTCGGAATAATAACCAAATTCAGGTTTATATTATGTTAAATTTGACAAATCCTTTTTATCGGTCAAGAACTTTTCACAAGTCTTTAAACTTTTTAAGGAATAAAATAAAAGGATATATGGTAATTGCAATATATAATTGTTCTCGATTCCCCCTTATCTTTTTTGGATAAGTATTATTAAATATTTTACTTCCCTACTTTTATTATATTAACATTTCATATTAATTTAAAGGCATATTGTATTAACATGTATTTAATAGTCAATATTGCTTAATTATTACAAATGAAATACTAAATATATTAATAATCAGATTTTAATCTCATATAAATTAGTTTTATAACTATAAGTTCCTTAATTATTAAATATAAAACAATGTATGTATATAATAAATTTCAGGACAATTTAGTAAAATTAAATATACTGTGATAAATTGGATAAAATTAGGCATTAAAATTATAGACAGAAAGTTTAAAATAATTACATTAAAAGATATTAATTAACAATTATAATTTTATTTGAAAACTATCTATCTAAAATAATTAATTATATTTCATGTAATTTTTATGATTTCTTTTTTATTTTATTTAATAACTTTTTTTATAGTAATTAAATAAGTTATATAGTATATACTGTATAAATATATTTTACATATAATATTATTTTAATATAAATTAGATTTTAATTAGTAAATTTTCAAGATTTACTTAAAATAAATATAAATATATTTAAATATTAAAACTCTTTTTCAGTGTTATAATACAAAAAACTTCATTTAAACTAATAATAGATGCTAGATTTTTTATTTAGTTTTGTAGTATTTTTTCTCAGAGCTAAGGCGATCACTTATGTGGCCTTAGAGCTGTCAGCAGATGAGAAACGCTCAGGAAGGCCTCAGGTAAGACCATAACAAAATTAAATAAATCAATTTAATTTAATATTTCATATATAATAATTGCAAATATAAATATAAATATATTTTTATATAAATTTTTAAATTCTTATCTTTATTTAATTTTCAATTCCATCAAAATTATGAATAAAAATCTATTAAAAATTATTTATAAATCAATTTCTCATAATTTTTTTGTAATTTCATCCATAAATATACAATTAAAAATAATACAAGTAATCGGAAAAAGTGTGAGAAATTTGATTTAGATCTGTGTTGCAAATAGAAGCCAAATATGGGAACCAGATAAACTATATGATCGAAAAATTTCGTAATTACAAATTAAAGTTTCAGCATCCATTTTTGAAAAATTTGAATAAGAAAAAGAATTATAAATAATTTACTAAAATGTGCGAATTAATAATGGTTACAGGCTTCATAGAATTATGCATTTTGCGTATCAAGTTTTAATATACGCATAAAAAATTGCTGAATTTCCTTGCAAGTCTGATAAAAATTGTCCATATTTGTAAAAATGGATATGGATGCATCAGATGATTATACAAAGGTCACGGATACAGAAAACATGGATGTGTCAGCTTTGGAAAGAAATGCCTAGTTGCTTGAGGTTAACGTATAAGCCTGAATGCGACAAAATTAGTTTTTAGAATAGCATAAACTTTACTATTTGTACACCATTTTGTGATGTAAAGGCACTCATAAACCAATAACTAAATTCAGTATGCAATAAACACGAATTCCAATTGATCCAAATAATCCAAATGTGTAAGCATGAGAATTTGTAGAAAACGCTTAAGCATATGATATATGAGCTTAATAATCATTGGCTAGCTCCAAATCGTTGAGATGATGTAATTATTTTTAAAGTAGGTAATCGCCAGACATCCTTAATAATAATTCGCGATTTTCGTTTATTTAATCTGTTCTTTTATATATATTCTTAACAATGCCTAAACCAAATGCTACAACATTCGCTGTACCTGGTAAGGATAGAATTAGTTGAATTGGTTATTCCTTGTTTTAGTTCACATGGATTGTCATTTCTGGATTTGTATTTGTCGAGTTATGTATCGGACTTCATATGATATGAATCGTAATTGTATTTTTACAGATATTCAACAAGCATTTTTGATCAAATTGAAGGTGCAAATAATATATTTCCAGACCTAAAATAAAGAGTATTTTTTGCTTTGCAATGTTTCATATAATAATTAAAAGTACCCACTTTAAATACCGATTTTTTATACATCATTATATTTGCATGTTTTTTAATATTATTTATATTATACTAAATTTTACGTTAGCAAAAAATATTTGTAAATTGGTTTAATATTCAAAAATAATTTTATTTAAACTTTTATCGTATACAATAAACACTTGATAATAAATTTGATAAATTACAAATACAAATGTTATTGCCTATGCTGCGCCATCAATTTTAGCAATGTGAGCAATCAAATCGACGCAACGGGTGGCATAACCGTCTATATCATAATGATAAAAAGATTATTATTAATAAGTCGTATCACGAGATTAAGTAACTAAAATACTTACATTCGTTATCGTACCACGCGACGACTTTGACAAACGTAGAATTTAATGCGATACCTACATAATGAAGTATAATTAATAATAAATATATTACTCATTATTAAGATAATTAATTTACTAACCAGCTTTGGCATCAAAAATACTAGAGTGAGTGTCGCCGATAAAGTCTGTAGAAACGACCTAAAATAATATAAGATGAAAATAAATTATCATTTAAAAAAAATAAAAATGATCTTGTCACAATTTATTTACATCATCTTCGGTATAAGCAAGGATTCCCTTCAACTCAGTTTCAGAGGCCTCCTTCATAACTTTTTTAATTTCTTCATAGCTTGTTTCTTTTCCTAAACGAGCAGTTAAATCAACAACTGAGACGTCAGCTGTAGGAATTCGAAAAGCCATGCCAGTGAGTTTTGTATTCAAGGATGGAATAACCTAGAATCAAGGGAATTCTTAATAAATGGGTTTATAGACAATATTTTAAAGTATATACATATATATATATATAAATGAACTCACCTTTCCGACGGCTTTTGCTGCACCTGTAGAGCTAGGAATAATGTTTTGGCCTACAGAAAATAATAATTAATATATTAAATATAATAATATTTTGAATACACAGTACATGTTTCATCTACTAACTTGCGCCTCTTCCGCCTCTCCAATCCTAAAAAAAGAACGAAAATTAAAATACGAAGGTATAAGGTTATATTGCAATTTGGCATTTAGACAAATTACGCACCTTTCCAGATGGTCCGTCAACCGTCTTTTGAGTGGCGGTAGTAGAGTGAACTGTGGTCATCAGGCCTTCAATAATACCGAATTTATCATTAAGCACTTTTGCTATTGGTGCTAGACAATTGGTGGTGCAAGAAGCATTGGAGATCACATTATATTCCGGTTTGTAGGCATCCAAATTCACACCACATACAAACATTGGAGCATCAGCGCTGGGTGCAGAGATAATGACCTATTTGATATTTGTAGATGTTGTGTATTTAGTTATAATCCATTTACTGTAATTAATCAAATTTAGGTTCAAAACTTACTTTTTTAGCTCCCTGAGTTAATTTTGTGCGATCGAAGCGAAATACAACGTAATTAATATAAGTTGCAAAGTAAATAATATGAAACAATGGCAAAGTTTTTTTTAAAATCAACAAACCCCTGCATAGTTAAATAATTGTAGATATTAATTATAAAAAAATCGCGGTACAAATCAGTTAGCAAACTTAAATGAAACCTACCCTTCAAGTGAGCTGAAGCTTTTTCGGTAGTTGTGAAAACACCAGTTGATTCAATAACGTATTCGGCACCAACATCACACCATTTAATGTCGGCCGGATTTTTTTCTCCGAAGACGGCAATTTCCTTACCGTTAAGTATCAATTTTCCATCTTTTGCTTCAATTTGACCTTTATAGCGGCCATGGGTTGAATCGTATTTGAAAAGGTAAGCCTGCACATCGTTTATATACACAATTAAATTATAAAAATAATCATTAATTTGCAATTTACAGATCCATCATTAAAAGTGAGTGTCTAATTGCATAATATGTTTTGTAATTCTAGCTAGCTTAAAAAAAATTTTTTGTCTATTGATTTTCTTTTTTTTTATTTTGAGTATTACCATATAAGAGGGGTCCAAAAAAGGGTCATTTAAGCCCACAATTTCGATGTCGGAACGATTTAAAGAAGCACGTAGGACGAGACGTCCAATACGACCAAAACTTGAAAAACATTAAAATTGTAATTAGTTAGTATACAACTAAAAATTCCGACTGGTTAAGTAATATTTCGTTATTTAATTCAAAATAATACAAAGGAGTATGTTTTATAAGATATATAGATACATTACCCGTTGATACCGACTTTAATAACCATTATGTTTTAAAAAAAAAAACTTTGAAAAGCTTGCGAGAAATAGACGATGCATATTTATATTGACCAAGATTTTCGCATCTAACACCGTTTTGGTAAACCATGCAGTGTAATATCGTAATATCGTGAATATGTGTAATATCTAATTAGTAATAAGATCGACTATCATAACTTATCGGACCATTTTTATTTATAAGGCGTCAAAACGCAAAAGGGAAATGGGCTAAGTTATTTTCGCGTTAATGCATCGTACGTTTCTTATTGTAAGCGATATCCATTATCGCTTGGATAACATAAAAAAACTTCAAATTTGGCTAATTCAAAAAGATCGATTAAAAGAGTACGTAATTTATTTGTTTCTTTAACTTTATTTGTTTTGGTATTTTACGTATATCACAATTAAAAAATTTAAAGAATTGATTTTATTATCGCATGTGGAGATCTTGTAAATGGAACACCTATAACCACAGAAAAAGTTTGTTTGATTCATTTTCTTGCTTATTCACTTAATTCTTCATGTTGAATACATTTTACATTATTGCATAGGATAAGCAAGAGTTTCAGGAAGTAATTTCCGCTTTAAAGTGCTTTGACAAGCCATTATATTATATACCAGGTAATTTTCTTTTATTTATGCGTTAATCTATACTTGTCGTATCATCTTCAATTATTTAAAATTTTAGGAAATCATGATCCGGACACTTCTTTTCTTCCGCAAGATCAAAAAGATAATTTAAACCAAACTAGTGATGAAAGGCCAATAACAAGGAATTTTCATAATGAATCTGTACAACTAGGTCAGTTTATTTATACGTCATTTGCTTCGTGGCGTAGTAACCTTATGATCTTTCTTCTCTTTGTAGCACCTGGATTAAGCATTGTAGGCTTTGGAGGATCAATAGATGGGGTGCTAAGAAACTCTCCTGAGACTGTAATTTGGCCAGGTAATGGAGGATTAATACCGTATATCACCGACCAAGAGTACCCCTCCTATGTATAGTATCCCCCTCTCTTTCACTTGAAACAATCTTTTTCTATTAATTATGTATTTAAAAAACCTAATTTTATCCAGACATTACACACAAATATTTTCTGATTATTATACATTCTATGTTTATAGTAAAAATTTTATGACACATGGTAGTACAAGGTCAACCTTCCATCATACCTGGGGATTGGTAATATATAAATCTTTATTTAAATTCTTACTTTTATTATCAAATAGCATGTCCAGAGAATACCGAAACTTTTCTCGCTGAAAAACTACCAATTTTAATTGATCAAGTTAATAATGATGATATTATTCTTGTTACACACTTTGGTCCGTTCAAAACTGGAACCACTGATGTAGATAAGTATCCTTTACAATCTTCTTATGCGATTGAATCAGGAAGGTAATTAATTGAAGCATTTTACTTTAATGATTTGATTCCTTACTAATTCTTTGCAATAATGAATGGTCAGCAAAGTTTTACGTGACATGATCGCTTCCCGATCTCCTTTATCACCAGATGAATCATCTAAACAATATATCATGCTTAATATTCATGGTCATTCGCATTATCCGTTTGGTCTTTCGCATATTGGCCAAACTATGATTGTTAATCCTAGTGCACTAAGAGATGGCAGATTTGCAATCTTGTCTTTAGCGCAAATAGATAAAGACGAATTTATGGAGAAGGACAAGGAGAGAAGAGAATATATGAAAAGTTTTTCTCGAGACAAAATTTGGATCCTTGGAGGAGTGGAATTTTTATTATTATAGTTAATTTCTCACAAAAATGTCCAATAGTTTATTAATTATTACGGCTTCAAGTAATTTAACAAATTTAACAAGATTTAAAATTTTTAAAATCATGAATACATTGAATACATTATTGTATTTGAATTCGTGTTCTATATGGCAATAAATATATTATTTGATTACGTATGAAAGTGATTTGATTGGTGCTGCAACGCGTGTAGTAAATCCATACTTTGTAGTACGTATTTTTGATAATCCTTTGGTCATATGATTTTGCATTGATAATGAATTTATCGTCATAGTATATCGCTTTGTTCCAAAAAATTTTTGAATATTTCTGGATAGAGTATCGTGCGGTCCTTTTCGCCAAAGTTCTCCAATTAATCCCCCTTACTGTATTTATAACATAATGTATTCTAACGAATCTATTGAATCACAACGCGTTAAATCAATTGTTGGAAGCGTAAATGGAAAATCCATGCAAAGGTATTTCAATAGACTTATGTATCTGTTCTCTCAATCGCTTTTAAGTAATCGATTCATTTATCTCATTTTAGGAGAACGGGTGGAAATAATTCACCCGCTACTTCACGATTATTCATGAATGCCGTAAAGGACGCAAGTAAAGGCGTACGAAATCTTGGTGAGAGAACAGGTGAGTAGATGAAAACTTCGAATTTGATCACAATGAACCTAATTGTTATTTATAACTTATTTGTAGAAGAAAATATATCATATAGATCTGATAAAGGTCATTTTAAACGTCCTTATAGTCCCACTATGGATTATAACAAAGAGGATCAAAAAACAAAATCTCGTAAAGTCGAGAATGGATTTGAATATGATCGCTCATTTGAATCGGATCGTAGTCAAGATAGATATTCACGAGTAGGATTAGATCGTCGGCCTAGTGATCAAGGTTTATATATGCCTTCACCACCAGATTATGATCGCAATAGATATGGTAATTATAAAAATATTTATATTATTGGCTTCAAATTAGGATTAGAATTAGTATTAAGATTAAATCACATGAATTATAGTGAATGAGAAACGACCTTCACATGTTAGGCTGTTACAACAGCCAAGTGTTTTAGATCGACTGGGAAAGAAAGGAGGTCTAATGACAGCATATATTAATCCTGCTTTTTTTCAAGGGTCCAGTGCCGCAAGTACGAACGCAATGCCGTTTTCGTCAGATTCGAATAATAATATCACACTTACTCCAAAAACTTCTCGATGTCGTCACTGGCCCAATTGCGATCTCGGATCTTCATGCAAATTTCATCATCCTATTGAAATTTGTCCGTAAGTATTTAAGTTTTATCTTCTGATACTTTCTTACCATTCTTTTATTAAAAATTATTTCTCAAATTTTAGACTGGTACCTAATTGTCCCAATTCTCCTAAAACTTGTTTATATATCCATCCCGCTAATCAAGAATTTGCTTCATATGATCAGCGTGGCGGTATATATGCATTTGGAAATAATACGGGACAAGGAGCCTTCGATCCACGTTCTTCTGGATTAAGTTCATTTGGACTTGGTCCTATGGGTCCTATGGGTCATGGAATATTTGGACAAGGTACTTCTTATCAAAGTGGAGCATTTGGTACAGGTGTATTTGTACAAAATTCTCAGAGGCCAAGCATTACATTTGGAAAGGGCTCATATGAGCAAAGTTTAAGTGTACAAGGTCAGAAAAAAGAAGAGAGACCCACTAATGTAGCTATCACGGAGTCTGGCAATACAACTACTTCTGCAATTTCAAATGATTCGTTATCAGGGCATGAAAAGGACGCTTCATCTCAAACTCAAACAACCATATCAAATGCGTCTCCCGCTGTTTTGTGTAGATTTAGTGAAAGCTGTGCAAATCCTAATTGTATTTATGCGCATGCAAGCCCCGCTTCAACCGGAACTGGTTCTATTCCATCCACTTTAATTGATATACCTTGCAGATTTGGTTCTGAATGTGCTCAACCTAAGTGTCGTTATTCACATCCTTCTCCAGCAACAGGTATGAGAAAATTTTTATCATCTTTGGATCAAATTTAATTAAGGGCCTCAATTTAACATTTTTATTTTTTTTACACCAGTCGCGGTTCCTCAAGAACCTTGCAGATATTATCCTAATTGCCAGAATCCAGTATGTCCGTACTTGCATATTGATTATAGGTATATATTTTAGTTTCAAAATTTTCAACATCTAATATATAACTAATAAATTTTTATATATTTAGCAATACAATGAAAGTTCCAACTCCTTGTCGTAATGGAACTCATTGCGTGAGAACTGGATGTCATTTTATGCATCCGTGGGATATAGAGGCGGATACCTCAAGCATTCCTGTTTGTATTAAATTAATTTGTTCATTAATCATTTTACTTTATGTATTTTATTTGTTAACATTTTATTAATTATTAGTGTAAATTTGGGTTTAATTGTCGAAGACCTGATTGTGCATATGCCCATCCAATGGGTAAAAAGAACTATTCGCATATTTCTGAGCGTACTTTTGCTGTACCAGAAGAGATGACAGAAAAGGTTCTTCCACCTTCGGAGAATCAAGAAAATAAGAAAGAAGATGAACCAGTTAAATCAGAAGAGATAAAAAATGAATTAAATAACAACAAGTCAGAAAATAAAGAAGATAAGAATAAATCTAATGAGACGGAAGAAGAGTTTAATGAAGAGGATTTTAATTGGGATTTAGATTTTGATGTGGATGTAATATTAAATGATGAAGGAATAAATGGAGATATTGTGACGGATTTGTGAGATACTAATAAAAGGAAATTTAGAAATGAATTTTTAAGATTTATATTTAATATGCATTTGCTTTTAGTTTTGTTTTTCTAATTTTTTTTGTTAAGTGCTTCGGACATTATTTGTAATTTGCAATAATTATATGTAGAAATATGAACAAAAGTAAATAAATGCAACTATACTGCTAGTCACAGTATTAATTTCAATATTATAATTTGCCTATAGAATTAAATTATATCAATTATATTTATAATAAATAATGGAATCTTATTAATTAATAAGTTTCAATTAAATATATCTTTAAAAATTCTTTTAACAAACTTATTATTCATTTCAAATAGTTAGTAACTTGCAAATCTAATCTAATTAAGTAGTAAAACTAAAAAAATTGGAAATAAAATTACATTTCCTGATATTGGTGAAAATTTAAAGAAAACAATAATATAATTGATGCCAGAGGTATTTTTTTGCAATTTTCCATTAAATAAATAATGCTAACTACTAAATTAAAAAATAAAAATATAATTTAAGTATTTAATGTAAATTAGTATAAAAATAATTAGAATTAAAGATTTTACTTATTAATATTACCTATTAGTTTAAAATAAAAATAAAAAAAAATCTATTTAACTGAAATTTATAAAGTAAAATTTTTTAAAAAAAGTAGTTATAATTTTATAGTAAATTTTTTTAAATAATTAATAATTAAATTACTGAATATTAAGAATTTGCAAAAAATAATTTTTGATTTTAACCAAAAGTTTATTACAATCAGCTTTTAATATAATAAATTCTTTTGGTTTTATTTTAAATTTGCTATAAAATTATAATATAAATTAAAGAATTTAACTGGCTGATTCATTATAATAAAGAATATTTAATATATTTAATTAGTTAAATATTACAACTTATATGTTAGGAAAATTTCATTATAAAGCAAATTTATTATATTGAGAATTGATTATACAATCTAGAATTTTACTTACTTTTAATAAAAATCACCAGAATTATATACTAGTAAAAAAAATTTAAAGATCCTACTATATATAAATAAATTACATATAAAAAAGGAAATATTTCATGAATTTTTTCTTTTTATATTAACTAATTGGGTTACTACTAGTAAAATTACTAATAAATTTTTAAGGCTAGAGAAATCAAAACAGGCTCAGGAAATCACCATCTGGAAATAGGTAGGGTACTATTTAGCAAAAATTATATAGTTTTAAACAGTTTATATAATAATAAAAACATATATAATACCGTAATATAATTATTACTTTATTTTTTTTTAATTTAATAAAAAGTGCAAAAAGTTTTCTAAAAAAATTTCATTAAAAAAGAACTTTTATAAAAAATATTATTTTTTTAATAAATTTTAGAATGTTTTTTAAAAAAAATATAATTGATTAGTTATTTTTAAAATTTAATAAATAGTAATTATTATAAATAAAAAAAATTTTTTAAATCATTATATCTTACTAAATAGTAAGCAATGCAAATATATACATATAGATGAATATTTTATTACTAACAAATTATATTATTATTTAAAATAAGGTATTATATATAGTTAACTTTTATATATCAAATATTTCTTATTATAATAAACTAACAAATTAAATTTTTTGAATTCTTTGCTATATAATCTTATAGAGTTTATTTAAAGTTACTATTTTAAACATTACATTAGAATTACATTCGTTTTGATCATTATGCCAATTATAGCAATTTCATAGTAATATATTATCTTATTATTATGGTAATAAATAATTATAAAAACGGGTTTCATCGTGATAATTTAATTTAAATTTTTACCAAAAAAAGTTTATGGCTTAGCTTTAATATGGACCAAACTTGTTAATTTATTAATTGGAAAAAAAAAGAAAATAAAAATTACACAATTGAAAATTTAATTCAAATCACCTAAATCACTATATATTAACAAAAAGAAAAAATATTATACACTATAAATTCCCGTTTGTTTATTAGTTTCTATAAAGAGAAAAATCCCAGTTTACTTGTCGCAAATGTAATTTTTGTGTCTTTGAATAAGGAAAGAATAATAAAAAGTCTTTATCAATCATAATTGTTATATATCAAAAGATTCTTAGTATCAGATGGAATCTTAGTAAGTTTATCCTTAGTAGCTAATTTAAGGATTTTATTCTTAAGTTCTTTTGGAGTCAATAAAGTACTATAGAATTCAGAAGAACTATCTGGTTCAAGTGAAAGAAGATATGCAATTAAACCAGCAACGTGGGGGGAAGCCATTGAAGTTCCGGAAATGGTATTTGTAGCTTTCGGCGATCCTATCCATGCTGACCGAATATCTTTACCGGGTCCAAATACATCAACACATTTACCATAATTTGAGAACCAAGCGCGTTCGTCTTCAATGGTAGAAGCACCAACGGTAATAGCATTTTCAGCGGCTGCAGGTGAATAGTCACACGCATCACGATTATCATTTCCGGCGGCAACAGCGAAGTTAAGGCCAACATTAACAGCCTATTTTTTTTTTTTAAAAAAAAAACAAAAAAAAATTAAATCGCAAATTCATAAATACATAACACACAAATTGCGTTAAATTCTCACCCCATTGACAGCATCATCTAAAGTTCGACTTCTTCCACCTCCCAAACTCATATTGGCACCTGAACCTTTGAATACTCTGCCATCTTTGCGAGCTTTTTCTTTTTCTTCAAGATGAAATTGAGCAGCGTATTCGACACCCTTAATTACATCAGACATGGTACCAGAACCATTTGAACGTAAGACTTTAATAGCTACGATCTTTGATTTTTTGGAAACACCAAAACTTTTGCCAGCGACAGTACCAGCGACATGTGTTCCTATTATGATTTAAGAAAGATTCCATTAAATCGCATTTATTGAATATTAAATCACGTGGAAAATATACATACCATGGCCATTTCCATCGATATCTTCGTCACCTTGAGGAACAGTTATACCCCATACAGCACGACCTCCAAAGTCCTCATGTTTGATATTGACGCCGGTATCAATGATATAAACAGTGACACCATCTCCACCGTTTTCGTTAAATAAGTATTTATTGAACGTGCCAAAAGTCAATCTTGAGCGATGAGAAATACGAGCTAATCCCCATGGGGCATTTTTTTGAAGTTCAGTGGCATAAACCATTTGATCTTTTTCAACATAAGCGACCTATTTAAGGTGGAAGCAAAACGAAAAATGATCAAAATTATATTCCGTTGATTTGTAATGAATCATTCCAATTTTGGACGCCAAAATCACATTATGTATTGTTGCTTTGGTTAAAAGATTAACAACTTTTTTTTCACGTATTCTTTAGGTTAGAATATTTACCTCGTCACTACGTCTGATCTTATCTAAAACTTCTTTAGAGAATTTACCAGCATAGCCTTGGAAATTATCGAAATCAAATGTGTGTTTGATACCAGATATAAAATCATCTAATAAACCTCTCTTTGAGAGGTCCCTCTTTTCCTCAGAAACATAGTCATTAACACAGCTATGGTGATATTTAACTTTTACTTCATCAACGTGTTTCTTGAATACGATAATATAAGAGTCAGGAATTATTTGAGCTGATTCTGAAGACACTAAAGGAGCAACATTCTCTGAATAGTAAGAATTGTGATAGGGCGCAGCAGCAGTAGAGGTAAGGAGAAAAGTTGCAAAAATGAGTAACTTTTTGGGCAGCATCATTAAAATACTTGAACAACAACGGGTTCTGTAGATAAAATACAAACGAAAGAAAAAAAATATTTCGTTTATTAAGGAACTATTAGGTATATATAATATATAAGCGGGAACGGAACTTTCGGAATAAAGAACTCCTAAGAAAGAAAATGTTTACTTTGGCGTTTTTTTAAATAAATAAGAAATTACGCAAACCCCAGCCAATAACTAACTAAAATGTCATGTGAACCTGTGAAATATATATATGCTCCTGTTGTTTCATAAATAGATTCTTTTGGAAAATAAAGTTTTCTTATCCTTTGTTTAACAAATGTCAATCAACCTATTGGCGTTGTAAGACTGGTTTTATCCTATTAAGGAAGGCTCTTTTAGTAATGGTAAATGGTGACAAATTAATGGGTAAAAATTGCTCATTCTTTCCATCTATAATTTCGTAATTTACTCGTAAAAATATCTGATCAAGATAGTGAAAATGAATAATTCTTTCCGGATTATTATTTGTTTATTATTTGTTGTAGTTGTATGCGGAACAAATGTAATGTTATCAAAATAAATCTTTTAAATGTAAATAATCAGGCATTATAATTTCCTTAGGTGATATCTCTATACAAAAAAACATCTTTTCGAGTTTATAATTACTGTACCTAGATTTTAATCATGTGACATAAGTTATGTTACAAAGTTAGTTTTTTATTATCTTTTTTTTTACAATTACTGCGGTATTAAAGTTCGGCAGTATTAGGTACGGTAGTATTAGCGGAAAACGGATCGGGTCCTAAATATTTACTATCAATATCCTCGGCCGAATTTACATCATAAACAATAACGTTATAATCTAACGGCTCATTAATCGTGGAATCAATATCAAACTTTTCTAATAAATGATTAAATTCATCAGTATTCTCGGTATTAAATTCTAATTGATCGCGTATATCTTGTGTTATTTTAGGAGGATTTTTATATAATTTTCTTGCAGCTTCGACTTCGACAATATAATCAGGGGCCGCTAAATACCTATCTTTAAGATCCGGTAAAATATTTTCAATAGAACCGTATTGTTTAATTAATTTTAAAGCCGTTACAGGACCAACATTACGTATAGTTCCGGCAAAGTCAGTTCCACATAATATACATAAATCTATATATTGATCATGGGATAATTCTAATGATTTTTTTACTTCAACGGGTGAAATTTCTACAATTGGTTTATTCTTTTTAAAAAACTGCCTTAATAAAATTCCATCTCCAAATATCGTTGTATCCATATCTTCTGATACCGTAGCATCTGCAAATCCATGGGTAACTAATGATGCACACATGGCCTCTGCTTCATGTCCATCTAACACTATACAAGGAATTCCCCCAGTTCTAATAAAATTAATAGATTCTAGATACATCTTCCATGTAATAGGAATCACACGTTTCTCGTATGCAGCTGCTAGATTATGATTTTTTGCTTCTAGTGCTTCAAATGTTTCTGAATTTTTATTTCCTGATAGAATAGAATCTACAAGTAAATTTTCCATAAGCCCTACCTCACGTTGAGCTTTTGTAAAATTTTTATCCGTTGCTAATTTTTTTGTATCTTGAATTGTCATTTTTATGATTTGTTCCATGTCTTCTTTTAATTTAACATCACTTGCTGAAGGTTCAAAATCTGGATATATCTCTTTGAATTTTTTTTCATCTTTTAGATCTGTTATTGTCTTCATAACAGGTTCATTAACTATAGGTGTTGTTACTTTAACCTTTTCTTTGGTAACATTTTTTATCTTTTTAACTTTCTCTTTAACAACAGCTTTAAAATCTTTGGATTTTGATTTAATATCTTCCTTTATTATTAAATCATCTGTTATTTTTGGAGTAACAATTTGGTTGGTTGGTATTATTTGGTTGGTTGGTATTTGAATTGGTTTATTGTACTCTAATGCCAAAGCTTTCATTACATGCATTACAAGTACAATCATTTTTTGCAATGACCATAACATAGTGTCTTGTCTTGTTCTTACAATTGAAGGCATGTCTGTTTTAATTGAATGCATGTCTGTCTTTATTGAATGAATGTCCGTCTTAGTTGAATGAACATCTGCCTTAATTGGATATGGTAGTGTCGCTGTTACTTCAGGAACAGATGTAATATCAATCTCAGCAGTTGAAGCTGGTGAAGGTTGTGAAAGTACATTTCCAATAACCTGTTTAATTCCAGAAGTAACATATTGATGTTTAGTTTCCCCTATATTATCCAATTCTTTGACAACTAATTTCCATTTTCCAACTCTATCTTTTCTTGTTTTTTCAAAATCCAAATTCCGCAATAATTTTTCTGCCATTGTTCTACGTTTAGCAATTTCTTTTCTTTTTTCACTTATTCTTTCTTTGCCATCAAAAATAAATATAGGGTTGATACTATTTTGCTTTAAAAATAAAAGTAGCCTATAAAATCCATAAATATGAGGATGTAATATTTCTTCATTTTCGTAGCTAAAACTGTATACGAATTTACGTAAAAATATACTTCCATCTAATACCAATGTTTTATTTCGATAATCTTGTATTATTTTTTGTTTAATTGAATTTGGTGCATAACGTTGTAATAATTTTGTTAAATTTTTAACCCCCATGCTATATTGTAAACGCGAAAATAAAAAAAAAAAAGCAAGAGGCAAAGGAGAAAGCTTAGACGCGCCAGTTTCGTATTCGAAGATCATCATTTTCGTGTAACGGAAGATCAATTGTCGCTTATTTCGTTAAACGCTAGTTTGAAAAAAAATCTGAAATGATAACGTCTAGTTCAGTGCTTTTAGTGAATTCGCGAAGGTTTTTTTTAAATATACCAAATAAAAATCATCAGAAACTAAAAATGGCAAAATTAATTGACGGTAAAGCTATTGCAAAGTAATTATTATCATTTTATTAACAAGAAAAAAGCAAACTATCCAAGTAAAATTTACTAAATGAAAAAATTTAAATATATTTTACTTTTTTTACTTTTTTTAGGGACATTCGAAACCAAATTAAAAATGAAATTAGAGAATTGAAGCAAAATTATCCGAATTTTAGCCCTCGTCTTGCTATAATTCAAGTTGGTGGAAGAGAGGATTCTACATGTTATGTTCGACAAAAAGAAAAGGCTGCTAAAGAAGTAAGTATTTTTAAAGTGATGTCTCGTGATTTCAATGGCGCGTGATTTGTGTTACAAATCGGAGAACATAATCCCATTAGGCGGGAATCGAATTCATGCTACATAAGAAAGCTGATTCTATTACGGAAAGCGAGGTTTGTTAGTTATTTACATTAATTTATAGATAATTTGGATAATTTAAACTCACTTTGTTTGTTACTCACGTGACGTGGACTCTTTCTAGCTTTTAACCTCAATCCGTGAATTAAATGATAATCCCACAATTCACGGATTTTTAGTTCAACTACCATTACCATCACACATTAATGAAAAAAACGTTGTTGAAACTATCAGTCCAAAAAAGGATGTTGACGGGTAATTTATTTTGCGAATATGTTTTAACCAATTAATTTAATAACACTAATAATAATATGTAAATGTACCTTAGATTTCATGCAATTAATCTTGGAAATTTAGCTAAAAGAAATTGTGAACCTTTGTTTTTACCTTGTACTCCTAAAGGAATTCTTGAATTATTGAAACGATCTGGTATTTTATTATTTTTTACAATTACATATCTAGGTATAGAATTGTTAATTTAACGAGTAATTTTCGTTCATAGGCATTAAGATTTCTGGTAAACATGCGGTTGTGATCGGTCGTAGTGATATCGTCGTAAGGAAATTTGTCATAACATTTCGTAAATATTCGTTAAAAAAAAGTAACATTAATCATTTGAGTTGATTGAAAATATTCATTGTCTAGGGATTTCCTGTTTTTACACTTTTATCACGTAGCGATGCTACGGTTACATTATGTCATTCAAAGACCGAAAATCTTCCCGAATTAGTTTGTATTCCACCATTTTTAATCCACATTTACAGCTTTTTATGAAATGTTTAAAATTTTTATTTGTCATAGATCAAGACTGCGGATATACTTATAGTCGCTATAGGAAAAGCTGAATTTGTTAAAGGAGAATGGATAAAACCTGGCACGGTAGTTATTGATGTTGGCACTAACGCAATTGAAGGCAAGTATATTGCATTATTTATTCAGCATATGCACGGCAAATTCTTGTTAAATTCAGTCCGTATTAAATTTCCTAGATTCTTCCAAACAATCTGGAGTAAGATGGGTAGGAGATGTAGAATTTTCTAGTGCATCAGCTGTAGCATCTCATATAAGCCCAGTACCTGGTGGTGTAGGACCGATGACAGTAGCAATGTTATTACAAAATACTGTTGAAAGTGCAAAAAGATTTTTGCAAGAATCTAGAGAAAGAGATATTTCTTTACTTCCTTTGAAGCTTTTATCTCCTGTACCGAGTGATATAGACATTGCTTCTGCTCAAACCCCTAAACCTATTAAAGTTTTGGCTGAAGAATTGGGATTGAGCCCAAGTGAGGTATAAAATGTCTTTTTTTATCTTAGACTTAAATATACAAATTAGCTAATTCTTTTGTTATAGTACGAATTGTACGGAAAATATAAAGCGAAAGTTAATCTTTCCGTACTTGAAAGATTAAAGTCAAAAAAAGATGGGAAATACATTGTAGTCACTGGGTATATTTGATTTTACTTTTGGTTCTTTTTTTAATTTCGCAGTCAATTACATATGTCACGTGCTATATATTGATAGAATTACTCCCACGCCACTCGGAGAAGGTAAATCAACAACCACGATAGGAATAGCACAAGCATTAGGAGCGCATTTAAGAAAACCTACGTTTGCATGTGTAAGACAGCCATCACAAGGACCAACATTTGGCATTAAAGGTGGTGCAGCAGGTGGAGGTTATGCACAAGTTATACCTATGGACGAATTTAATTTACATTTAACTGGTGACATCCATGCAGTTGTTGCCGCTAATAACTTATTAGGTAATAATAATTCATCCGTGTTTTACGCGATGCAATGTTCTATGCACTTGCTAAGCTTGATTTAATTATAGCTGCCGCAATTGACGCACGGATGTTTCATGAAAAAACTCAGTCAGATAAAGTAAGTTTAATGTGTTTTATATAATATTTTTTTTTTTAAAAAAAAAAGACATATATATGTAGATATATGCACTTTATTAATTTTGTGTCATTCTTTAAATTTGATCATATAAAAGGCTTTATATAGCAGATTATGTCCACCTAAAAATGGAGTTCGTAGTTTCGCACCTATTATGCTTAAAAGATTACATAAACTTGGTATTAATAAAACAAATCCTGATGACTTAACCTCGGAAGAAATTCAAAAATTAGTCAGGTTGGATATTGATCCTGACACAATAACATGGTAAATTTTTATCATTCAGTTGATTTTTTTTTTGCAAACTTATAGAAGAAAGCAATATTATTAACAAAAATAATTAATAAAAATATAGGCAAAGAGTTATTGATACAAGTGATAGATTTTTACGTAAAATTACAATAGGACAAAGTCCAACGGAAAAAGATCAAACGAGAGTAACGGGATTTGATATAGCAGTAGCATCAGAATGTATGGCAGTTCTAGCTTTAAGTACATCATTAGCAGACATGAGAGAAAGATTAGGTAGAATGGTAATAGCCAGTAGTTTTGACAGGGGAGAAGGCATTAAATCTATAACAGCTGATGATTTAGGTGTAGGGGGAGCATTAACGGTATTGATGAAAGATGCTATAAAACCTAATCTTATGCAAACTCTTGAAGGTACTCCTGTATTTGTACATGCTGGGCCTTTTGCTAATATTGCTCATGGTAATAATTCTATATTAGCGGATAAAATTGCTTTAAAATTAGTTGGAGTTGAGGAGGGAGAAGAGGAGGAGAAATGTGGTTATGTTGTTACTGAAGCCGGATTCGGTGCCGATATTGGAATGGAAAAATTTTTCAATATTAAATGTAGAACATCTGAATTAGTGCCTGATGCTGTTGTCCTCGTTGCTACTGTAAGAGCTCTTAAAATGCATGGAGGTGGTCCTGAGGTGAGTTTAATAATAATGAGATTTTTGAGATTTTTTTAATGAACTTATTCACTTGGATATAATTTAGGTTGTACCTGGTAAACCTTTACCTGAAGTTTATATAAAAGAAAATCTTGAAATGCTAGAAAAGGGTTGCGAAAATCTTGTTAAACATATTCAAAACGCAAAGATGTTTGGATTACCAGTTATAGTAGCAATAAATCACTTTATTACGGATAGTATAGCTGAAACAGAATTAATCCGTAAAAAAGCCATAGAAGCTGGAGCTAATGATGCTATACCTTCTTCACATTGGGAATTCGGTGGCAAAGGCGCATTAGAATTAGCTAAATCTATAGTAAAAGTTACTAGTTCAAGTACTAAGGATAGCAAAGAAGAATTTAAATTTTTGTATAATTTAGATAGATCTATAGAAGAAAAGATTGAAATTATTGCTAAGGAAATGTATGGAGCTGCTGGAATTCAATTAAGTGATAAAGCCCAAGAAAAAATTCGAAGCTATACAAATCAGGTAATACGTTGTAACCTTCCCTTTAATATTAAATTCGTGCTAATTTTAATTAATTTTTTTTTATAGGGATTCGACAAATTACCCATATGTATGGCGAAAACGCATTTATCGTTATCACATGACCCTAAACTTAAGGCCGTACCAAAAGATTTCATAGTACCTGTACGTGATATTAGAGCGTCTGTTGGTGCAGGATTTTTATATCCTTTGTTAGGTGAAATGCAAACTATGCCAGGATTACCAACAGTAAGTTTATCATCAATATTTATTGTCGACGACGACTTGTTAATAAATGGTTTAATGATTTTTTTTTTAAAAAAAATGTAGCGACCTTGTTTTTATGACGTTGATTTAGATACTGAAACGGGAAGAGTTTATGGATTATTTTAATAGTTTATTATTGCATATATGGTTCATAATATCAGACAAAAATATTATTTATTATTTATTTGAGAAATTGTAACAAAAATAAATTATTTATTTAAAGAGTTTATTTACATATATGATTATTGAAAAAGGTTTGAATTTTTGACCATCTAACCATCTTTCTCCAGATTTAGATATTGTTTTATTCATGTAGTATTAAAAACAAACAATTATTATTTTCTGTACAAAAAAAAACTATGCTAAAAAGAATACAGAAAAATACTTTGTAAAATAATACAAAATACACTACAAATCTTTTTTTTTTTTAAAAAAAAAAACACAAAGAAAAAAATTAAATACTATTATTATATAACCAATTCGCCCGATAAAAAAATTGACATTTAAAAACATTATTAATTTTATTTATGTAATTTGGAAAATGTGCAATTAATTTTAATTATTTTTCAGTAATAATAGAAAAGAATTAATTAATTAATTATAATATATATATATAAATATATATATATATAAATTATATAAAAATAATAAAACCAACCCTTTTTTCGCTCAAATTAAAACGATGAAAATTTATCCCTAAATACATCGTTACAAGGTTTACCGTAAGGTTCTCTTTCCTCGGGATAAATGTCAAAATTACTTGCATCGCCTTCACCACTAACTTTAGGAATATAAGGAGCTTGTACTTCAAGTTTAATTAACTTATCCCATTCAATTCCCTTAAACCATTGATGTGATTTAATATCCTTACTACCGTCCTTTAAATTACCATATCTTTTACTTAAATCACTAGTCAAAAGTCTCTTTAAGAGATCTTTTGCCGTAGGATCAAAATATGATGGATATTTAATTCTTCCAGCTAATATTTTTTCATATAATCTCATATGATCATCATCATAAAATGGAGGATAACCTGCTAACATTTCAAATATCAGTACACCTAATGAATACCAATCTACAGCTTTTCCATATCCTTTTGATTGTATAATTTCAGGTGCTAAATAGTCTGGAGTACCACATAGCGTCCAGGTTATATCTGGTACATGTTTTGCAAATCCAAAATCTGTGATTTTAATATGTCCATTATTGTCCAATAATAAATTCTCTGGTTTCAAATCTCTATAAATAATATCTCTTTCATGTAAATATTCGAATGCAAGTACAACTTCTGCAGCATAAAACTTTGCTACATGATCTGGGAAGCGCTATAATAGAGGTAATATTTGAAAGGGAAGGTAAATATAATTAAAATTTAGTTAAATTATTTATGATCTAATAAAATTTGACTGATCAATCAATCTATTAAACTTTATAAACATTTATCCTCTCTCATAATAATATCTTACCTGGTTTTTTCTTAATATGCTGAATAGTTCACCACCAACCACGTAGTCCATCACCATATATAGATTAGCACTATCTTGAAAAGTTCCCCATAAATTAACTAAGAAAGGATGTTGAACTTGTTCAAGAATATGTTTTTCATTGTTCGTATGTTCAACTTGTTTTAAACGTACAACTTCGGATTTTTTTAACACTTTCATGGCATAAAATCTATTATTATATTTAGATTGAACAAGATGAACTCGACCAAAAGAACCTGTACCTAAGGTACGACAGATGTTAAAATCGGAAAGTAAAAATTTAGCATGTGGACTTGGACCTATACTAGGAGTTGGTTGATAGGTGTGGCCACGACTTTTAGTTGAATTAGGATGCATGGCTTTAGAATCAGTTGGTGAAGTTGGAGATTGAGTTGCTTGTAGCTTAGCAAAGAATTGTTGTTGTTGAGAATAAGAACTATAAGAAGATGGTGTAGCAATAGTAGAACTAGAAGTAATAGAATTAGAAGGACTAGACTGTTGTAATAAATAATTATTATTGAAATTGGAGTTATTTTTATTTACTGAAATATTTTTTGTTATTATAACATCATTTTTACTTTTATTTGAAGTCGTTGAAGGTTTATTTTTAATATTGAGCATATTTTTTTTTTGGATAAAAATTATTTTGATGTAATATAAAGTAGTAGTGTTATTTACGTTATGCAAAAAGAACAGAAAAGAAATATTGAATTTCCCTGAATTTATGTAGTGTATCCGGTAAAAAAAAGTTAAAATTTTGGGTTTTTATTTTATATAACAACTAGCAATTTATTTTAGTTTGATCAAATTAAGTAAATGCCGAATTAACAAAATGAGGGTAGCATATATAGCAATATAAATTAAGATTTTTGAACTAAACCATTTTATTATAAGAAGATGACTTTATTTTATAATACGAAACAAGTTTTTTTTATTCAATAAAAAAAGAAAGCAGTACTCAAAACAAAATATTCAAACAAATAAATTATTTCTAAATAAAGTAAGTAATTTATAATTAAACACATCAATCAAAGTATCAAACAACAAAGAACATATATATAAATTAATCTAAAGTTAAAACCTGTTATCCTGTTCCCGTGATGTCAATTGTCTCAAATAATGATCCGTATCCGTCACAGATCTTGTGTGACTATCCAAAAACAATATTTTGACGCTCCGACCCATTATTCTCATTCAATTTTTACTTAATAAGTTAATCATAAAAGTAAACCAATTATTTTACGGCTACGTTTTTTTTTCATTTTTTTATTAGTTAATCGAAATAATTTAAGAAAATTTTATTCTATCGAGTATTAATAATAAAAACTGTGAATCAAATATAATCTATTTTTTACGAACAAAGAAAATTTAAAGGGTAAGAAAATAAAAATTTTTTAAATTTTTGTTTGATCCATTATTTAAAACTTTTCTGTAACTTGTTCGTTACAATGTATATGTATAGTTTAATAATAAACCGTCGAAGTTATTATAGGTGTATATAAATAGCTTATTGTAAATCCTATAAAAGTATAAAGTAAATGTATGTATTATACCACAAGAATGAATTGACTGTGTGCCTCATTTGTTATTAAATTATTAAACCGGATTTAGAGAACAGTTAAAATTATATTATTAATATAATCTCGCATTAATGAAATCAAAAGTTATATTTATATAAGTTACCATTAAAATAATAATTTATTATGGCTAAAAATAAATGAAGAAAACGATCTTATTAGTTCTGCAAGAAAATCGAGAAATATTCAAGAAAAAATTGAGTTCTAGATTGAAAATCTCAATAATTTATCTGAGAAAAGTTGATATTAAAAATTAAATTGAAGAAAAGCAAAAAGAAATAGATAAAATTGCTCGTTATAAATATATTACTATTATTGGTAGTGCATTAGTTCACTATAAGTGGCGGTTTGTCATTAACTAGCAATTCACAAGAGGAAGGTACTGTATATTATCTCAGCTACAAGTGATTTATTTGCGTTAGCTGCTTATAATTATTTTACCGAAAAAAAAACTAAGATTACGAGATGATAAAATTACTAAAAAAGATGATAACAAAATAAACATTAACGATTAAAATTTAAATGTAAATTTGATATACCACCATCGACGGTATTTGGTTTCATGATACAGCAGATTCCGCAGGTTGAACAAACATCACCGCTGAGGATGTGTTGTTATATAGCAACACTATAAAGATATGCAGGAAAAGAAAAAGACGAAAAAAAAGGTAGAGGCTATTAACGAAAAGCAACAAAACTAACTTTAATAGATGAAGAAATATTGCAAAAATGGAAAGATCAAAGAATTGCGAATGCAATAAGACTTTTTGGAGAAAGTACTCGATTATCATCGACTATTAATAGAAGAATTTGAAGCTGAACATGATCAGTCATTAGAAAAATCCAATATGACGAATCTGCTTCTATTTAAACTAGTCCAATATTATGTATTTATTTTTTCTTTATTATTTTTGTATTTTTATACATTATCTTTTTTCAATTCTTTCGGCCGGTTCGTTAACTTGCATTTGAACATCTAAGTAATTACAAGTCAATTCAAGCTAAGTTATAATTATTTTTATTAATATTTGCCACAAATAAGAGAAATTATAAAAGTGAATTTAAACTGATCAGATTGAGAAATGTTTGCTTAAACAGAAATTTTTGTTCGGCGATAATAATAAAAAACGAGATTAAGAATTTTTCTATATATCATTTTCTAAAAAGCAGTAACTTGTATCATGAGACATATCAAAAAAAAATGAAGAAAAATGAACCCTACGATAAATTATAAATTAAACCAATAAAATGATGCAATTTTGGGGAGTAATAATAAATACATATACAGTAACATACAGTAACTTATAGTTTATGATTTAATAGATCATTTACAAAACTGGTGCTTGGTCCTAGAACGAACATTTCTAAACTTTAACTGGTCAGAACACGCTAAAAAACACATACACGCGAAGAACCTATTTTACACCAAGAGAAATTGAAAGTTTAATTCCTGAGTACTTAAGAGGCGGTGACCCATACATTGGAGATTTGACGGTCACAGACCCCATAACAGAATAATCAAAATTTTAATTTCGGGGACTCTCCTTTGTGTAGTTGTTGATATTAGGGGTTTCCCTTTGACAATTGTAACCTACTACTATACTCAAAGTGAAGAGGAAATAAATGAATACAATGACATCATTAACTGAAAGCAAAGATATAAAGAATCCAAAGGAGCTATCTTCAAATAAATGGTGTAATAATCAAATTCCTATATCTTTCGAATATCATGAGGATGCTGATGCGTTTTTGATCGATTTTATAAAACCTTCACTAGGCATTGTAAGATCTACTAACGAAATCAACAACGAAAGAAATATTCTGGTATCATATGACAGCAATAACAAGATAGTATCAATTGAAATATTAGAAGCGTCAGAATTATTACACCAATATTTAGTTGATACTCAGGCAACACTAGATAGCAAACATCCACCTAATTTTTATCCTATTCACTATAAAAATCAAGATAAATTGATCGTATACTTCATTGATATCAACTCATTCAATATTCCATCCATTAAATATCAAAAAACTAAAGAAAAGGACTTTGAATTAGGAATGGACGGTGAAAAAATTTTTCTACTCTTGTTTCACAATGTTAGTAACAGAATAGCAAAATCATTGTCTGAGGAAGAAAGAATAAAGCTTGCAAAGGATGTAGAGTTGTCTAGATGGGAAAGGAGAACGTTGTCAAGATAAAAGCTTGTAAAGGATGTAGAGTTGATTCTCCACAGATGTACCAATTGCAAAATATTCCTTCTTAAATTTAGTATCAATTTTTTTCTCTACTTCTTTTTTCTTGAGATTTGCAACTTCAACAACAAAAAAAGGGATAAAGCTAAAACATGCGCAATAGCAATAAAATTATTATTTAATTTTCGATTAAAAGTTGTATGTGCATATTAATATTAATAATAATAAATTTTAAATAAAAGGTTTTGCAATTTAACTGATTTTTTAACTATTTTTATTATTAATGTTTCATAGTTATAAATAAAGTTTAATTCTTTATATAAATTTTAAAAATAAATAAAAAAATAATATTTGTTTTTATAGCTCCGGATAAGAAAATAATATATAAAGAAAAATTAACAAAAAAAAGGTATATAAAAAATATATATACAACATCGTAAACTGTTCATTCCTTCGATTAACATGCCCAGCAAAGTACAGAAGAAAAATATAAATGTACAATTACAATGAACATGAAATAGAAGAATAAAATTAAAATTGAAATTAAATAACCTAAGAGAGAAAAAATTACTCTGCCCATTACAAAAGAAAAAAAATAATTTTTCTACCTCCATTACAGAAAAAATTAATGCAAAATAACTTCTTACTATTGTTAATGTTAACTCCAACTTTTTTTTTTTTATAATATGAGTGAATATTTTGGTAATTCTATTCTATCGTATTGAACGAGAAGAAAGCTAATACAATGTCAAAATCTTTGTAATTATAAAATCTCCTAGATATAAGTTAAATAAGTAATTGTAATATGAAATATTGAAATAAAATAAATATATATAAAATATTTTACACTTAATAGTAATTATGGCTTGGTCTTAAATTTAAGCAAAGGAGCAAGATCTGATAGCGGACAAGCTTTCTTCAAAAATTCGTGCTAAAAGGAAGAATAAACAATGATATGTTAATTCATGTTACTATGTGGATCATATCAAAAATATGAATGAAATACATACTTCTAAAAGTTCCAAAGCGGTTGCTCTACTTTTAACATCTACGCACAAGCACACAGCTAAAAAGCTTTTAAGTTCTCGAGATAATTTTTCTGGCTTTTTCAATGTTGGGGTACCATTCGTGGCGATTAGATATAATGCTTTAAGCGGTTCTTCATCTAAATATGGTGGTTCATTTTCTATCATTTCAATTGCCATAATTCCAAGTGACCAAATATCAACTTTGGCACCATATTCTTTTTGTTTCACTACTTCAGGTGCCATCCAATAAGGAGTTCCGACCATTGTTGCACGTTTATTTTTTTGATCGGTTAATTTAGCACAAAAACCAAAATCGGCTATGATCATGATTATTAAATTTTTAAACATCAGTTAAAATCAATACGCTAAATTATGATGAATAAAATTAAATCAAAAAACACTTACTAATTTTCACATGACCATATGCATCCAGTAGAACATTATCACTTTTAATATCACGGTGAATAATATTTTGCCCATGAAGATGTTGAAGTCCCTTGCATGTCTTAAATGAATTTTTAAAAAAAGGAATTGCATTTATAAATTGTATTTGATTAGAAAAAGTATTTTTATATTAAAAAATAAGATTTACCTCAAAGCATATAGCAGAAATTTGATCTTCCTCAAGCGTATTATTATCAATTACGTCCGTTAATGCACCACCTTCCATATATTCCATAACAACCCAAAGTTCATTACTTTTTACCAAGAATGAATCGAGGTAATTAACAATATTTGGATGTTGAGATTCTTTCATTACAAGAATTTCATTAACAATAAGCTCTTTTCGAGGTTGATGTGAAAGATCCATTTGCTTTATAGCAACTTTAGCGCTTGTTGTTAGAGATTTAGCAACATATACAGATCCTGAAGCACTATTATGTAATGGAATATAATATAATTAATTTGTGTAATAGATGGATGAAATATATATTGTTTTCTTATTTACCCTTGACCAACTTTCTTAATTTTACTATAAATACTTGTCGGATCTCCTGATGATACTACTGATCTCAATTTCTCCATAATTTGTGCTTCTGTCATTGTGCTAATCCTTCTCTCAGTTGCAGATTTCTTTGGTGCTTGTTGTGGACTTGGTTGTTTTGGAGGAGGAGCAGTTTGAGCTGGCTTTGGTGGTTGATTAGACTCTTGTCGTTGGGGATATTGTTGTTTAGGTAGATTGGGACTAGATGAATTTTGTCGTTGAGGAGGATACCCTTTGGGCATTTGTTGTTGATTAACCACAGGCGGTGCTGGTGGTGGTGGATGTTGATAAGTTTGTGAAGATGCGGGTACACGTTGAGATGTTGGTGACATCATAGGCTGAGAAGTAGCTTGATTATATGGCTAAATACGAAAATTATACCGTTTTTTTTTTAAAAAAAACTATGTACATAATTTTTTTATTCATTATTTAAATCATAAAATAAACCTTACGGATGGGACAATTGGGGCAACATTTCCAGGATTTGACGGTAAACGCTGCATATTGTTTGCACTTAGCGTATTTTGTGGTCTTGGGGTAATTGGAGGGCGATTTGGTGAATTATCAGGCCGCTACAAAATAAGATAAAAATAAATTTAAAAATATTATCATTTAAAACTAATATTCAAACGGAATTACTCAATTACTCACAGTATCTTCGTAATACATTTTCCGAGAAGAATCTGCAACACCATTACCATTCCCAACCATTGTATTATTACCCATATTATTTGGTTGTAATACTCTTGGATCCAATGGTCTTCCATTCATACTATTGTTACCCATTCCAGTAATTCCACCTGGTGAAATTTTATTCATGTCATATCCATTATTATTCGGACTAGGATATAATTGATTCTTCACGGGCATATTATTTTTTGGTAATAAATCAGCCCATTTATTATTATCATCTTGCTGTCCAGGAAATCCAGGAATAGTGCCCATCATACCATCTTCAAAATCATCTCTTTTCTGATTTTCTGTATAAAACTCTAATACTTCATAAACAGCTTGAGGATCTTTTTCATAATCCTCTTTTGTGATAGCAGAAGCTGTCAAAAGTTTTGTCCATTGTTCAGGCATTCCCTATATTAACACGTAAAATGACAAAGGTGTTAAAATAAGAATAATAATAATAATAATAATAATATCTTCTAATAAAACATTGTAACATATATATTAATAAAGATCATACTTACTGTGAACATTCCACTAACTGGATCGAAACCGACATGTACATTATGCACAAAATTTGTAGGATTTGATACTCCACTTAAGGGCGATCGCTAAAATTTATTTTAAGATAATAAAGTTATTATATGATATATATAAATGTTCATAATAATTTTTCTTTTGAATTCATTGAATTCAAACGAACTTGATTAAAGAAAAGAAGGTTTTACTAACAAATTTGAAAATTCTTTAATACAAACTTAATATACACACAGGAATTGAAAAAAATATTTTGATATAAATTAAAATTAAAAATAAGGTAAAATAAAAATAATTTAAAGAAAATAAACTTACTGTATAAATTTCGTCCATCCAACTATATAGTTCCTCGTCATTTTTACAAGAAAGGTAATAAGTTTTTTCTTTAGTCTGTATTTCAAAACAATAAGGTTTTAAATCTGTCCGCGAAACATTCGTAATCTCTTTAAGGAAGATTAGTGCAACGGCTTGATATGTATTCTAAATAATAAGAAAATAATAAATAACAATTTAGTAAACTGTTAACAAAAAGTAATTTTTTAATAATATTGTGAAAGTAAAATGATTTAACAAATATTTTATTCATTAAATTTTTTACTAGATGGCAGATGAACTAACATACCTCGTTACGATGAAAAGTAAGGGTCTGGTCTCTAAGCAACGTCCAACGTTTTGACCATATCCAAGCCCTTAAACCATCTTCCTTCACTGAAATATATCCTTTTTTTACTACGTTGGTATTCATTGTACTCGTTTATAGACTCTGAATGAGAACTATTAACGATGCTTCAGTTAATAGCTCAAACCGTACTAATAATTCGAAGTTCACTCGCAACTTTTTGGTAAATAAGTGGGTGACACCAAGACGGGGGAACTACATATATAGTTCGAAATTTTTGGATACAGCAACTTTTTAGTAGCACAGTAAAAAATACTAAAATAAGCAAAGAAATAAAATTTTTACTATTTGCACAACAAAAATCAAACTAAATAAAGCATAATATTAGAGAAAAAATTTGGTATTGTAATTTAACCCCCAAGATCATCACAAACGCGTGCCGCATGTGACTTTATATGATTAATGTTGAACAGAAGAAATCTTTACTGCAGGACTTTGTGACACTCAATTAGGAAAACAATAATATAAATATCGAGAGGGTTTTCTTTGTTTTTTACTCATCAAAAAAAACACTGAAAAATTGAATATATTAGAACCAACAACTATTTTAAGATTTAATGTCAATCTTAATAAATAATAATTTTCTCGAACAAATTAAAAAACTTTTACATTATGTTGATCTGCTATTTGTGATTTTTTTTAAATTATTTAAACAAACAGAAATCTTAAAAAATACAATGCAAATATTAATTAAGTTGGCCGGTAGTATTTCCAAAAGTCGTAATGTGATCATATCACGCGAAATTAGCCCTTCTTAATGTTTGTTACGCTAAAAAACACCTGTATACTAATGTTCATTACGCAAATTACGCAAAATTCTCTCTAGTTTGACAAAAAGAGTTACCCATTATTATTAAATATAATGTTGATTTTCCCCGGCAAAATAAAAATCTTTAAATCATAATAAATCCAGAATTTGATTGGTTATACATTTAAAACGAAAGAATATAATTATTTACCAAATTCGCATTTGATTATATAAGTTACGTTGTTTCAATAATAACAAGAGTTAAAACTTCTGAAAATAGAGGAAAGGTATAATTATATCATCTAAAATTAGATTTTATAAACGTTTTATAAAAATAAATCCTTGGCATTTCAATTACATTAAAGTTATATTATTTATTAATTTTTAATTTAATAAATATAAAATTATGCAAACATACTGTATAAGTACATATTAATAATATCTTTCAAATATTAAACATTTATTAATGTAAAAGAACTTTTACAAACAAATATTGCATACAGTCAAACTCCGTATGCTGAGATCCATATGAACATCGACGCACTTTCCGCTATTAAATTTTATTGGCCAAAATTCTGCTACTGATTTTGTGGTACTCTAAAATTACCGAACTTTTAAAATAAAAAAACTTTTAAATACTATTAAAAATATATTAAAAAGATTCTAAATAATAAATAAAGCTAAATCCGATAAAATTAATATTCTTAAAAGGAAAATTAAAACTTTTTTTTTCTTAATTAAGAAAATTTAAATTATTTATTAAAATTAAGGATTTGATCTATTTTATTAATCACCGATTCATAGTACTATCATGAAATTTGATGATTACAACAACGTAAACTCCCTTTTTACTATAATGAATGTGCAACCTTTTTGCCTATTCTATTTTCTTATAATTTTCTGTATATAGATTATAAATTTATGATATATAAATGATATTTTAACAATTTTAATGTTTACTATACTAATTATGCCATTATGCAAAAAGCACATATTTGATATGCATATAATATAAACTCCATTTTTACAGTAAATAAATGTTAATGTGCAATTTTTTTAGCTTTATATCCTTTTCCTTAAGTTTTTTACTGATTTTATATAATATAAATAAATTTTTGTAATTATAGTATTTGTGTATATATTTATTGCAGGATTCAAGATATCTAACATATAACTTATAACTGGTTTGCACTAAAATAGGATTCTGAAATTCTTGTATAAGTAAGGTTCCAAAAATATTTTTATTAATAGCTTTAAGCAAGAGTTTTTATTATAATTGCTAAGTATTTAACTTTGAAAATAATATAAAATAAGCAAATTTAATCTTCTAATTTAATTAAACTTTTATTCTAAATTTTTTTATAATTAATTAGCTTTATTTTTTAAATTAAAAATAAAATATTACATCAATAATATTAACAAAATTATTTTAATAATAAATAATTTTAATAATTTAAAGATATTTTAGTATTAAATAAAAATATTATAATATATATAAAAAAAGATGGAGATTTTTAATACTCTTATATAAATCTATTAGTTTGAACATTTTATAAAAAAAACACCTATAAAAATGATATACAATCGCACCTCCACATGACAGATCATTTTTATATGTGCAATTTTTTCATTAAAATGAAATATAAATAAAAGTGAATTTAAATAAATATTCTCTCTAATTGCTAATATTGATTTTTCTATTGGTTGTTCTTTAAGTGCACACTCTTCCTAACTGCATATGCATAGCCAAGCTTCAGGTACGTGCACTTATGGAGGTGTAACTGTACTAATTAATGTAGAAAATGTGTTGCCTTTAAGAAATGTTAAATAATCAACTGTAAAAATAAAAAAATCTATATAACTTATCAATCTATTGTATTCTTTTATCTTAATTCTATTGTTGAACAGATCCTAATTATTAATAACAAATCATATAAAGAGATAGACTAATTAACTTTATCATATATTTACTTATTAATAGATTTTATTCTTTAAATACTCTGTACACCACATACTACATCACATATAAATTAATCATATATCTAAGAGATAATCCATGCCTCTTTATTAATATAAAGAGTATCAGATATATTTGGCTGATTTTATAGGCTATTGATTAATCATTATGATTCAATAATTCTATATATAAAGAATTTTGGCAAATATAAAATTTGTAATAATATTCTTCAAAGAAAATTTTCAATTTACCTTTAAGTTTTTTATGAAGATTCAAGTTAATATAGAAAATACATAATAAATAATTTGTTTTAAAATGTATTTTCTTGATTATACTAATTAAAAATAAGCCTAAATTGGTAAATATAATTCCAAAATTAATATTTGCTTCTTTAAATAATGTTATTAGAATCCATCAAAAGGTATCTAATATTTCATTTTTTATAATTGCAAAAATTATAATAGGATCTGAAAATTACTAAAACAACTTAGATTTTATATAGCCAAAATTTTAAAATACAATATTTTAATTAATATTACATCTAAAAAATGAATTATATATCAAAATATTCATTTTGTTAAAATGAATTAAAATCATTAAAATCCAATTACTAAATTCTGAAATAGCAAAATTTGAAGTTAAAATCCACATATAATTTTATATATTTGAAACAGAAATTAATTATAAGATTTATATAATTCAAATCTAAATTTTTTTAGTAATTTTTGAAATCCTACTATGATTCTTAATTTGAAATGATTATTAATAACAACAACAATATAAAGTATCATTTGAAACTGATTTGTATTTGATATAGTAATATCCAAAAAATATAATATTATAAAATCAGTCTATTATTGTAATGACATTCACAATAAATAATTTAATTTTCTGAATAAAGATTCCAATTGTAATTTAACAATTCATAATGGATCTGAATATTTCTTATCTAATAGTATTTGTAATATTTGAAATGTATCTAAATCACCTGAATTGTTTTGAAGCTAAAATTGATATACTGTATTATATAAATCTTTTTTAAAAATAGTATATCTAGAATAGTTATATATAAATAATAGGTAAATAAATTTAAAATTTATTTATTCTTATATGATATATTTTTTTATATTAGATAACATTTCTATTTGAAGTTAATTTTTAAAATCTTAAAGCCATTTCTTGTATATTTAAAATAAGAAAAGGGTTGATCACCCTTGGCTCATTGGTTAGTCCGTGAGTCCTCTCATGAAGCCTGAGTATGATAAGGTTGCAGGTTCGATTCCACTGATCACGGAAATTAAAAGAATTTTACTGCAGACACTACTACCAATAGTGTAAAGGTACAGGGATTAGTGTAGACTGGACTGCATCATGGTGAATTAGTATATACCAGTCAGCGGCATATTTAAATAAAGGGTCATGGTGTCTAGTGCTCCTAACAGATCGATTCAGACCGGATTCAGCTTAAATCTGATCTGATCTGATTTTTATTTTAATAGATCTGATCTGATCTGAATCTGATCAGATCTGGTTCAATTTGATCCGAATCTGGTTCAGATCTGGTCCTTGTCCTAAAAAAAGGAAGGGAACGTTAATTACGTTCCCTCAAGTAAAAAGAAAAAAAACAAAAAAAAGAAACGAACTTACCATAGTTCATTTTTTTTTTGAATCCTGGTCGTTCAGCTTTGTCTCACGTCCAGGTTTCCTAAAAAAAAGGAAAGGGAACGTTAATTAGTACGTTCTCTTAAGTAAAAATAAAAATAAAAATAAAAAAAAGAAACGAACTTACCATAGTTTGTTCTTTTTTTTGAATCCTGGTCGTTCCTTCGTCTCACGTCCAGGTTTCCTAAAAAAAAAAGAAAGGGAACGTTAATTACGTTCCCTTAAGTAAAAAAAAATAAAATAAAAATAAAAGAAACGAACTTACTATAGTGCGTTCTTTTTTTTAAATCCTGGTCGTTCCTTCATCTCACGTCCAGGTTTCCTAAAAAAAAGAAAGGGAACGTTAATTACGTTCCCTTAAATAAAAAATAAATAAAAAAAATAAAAAAAAGGAACGAACTTACCATAGTTCGTTCATTTTTTTTAAATCCTGGTCGTGTCGTTAGGCTTCGTTCGTCTAGGCTTCCTACTAAAAAAGAAGGGAACCGTTAATTACGTTCCCTCAAGTAAAAAAAAACAAAAAAAAAGAAACGAACTTACCTAGTTCGTTCTTTTAAATCTTGGTCGTCCGGCTTCGTCCGTTCGTCCAGGAATCCAGGAAAAGTAAATTAAAAAAAAAATTTTTTTTTTTTTTATTTAAAAAAAAAATCTGATCTGAATCTGTTCAGATCGGATCAGATTTTCTTGTGTTATGATCTGATCTGATCCAAAATTGATCGGATCAGATTTTTTTTAAATCTGATCTGATCTACGAATCAGAATTTTGAAAACCGAACTGGATCTGACTCAGATCAAATCTGCGGATCCAGATCAGATCGGATTTTTTTCGGAGCACTAATGGTGTCCTCCTAGCGTTTCCTATGAGGCCATTAGGAAGCCTATTGTCCTATCTGAATGGTCACTGCTTGCATACCATCTGGGTGAGCTCTTGT